TCCTACATATATAATGCGGACCATGTAATTGAAAATTTTGATGAGCTTATAGACATGGAAAGTTTTTTTGTAAAATTCCTTGAAATCCGTTCTGGAGTTTTCCAGAAGTCCCAAATGTTTAAAGTACTTTCTAGGTCAATAGATGTCAGCATATCATAAGGACAGAAAAAATTCATCAGGCGAAAAAAGAAAGGGAAAACAAAGATTGGTGTTTAACAATTTATTCAGAATATGTTATTGCACAGTGTAAATTTTTTTCGCAGAGATTCTTTAGAAAATGGTGTTTAGTGGTCTAAGTGACAGACGTTACACCAATAAAGTTTGTACAAACACAAGTTAATGTCAAACTCTGCACCGTGACTACTAATAAAGAATTACCATTTGACCAATTGAGCTCTAAGTACTAGCAACATATTTAAATCAACCTTAAACAGAAAAAAGTCCTCACATAGTTGTGTTGTTGACTGCCACATATCAAATATCATGTATCTCTCTGTGAAGACTAGCCCTCATATATCAAAGATTGGCAACATCTTACTATCCAATGATGATTGGGTTTATTTACATCTATATTGGGAATATCTATCAAAAACAAGGTGACTGCTGGAAAAGTGTTGACGCTGATCAAACAACAAGATGATGGAGGTCCAATTGCAATTACACAGCAAAGTTACACCCAAAGTTTGTGGACATGACTAAGCTCTCGAAATGGAAAAAAATAAAGCCTCCACAGTGACACCACACATCTGGATAAAATTTGTATCTTTTGAGCAAAGCCAACAGTTAGATGTAGGTACAAGATTGGCAAAGACTCATCTGTTTGTCTTCTTATGACAAGTTAAAGATGTCATCCAGATGAAAAAGAAATTCACAATTAATCATAAAATTGATAATACATAATGTAAATATAAAACCACAACCTGATTTATAACAATGTTCTCTGTACAACACTAACAACGACGACTCAACCTCTCAACCCTTCCCACCACATACATGTCTTTCTGCAGTGGGATAGCTGGAACACATCCATCTAACAACTATATATTACAATGATACAAAAACAGCCCATCACAATCTAAAATGAAAGTACAGTTATCTAGAGAAACCTAATTATATAAAACGCAGAATAAATGAACATTCTACAGTTGGATACTGTTCAGAGTGTAAATAATGAACGATCTGGTATAAGATACTTTGTAGGCAACACAGAACATCTGGGGTAAAAGCTGTTGCAACGCTTTTCATTTGATATTAAATCTTTTTTGGATAAGATTAATCCTTAAACTAAGTTGATAAGGAAAGTGATGATTGATGACAGGCTTTTTGTAGAGCTATTCGAATACACATGATAATAAAGTAATATGTTACAGAATTTTAAATTATAACAACACATAAATTAACAAAGTATGTATAACACAACTTCTCAGACATTTGTATTGCATAGACTTTCTCATTCCTGAAAGCCCAAGGGAGATAACACATTACTCCCTTGTTTAATACTTTTGGATTATGTGGATAGTGATAACAATATAAACAACAAACATATTAGTGCCTCTCATATTATCAACATACAAATTGGGTGTAAATAAAATTACTCTATACCAACTAAAACAATCTAGCATACTTGTCCTTTACAAAACAACTTCAATCCAAATAATTAAATAAGATAATTTAATTTTCAAAAACATTGTCCACGCAGCTTCTTACCAGAAACTTTTCTGCCAAATAACCATGGTGCTAAGCTTTTTAATTGATATGAACATGTTTGAGTTATTTATGAACTTCTATACATGTGATCTTCAACAAGGGTTAAATAACTTAGGTCTTTTCTTATTGTAAACATTTGTTGGGCTTTACCAAAAGAACTTATTGGTCAAACAAGATGGCGCCAGGCCTTTTGGTTAATCAGAAGAAGTTGTAACAAAATTGATCCCCTGCAAACTTTAATATGGATCATAATAATTTTTTCACAGACTTTGTCAGGCTTCATCCAATGACAGTCTTTACCGGAAAGGTGACAAATGAACAATAAATGCCACACCATAAATAAGCTAATTTTGCCCTTCACAATGTAATATTCCCCCCTCTCCCCAACAGTGTCGGTGCAGGGTTATGTGTTAAAATTGTAATCATGCTGTGATTAATTCATAAATAAATAAAAGCATTAATGTATACAGAAAACCATGATGAATGTGACAGAATTTATTGGATTTCTTTCGTCACAGAGAGCTGTATGAAGTTTAAGAGGAATCAACCAAATAGAACTTGGTAAACTACAGAACCAATATTCTATCTTTACTAAGTCTTACTTTGACACTTGGACTTTGTACCTGAGAAACAATCCAAAGCATGTACTGTTGGTGTCAGGAAGCACTCTATCAAGTTTGAGTGAAATAAGCCGAGCGATCCTCAATAAATTATATAGAAATAATTAGTTTTCTATAGTAACGGTGACATAGTCACAGAGGGTCAGGCTAACTCACAAATCAATATCAGATTCCTCACCAACACACAGGACTCATCATGATCAGAGATGTTTTATAACGAAATACACATCTAAAGGAATGCTTCCCACAATGTCACTCACATACTACAGAAGACATAGATCAGCCATTTGTACTGAAATTTTTCTCATGGAGGATCATTACTAGTGTTAATGTAACAGGAAATATATCAAAAGAGTTCAGTAATTCAATATGTCGAGCCTTTAGGTAAGTCTTAAGGCTCATGACATATCAAATTATTCGATGAGTTTAATTGATTCCATAATACATCGACACCAGTGTAAGATTCTATTTATCATTTGACTCATATTTCTGAAGTGAAAACTATGTAATAATTTTTGCATATAAGATAGCTTAATTAAAACTCTGACATTATATGGATGTGATTTACGTGTATTCATGATGACACATTTTTGTTATCACACATGTCATACGACATTAATGACATGACTGTATGACACATCACAACACGCCAGTAATGTGATAAATGTAGTTCACACAGTTAGCAGAAAGGTCAGCAACAGATGTGTGAGTGTTGTCAGTGAGAATGTACATGCTTTTGTGGGTGTCTGTCTGTGACCAACACACAACAGTGTGGTCAGATTTTAACAACAGTCATATATACATGTCTGTCTGAGACATTACACAACAGAGTGGTCAGATTTTAACAACAGTCATATATACATGTCTGTCTGAGACATTACACAACAGTGTGGTCAGATTTTAACAACAGTCATATACACATGTCTGTCTGAGACATTACACAACAGTGTGGTCAGATTTTAACAACAGTCATATATACATGTCTGTCTGAGACATTACACAACAGTGTGGTCAGATTTTAACAACAGTCATATACACATGTCTGTCTGAGACATTACACAACAGTGTGGTCAGATTTTAACAACAGTCATATATACATGTCTGTCTGAGACATTACACAACAGTGTGGTCAGATTTTAACAACAGTCATATACACATGTCTGTCTGAGACATTACACAACAGTGTGGTCAGATTTTAACAAGTCATATACACATGTCTGTCTGAGACATTACACAACAGTGTGGTCAGATTTTAACAACAGTCATATATACATGTCTGTCTGAGACATTACACAACAGTGTGGTCAGATTTTAACAACAGTCATATATACATGTCTGTCTGAGACATTACACAACAGTGTGGTCAGAATCAAATGACAATTATATCTACACATATCTGTCTGTGACTAACACACAACAGTGTGGTCAGATTTTAATGGTCATTATATATACACATGTCTAACTGTGATCCACGCACAACAGTTTAATTGGATTTCTAGGGTATTTGTTTTAAATGCACATATCTGTCTGTGACCAACACTTAACAGTGTGGTTGGATTTCACTGGAATGATTATCATAAATTAAAGCATGCCTGATATGTGTTATGCATTATGCATGTATTTATATGGCAGAGTGATAGTCTTGTAAACAAAATTCTATCAATAAAAAAAAATCATCTATTTATAATATTTCATAAAATCTATAAATGTTGGATTAATATAACATATAAACAGTAGTATTTATCATAAACAAATGAAGAAAATGATTAACAAATGAGATCTGGAAATGAAGACTGAGACAAAACGCTGCCTAAAGATCAAGATCATATAAGTCAAGTATAGTCAATGGGAAAGCAGTGATAGTTTGTAACCAAATCAAGCAATATCTATACACATCAAGGGACAAGGCCATGTAGAAATATATCAGAAAAGCTTAATACGTTACAAAACTTAGTGGCAAAGCTATATCTAGAGATTACTTTAACATATAAGAGATTCCCAGTATGAACACTATCGGTACTTGAGATTTTTAGTTTAAACAAATATGCTTGTAGCAGAATCTATCTTTGTTGACAGTAAGCTGTAAATGATCAGACTTAAATCTGCAATCAAGTAACACTTCAAAGACATTTTTTGTCAGAAAAGAATAATAAATGAAATCAACAATTTCAATGTATTGGAATGGACAGCAATTAATATTCAAAACATAAATAAAACTTAATAGATTCAACAATTATATCAAATGACTATGATCACTCACACTTCTAAATAAACAGGACCGACTGATCACAACCAGGCACCTCTATATCAACAGGATGGACTGATCATAGTCTAATCACGTACACTTCTAAATTAATAGGATGGACTGACCACTCATGTCCACTAACATCTCTATATTAATAGGATGGACTGACCACTCACATCTCAATATTAATAGAATGGACTGACCACTCATGTCCACTAACATCTCTATATTAATAGGATGGACTGACCACTCATGTCCACTAACATCTCAATATTAATAGGATGGACTGACCACTCATGTCCACTAACATCTCAATATTAATAGGATGGACTGACCACTCATGTCCACTCACATCTCTATATCAATAGGATGGACTGACCACTCATGACCACTCACATCTAAATATATTAATAGAATGGACTGACCACTCATGTCCACTAACATCTCTATATTAATAGGATGGACTGACCACTCATGTCCACTAACATCTCAATATTAATAGGATGGACTAACCACTCATGTCCACTCACATCTCTATATTAATAGGATGGACTGACCACTCCAGGCCACTCACACCTCTATATCAACAGGATTGTCCTGCATCATCTGTTCACTATCCCCAAGCAGAGGCTCATCACAACCAGGTGTGGATGATGGACTGTCACTCAAATTGCAATTGGTTCCTGTCTCGGAATCACCAGCACCAGCCTCAGACTTGTCTTGGTCTTGACATTTAGCAAGTTTTGAACTTTCCACCATTTTCGATGTCATGTTTTCCATCAGTGAGCTCAAATGTTTTGCAGTTTCTTCATCTACTTCTACAGGGAGACTTCTTTTATCAGGTAAAGTAGAGCTGTCTTCTTCATCTTCTATATCTTCACTATAGACCTCAACATCTGAAAGTAAACATTACAGGTAAATACACGTACACCTTGACACCTGAAAGTAAACATTACAGGTAAATACAGGTACACCTTGACACCTGAAAGTAAACATTACAGGTAAATACAGGTACACCTTGACACCTGAAAGTAAACATTACAGGTAAATACAGGTACACCTTGACACCTGAAAGTAAACATTACAGGTAAATACAGGTACACCTTGACACCTGAAAGTAAACATTACAGGTAAATACAGGTACACCTTGACACCTGAAAGTAAACATTACAGGTAAATACAGGTACACCTTGACACCTGAAAGTAAACATTACAGGTAAATACAGGTACACCTTGACACCTGAAAGTAAACATTACAGGTAAATACAGGTACACCTTGACACCTGAAAGTAAACATTACAGGTAAATACAGGTACACCTTGACACCTGAAAGTAAACATTAAAGGTAAATACAGGTACATCTTGACACCTGAAAGTAAACATTACAGGTAAATACAGGTACACCTTGACACCTGAAAGTAAACATTACAGGTAAATACAGGTACATCTTGACACCTGAAAGTAAACATTACAGGTAAATACAGGTACATCTTGACACCTGAAAGTAAACATTACAGGTAAATACAGGTACACCTTAACACCTGAAAGTAAGCATTACAGGTAAATACAGGTACACTTTGACACCTGAAGTTACAGGTAAATATAGGTACACCTCAACACATGATAATAAAGGTTATAGCTAAATACAGGAATACCCAACAGTAGAACACCTGAAAAAATAAGTTCAGATAAATACAGGTAAACCTTAACACCTGACCTTAAGAGTAGATAGAGGTAAACACCTTAACACATGAAAATAAGGGTTACAGGTATATATATAAGTTCACTTCAACATCTAACAGTATGGGTTACAGGTTAAAACAGGAATAACTCAACATCTAACAGTATGGGTTACAGGTTAAAACAGGAATAGCTCAACATCTAACAGTATGGGTTACAGGTTAAAACAGGAATAACTCAACATCTAACAGTATGGGTTACAGGTTAAAACAGGAATAACTCAACATCTAACAGTATGGGTTACAGGTTAAAACAGGAATAACTCAACATCTAACAGTATGGGTTACGGGTTAAAACAGGAATAACTCAACATCTAACAGTATGGGTTACGGGTTAAAACAGGAATAACTCAACTTCTAACAGTATGGGTTACAGGTTAAAACAGGAATAACTCAACATCTAAAAGTATAGGTTACGGGTTAAAACAGGAATAACTCAACATCTAAAAGTATAGGTTACGGGTTAAAACAGGAATAGCTCAACATCTAACAGTATGGGTTACGGGTTTAAACAGGAATAACTCAACATCTAACAGTATGGGTTACAGGTTAAAACAGGAATAACTCAACTTCTAACAGTATGGGTTACGGGTTAAAACAGGAATAACTCAACATCTAAAAGTATGGGTTACAGGTTTAAACAGGAATAACTCAACATCTAACAGTATGTGTTACAGGTTACAGTAATAACTCGATATCTGAAAGTATAGGTTAAGTGTTAAAAATACTTACCACATGTGTCCTTCACAGGTTGAATATTATCATCCTCACGAACACATTTGACCAGTTCCTCCTTGATTGGCAGGAGGTCAAGGTCTTCCATGGCATATGCATAGTCAGCATTGGACATGGATACCCTATGAGAGTCAGATGCTGGCTGATGGTCCTGGATCTCTGCACGGTGTACAGTCCTAGGGGAGTTGTTTGACACACCTGCTTTGTGGGATGGTGACATGTCCAGTGTATTTAGGTAGCTCATAGCATTGTTCTCCTCAAGAGTAGGGTTGTCACTGGCACTGTGTGTGGGACTGACATCACTACTACTTGTGGGAGTACAGAATTCTGCCTCTAGATCAGCCAGCTCCTGTTTACTGGCTTTCTGTTGGTTTGCAAGTTCCTGTTTTGTCATCTCTAAATCAAGTTCGATGTCACCATCAGGGGTTTCCTCACTGCACTGTGGTACTAAGGTCTTCACTTCCTCACATTCAGCTTTGAGACGCTCCAGACTTGGCATGTTAGCTGAGCATTAAAGAGAAACAGCTGTACAAAGTGTATATAGCCAAAGCATTACAGAGTTTACCAAGAGATAAAAAAATCAGCATTTTTCACCTTAATACTATGGAAAAAAAAGTGATGATATCATATGTTGCTGTATTTAGTAATTTTGTAAAGAAGAGTTCAAAGGATTTGCCAGGTGAATTTAATTGAATGCAATTAAGGGATTTTCATAAAATTCAGGTGTAATGAGGCTAAGATTTTATCTATTTCATAATTGCACAATTTGTAATTATTTAGAAAGGAAAAGTTATAGACAAACATCACCATTTTTACTGTTGATGTGAAAGTACAATGTCATCATTTATAACAATGAAACATTTGGCAAGTTGATAACTTTGTGTGTGTGTACATTGTCACCATCATCAGTGATGATCGGTGAGGCATATCTGTACTGATGTGTACAGTGCATGAGATGGCTACCATAGCAACAGACCTTGTCCACTGTATTATAATCCTAGGTATACTAAGGTAGAATAATGTCTGAGATGGCAATGAAATAAAACATGTACTACAGAGGTACTAGACTTTATACATGTTGACCCACGAAAGTTGATTCTGCAGCTGGAACACAAAGGCTCTCTCCTGGTTTGAAATGAGGTATAAAAGAATAAACTTTTGTTGAAAGAAAAGGCCTTTTTTTCCCAATCTCTCCACTAAGATTGAACCCGTGGCAATCTGGCTTAATAGTCTTGCGATTGACTTACAACAGATTTTCCTAGCTGAACAGTACACTGCGACCAGTATTTACCTGGGTTGTATGATATAAACAATAGTGTGTTAACTACTTGACATACCTGGAACATTCCATAATCCTGCCACTTCAAGCGTTTTTATTTTCTTCTCTAATTCTGACACTCTGTTGCCCAAAATTCTGTAATGAAGTAGAGAGAGAAAATTAGTGAATTTGCAGCTTGTTAGGGAGTAAACCATAAATCCTATAAGTTTGGGCATGAAGTTACTTTCCATTCAGTAATTTTTCTTAAGACATTTCTTCAAGCATCTCTGTAGAAAAAAAACTTAATTTATTAATTTTTCTGAGAACAATGGACACAGTGACAAAAGTACATCATATTTAGCTTACTTGTTGGTCTTGCGTTGGTGGGAAAGAGCCATATTTTTATCATTGACAGTGTCCAGCAAGGCTCCAGCCAGTGCTTGTAGGTCTGCCATAGCCTGGGCTGTGGGGGGTACACCCATATTGTCTCCCAGCACCTGGCTCACTGTGGAAGATATTTACAATCAATACAGTAGGTGTGCTGTTAACATAGACAAACAGTAAATATTATCCAACAATTTTGGTTTGCATGAGATTACCAAAACCACTGACTTAGTTTCTGTTGGACCATCAGAACTGTTGATCCAGTTTCTTTGATCTAGTTTCTTTGGGACAATCAGAGCTACTGACCTTGTTTTTATAAAACCATCAGGACCACTGACTTAGTCTCTATGAGATGATTAAAACCAGTGACCTGGTTTTTCGCTAACCACCTTTCTAGACTCTGTGAGGCAATAAGAACCAGTAACCTAGTTTCAATGAACCACTGACCTAGTTGTTGAGACAATTAGAACTATTGACCTACTTTCTGTGCGACTATCAAAGACACTTACCCAGTTTTCTGCGATGATAAGAATTGATATAGTTTCTATGAGATGACCAGACCAACTGACCTTGTTTTTGCGATATGACCAATCCACCTCCACGGCTTTGGCTCAGCTTCATCATGCCTGTCCTTGCTTTCTTTCTCTCTAGTAAACTCTGAAACCATAGGTACAATATTTGTCTGCCATAGCACCAATAACAGCATTTTATATCAAATCAACATGTTGTAGAAAGTTCTTACATATTACACAGTGTGATCTAGAATACTTGTACCATGACTTCAATGCTACAATGTAGCTCTACCTTGTATTTTGATGCTATATAAAATGTGAGTAACACTACATAAGCTTCACTCTGTACCACGACTTCAGTGCTACAATGTTGCTCTACCTTGTATTTTGATGCTATATAAAATGTGAGTAACACTACATAAGCTTCACTCTGTACCACGACTTCAGTGCTACAATGTTGCTCTACCTTGTATTTTGATGCTATATAAAATGTGAGTAACACTACATAAGCTTCACTCTGTACCACGACTTCAGTGCTACAATGTTGCTCTACCTTGTACTTTGATGCTATATAAAATGTTAGTAACACTACATAAGCTTCACTCTGTACCACGACTTCAGTGCTACAATGTTGCTCTACCTTGTATTTTGATGCTATATAAAATGTGAGTAACACTACATAAGCTTCACTCTGTACCACGACTTCAGTGCTACAATGTAGCTCTACCTTGTACTTTGATGCTATATAAAATGTGAGTAACACTACATAAGCTTCACTCTGTACCACGACTTCAGTGCTACAATGTTGCTCTACCTTGTACTTTGATGCTATATAAAATGTTAGTAACACTACATAAGCTTCACTCTGTACCACGACTTCAGTGCTACAATGTTGCTCTACCTTGTATTTTGATACTGTTGCCATGGCCATGGACTTTTCCTCCTCCATTTGTTTAAGACGATCTTGAAGATATCTGAAAAAAAAATGCAATAATGCTGGTCATAAAGAAATCAGCAGGGTCATTAGTCCCTCTTAACCTGATGTCATGCCCTGTTGTACTGAATTGCATTCAATCAGTAACAAATTATTTGATCTTTAGATGCTCAATCAACTTACATTTGTTCTCAAGACCAAGGAACACCTAAGCCTTAGAACAGTTCTGTTTGATAGATAGATGTGATGTAGCATTGTAACCTAACATGGTAAATAAGGGATTTTTCACCAAAGATCCGACAAAAAAAACCAGTAATATCATCTTTACTTGAACCATCGTGTGAGAGACACTTTAACCCACTTGAATACAACTGATACTCGTATAGCATATACATGTACTTAACAATATGTCACGAGAATTCCTTTGTTAATAAAAGTCCTCGACCTGAATCATTCTTCATTTTATATTCTTTCTAAGGTAAAAGCACCAAATTAATACTGAAGTCTATCTAGAAGTCAGCAAATATGTAGTAAAATATCGTAAACAGATGACTTCATAATTTTTGGAGTATATAGAATTTGTCTGTAAAATTCATATATGATGTTAAAAAGTAGAAAGAGGATGGGGAAGTTGAAAATTCTCCCTCTGTTCTACAATGTCTTTGTTATTTAATGTACTGTAAATGGCTTTCATTTGTCCTAATTATATTATGCTTGAATAGGTCAAGCTTAAGGGAATAGTGCACTAAAAAGGGGCTCAGTGGGAACCTGAGTCAGACCCAACATTAGAACAAGAATCAACAGGGGCGTATTTCAGAAGAAAAATTTGCATGCCCACTATCATCAAAAAATCTGCAATGACTTCAAATTTTGACTATATTACAAGGTGAAATTTAACTCTCTCACAACACTTCTTTAATTTAGTTTGTTTCTCGGAAGAAATTCTCAAGTCCCAATATAGGACTTGATTTATTTATCATAAATCTTAAGTTCACACTACAAAGGCACCACAGCATCTTTATATTTTTAAACTTGTTTAAGGTATGTTGCTGCCTAACTTATTACATATTGCCAGCAGGGATGGAATTAAGAAACAAAATAGGATTTGGGGGGAGTGGGGAATCTCATAGTACCAAATGCATGAAGGCCACATTTGAGATTTTCCCCCTCTTCCAAATCCTATGTTATGTTTCTTAGTTTCATTCCTGCTGGCAATATGTAATAAGGTAGTTGGTATACTTTCAATTTAGTAAAAAAAATCCATACCTGTTTTCCATGATGAGAGCATCTAAGTCAACTACGCGTTTTTCATCACCCTTCAGGATATAATTGAGCTCTGTGTTAAGGCGTTCATATTTGGTTTTGTAGACGTCCCTTTCAGTGACCAACTCTTCCTTCTCATCTATAACTTGTTGAAGGTCACGCTCCAGCTGTGTGTACTACAGACACAGAATAGATGTGACATGTGTAGAAAATTGGACAGGTCTATCACAACTGATCAGGATATCATACTCTATCAAATGTCAGGAGTATTAAGAATATACCATTATCACATTGGATACAGTTTTGCTGAACAATTATAAAGTATTCTGACAAGATTAGAGTAAGATTTACTCACCTCATCCCTGGATGCCTCCAGCTGCTGGACCAGATTTTCCCTTTCATGAGCTGGGAAGTGACGAGTGTTCATTCCTTCATCTGTTGTCCCCACACGATGACGAGCGATCTGTTCTCTAAGTAGCTTAACAGATGAAACCATATATATTAACTTCTTTTGAGGTGAGACAATAAACATGTCCATAGAAAATGTTCACTAAAGTGAAGATGAGGACCATTATAAGTAAGAGGTTTTGGTTTCATACAGGGTTTTCCATAAGAGCCAGTCGCCGGCCAATTTGACCGGCTTCTTTGATCATTTGGCCGCCTACACCAATCCAGTTACGTAATAATGTTCCGTACACTACTACAGGTACACGGCAGGCCACCTCCACCTCGCCGCATTGCGGCTCAGGTCAGCTTGCTTCACCAGCCTCCTACTTTCACTACACAGCCTACTACTAACAAAATTATGGAAAACCCTGTTCATATTTTATCATTTTGATCTCATCAAATATACTGTTAGATAATTCTTATAATTTACAAAATATCTAGTCCTCAAAATTATGATGTAAAATACAATGTTACAACACCTCTCAAAACATAACATAACAATGTATTCTTTTACACCCACTTTTATGTCACCCTGTGCATCATGTAGTTTCTGTCGGAGGTCCTCCACCTCAAATTGGAGTGACTTGTTCTGTTCTCGGGTCTCTATCAACACAAATCCAAGGTCCTAAAAACAATGACAGTTCCTATTTCAGCGACAATCTCAAAGTTGTATGTTACTTCCTAGTCATAATTTTTTCATATCTAATGAACTTACATATTTCTCATTTATACTATACATAACTAACACTAAAGGGTATTCAAAATGTTTAAAAATAGTGTACATATGGTGTTTGTATGGGTGTGTAGGGGTTGAAATATTATAATGAAAAATAATACATAAACATTGTATAACATTTTTCAGGCAGAAAACTTAGTTTACTACGTAGCTACTTCACAATAGGTAAAATGGTATCAAGACTATTACTTAGAATTATACAACATTTAATGTATAGTTCCCTTCCTAGCTATGACAATTTGGTTAATACATATTTACAAAGCTTTTTAACAGTGTATAGATATATACAGCTCATATAATCAATACAGTATCAGGATTTTATCAGGTGCAAGCTGCTGTAGTAGCTCTTAATTACATGTAACTCTGTATAATGAAAAGTAGTGTTCCAGGGAAAGTCAGTACTCATAACAACCAATAAAACAAACGACATGTCCTAAACTTCTCATTATTTTTTCAAGCACATTTAATGTCTAATGCACTGATTAATAGTCAAAAGTGTGGGATTACCAGGTGTTTTATATACAACATGTGAAGGATTACCTGTTGTTTTATATAAGACATGTGTAGGATTACCTGTTGTTTTATATAAGACATGTGAAGGATTACCTGTTGTTTTATATAAGACATGTGAAGGATTACCTGTTGTTTTATATAAGACATGTGAAGGATTACCTGTTGTTTTATATAAGACATGTGAAGGATTACCTGTTGTTTTATATAAGACATGTGAAGGATTACCTGTTGTTTTATATAAGACAAGTGAAGGATTACCTGTTGTTTTATTTAAGACATGTGAAGGATTACCTGTTGTTTTATATAAGACATGTGAAGGATTACCTGTTGTTTTTTGAAGACATGTGAAGGATTACCTGTTGTTTTATATAAGACATGTGAAGGATTACCTGTTGTTTTATATAAGACATGTAAGGGGTTACCTGGTATGTAACAAAAGACTGGTAAGGAGGTTATCTAGTGTTTGACATAGGACAAATGAGGGGGTACCTAATGTTTGACATCAGAAAGGGGAGAAATTATCTGTCTCTACATCAGACAAGTGAGAGCTTACCTGGTGTTTGACATCAGAAAAGTTAGGGGGTAGTCTGACGTTTCATATGAGACATGTGAAGGGTTACTTGGTGTTTGACATATGACATGTGAGTAGTTCCCTGGTGTTTGACATCAGACCAGTAAGGGGGTTACCTGATGTTTGACATAAGACTAGTGAGAAATTACCTGATGTTTGACATCAGACCAGTAAGGGGGTTACCTGATGTTTGACATCAGACCAGTAAGGGGGTTACCTGATGTTTGACATCAGACCAGTAAGGGGGTTACCTGGTGTTTGACATAAGCCAAGAGAGGGGTTACCTGGTTTTTGTCAGAGTAAGTGAGAGTTACCTGATGTTTGACATGGGGGTATCTGTTGTTGTCATTGGGATCAGCTGTTGGCATCTGAAACAATGGCAAAATAAAGATTTATGCCCACTCCTCGTTCACCTATAGGTCTTACATGGTAGATCAAAGTCATCTATTATTATCTGACAATATCATTGTTTGGATTTCTACTTCCCTTTAGTATTAATCTAATCCATGATTTCAGACAAACATGTTAGTGTATATTGATATAACTATACTTAGTTAAGAATAACCAGTGGGGTATTGTGACCTACTTTTCCAAGCATCTGTTTTTTGAGAGCCTGATAGCGCTCTTGAAGTTGCTCTGCCATCAACTTGAACTGGTCTCTTTCGCTGACACATTGTGCAAGTTCCTTACTGAGGATAAGAAGTGCCTCACACTTACTATCAAGCTTCCTTTTACATATCTGATACTGAAACAGAGATAAATGCTTGGCTAAAAACGAGTTTATTTATAATGCTATAACAAAGATTTACACATATGTCTTGTTGAGCGAGAACAAGGAAGTCCTTGTTTTCTGTACACAGTAAAGACCATGTCAGATATATCTGTAAGCTACCTGTCTATAACTTGATAGGATAAGTAGTCTGTAAACAGCTCCATATGAGTTAGTGTGATTACTTAAATATTGTTGACAAACAGAAGTTTATTATGCATGTAGAAAAATTTCACAAGTTCAATAACAGCACAAAGACCAGACAACTAAGCATGGATAAAAAGAGTACTTCAAGGCAGAACAATATATCACACAACTGGATGTTTTCTGGTGCATTCAAATTTTATAACATATATAGCAAAAACAGGGATACCAGGGCTATAGAATTTTAGCAAAGTCATTATTTTGCTGTGAATGATCAGCAACTAAGAATACAAAAATAAAAAAAAACTAAAAAAAAAACCATACAGATATCAAATGGGCACATGTACATATCTTTACAATTCTGACATAATGAATGTTATTCACTGTCATTGCCTATACATTGAAAGTCACAGCTGAGAAATATACCAGGTACAAGAGATATCAGGTGCTTTAACAGTATATTTTTCATGCTTAAAGGTATTTACCTTTCCTTCTAAAAATCAGTGATAGGGTATCATTATGTAACTCTGACATACCGTATTGTAGAAGGAACTGGCTAGTGTTGATTGTAAATAGTGGTAAATACAGTCTGTCTCTCAGCTGACAGAACATGTGTATTTTTTCCCTTTTCTATTAAAGTATTTTTGACATTTATACAAATGATAATGACCACTGTATCAGAAACATATTCATTCTGACAGGTCTTCAGAGAGGTCATGGATGACTAAACATGTGCTCCATCAGCTGAATAACAGAGAATGTATTCACACTATGTACAAACCACACTGACCTGCTTCTTATACCATTATACCATCTGTCTTAACCATTCTCTGAAAGTAAATCAGTTGTCAAAGTATATATATCTATGATCACATGTGACTTGCTTCACTCATTTGACTCTACAGTACGGTACATCCATTTTAAGGAAAGTAAATTGTAGTTGGATAAAGTTTCATGTTAAAACTCTGAGGAACTGAAAAGAACAATAGACCAAGGGGCTTAAACAGTCACCTGGTGAACTCACAAACACAAACAATTTGACAAAATGTGTAGCATAGTGAAGAGAAAATGAGAAATGCTATTTGTACAGTGAAAGGAGAGTGTAACTAAAGTTTTAACTTATTATTGCAAAACTTTGATGACATAATGGTGACCTAATAAACATTTGCAAACTTTAAACCTCTCCAGGAAGAAATGTGAGACCCTTGGATCATGAAATCTACAATTTCTGTCAAGTCCCTCTAGACCCTTTCATCCATGAAGAATATTTGATCCTACAATATTTGTGTATTGAGAAGATTTTTGAAATTTCAGTCAATTTGACCCTTATTAGCCCTGCCCATTAGCCCCTTGGTGGTCAGCCAGGATAAATATGTGCATATCATCAAATTGTCAATTCTAACCAAGTCTGATCTAATATCAACAGAAAAAATCAAATCATGCTCAAAAACATAAGTGTTCAACATAAATTAAAGTAAACTTTACTCCCTCTGATGGAGGATTCTGGGGTTATGAAATCTACAATTTTTGATAGGGACCCTTCAATCCATGAAAAATATTTGATCTTACCATATTTAGAAGATTTCGAAATTTCAACAATATGACCCCATTCTGGCTCCACCCTCAGGCCCCTGGGGGAGGAAACCATATAATTAATAATTTTGGTTCACCTTTGGCCATGAGTGGTTTCTTTGAATTTCATTCAAATTAGTTCAAAATTCTTACAGAAGAAGTAAAAAAAAAGATGCATAACGAATGCTGTACTATGCTGGATAAAAGAGCATCACAATAGGTCACCATGAGACTTTGTCTCAGGTGACCTAAAAAAGGCAACTTGACACTTCAAAACAATGCTGAGTTGAACCAATTTTCCACTGAGGTAACCAGTGCTACATGTTTTAATGAAACAGCACATCAAAATCCAATGAGATAAATAGAAATCTGATAGGAGATATTGTCAGACAAGATAAAAATGCTGCAAAAACAAAGGGCAATAACTCTAAAATGTTGTTCTGGGAAACAAAACTTCATTCTGTGATAATGAAAGCTTTCCAAATTTTAGAAAAAAAACTGGTTAAACAATGACAGATATCTTTGCACGATAATAAAAGTATAAAACTAACAAGCAACAATTTTCCCAAAACTTTTCCAACATGTGTTTAATAAATAAAACTTGCTTATTACAAACTTATAATTATAATTTTACATTACAAACATCATGTCAGTTTTTCTCTGTAATCATCTTAAATTGATTCAAATAAAGAAACAGGGACATTGATAAATCTTTCGAAAATTGTTGAATTAAAATGCTGTTTAGGAAAACACAACTTTATGCCATGGTATTATATTGGGTTTACCTTTTTCACAAGCTTTTGAGTACAATTATAAGAAACTTTTTGATAGCTCAGACGTAGAATTAAGTCATAGACCACAGTTAGCATGCAAAGCTATTAAGAATGACTGGCACAAAGTTAGCTCTCCCAAACCATATTGATATGGGTTGTACTGGTAGGTAACATTCTTATGGTATACAGTGTTATCTCCCATTTTTACAATACGACAGACCATTCTTTAGTATAAGAACCTTATTTGTTTTAATTTAAACCATCAGTTAATGGTGCTTTCATGTACTCAGATAAACTATTCGTCAGAAAATGCGTTACGGACAAATTTGAAATAAAATGTTATGTAAACAATATTTGTGATGTCTCTGATTGTCATTCATCAGTGTGCATCAACCGACATCTCAAACATCTGGTCCAGAGTTTGACCAATGTCTATGATCAGTTGCGTGAAAACACCTACCTCTGTCCGCAATGTTTCAAATCTGGATTGTCTTCTAGCTATTTCATCGTCGCTGATCCGGCGAGATGTCATGGTGTCGACATGGCAAAATATAGGTTTACGTTAGGCTGCCGCCAATCGATCTGACATTTGCCGCATCAGCGTTGTCATAAACAAGGCCGAGTCCACCAGATATACCGCTCTGAAGCGATAACAGAAGTTTAAAAAATTCTTCATTTCTGTATTTCAAAAATATACTTATGTAACGCCGTGAGACATTGATATTCATAGTCACAATCCGTTTTTACATCGTGAAACAAACTGCAAAACTTTGGATAGTAATTTAAAAATCTTAACTACAATCTGACCCTTCAAGCATTTATGTTAACCTTTTCAGGGGAGGCTACTCTAACGGGAAGAAGACTTTCACTTTGTCGACTACCACAGCACAACTACATGAGTGCTCAGTAAGCAGCTTGTTACCTGTGGATACACTGCTAGTAGTGATAGGACGTCGTTGCTGATAGATGAGGGAGCATTGGAGTCATGGCAGACTCAAGGAAATACACAGATAAAGACAATCCAAAGGATTTGTTCAAAAAACTATATGCCAAAGCTATTGCTCTTGGGGTAAATGAAAAAGAGTGGTCAAAATTGGAAGCTCTGAAAGACATCAAGAAAAGTACTTCAAAGAAACCTGTGATTGTTCGAGTGGTGGAAAAAATCTGTTTAGTCGTCCTGATACTTATCGCTGTTCTACTGTTTATTATTGTGACTGAGTGGCCTGTGAATAATAACAGACTCTTATTAATTTGGTTTAAGGTTCAAGACCTTGATCCTTTTCATGAGCCGTGCTTAGTTGAAATGAGTGAATCTGTCGGTGATTATTTCCGTCCACCAGTGGATTGTAGCTTTTGTGAAGGAGTTACACAAATTGACAGAGTATCAAATATCACCCGTGAACAGTTTGAAGCAAAATATGCATATTCAGGTCGCCCAGTGGTTGTTGAAGGATCTACTGCCAATTGGACTGCAATGAATGAGTTCTCTTTTAAATTCTTTAAAAAAATATATAATGAAGGTAGTCCCACTCTGGTTAATTCAGATACCAATTGTCAGTTCTTTCCATATGCCACAAATTTTGAAAATCTTGGTGAAGTATTTAATATGAGTGAGGAACGAGCCTTGATGAAAGATGGATTTGAGCCCTGGTATATTGGATGGTAAGAATTTTCTTAATTCTTTTCAGCAGACCATAATCACAACTCTATGCACATCTACATATATATATATATATATATAATGTTTGGAATCTATTCATTCATTCATTCATATCTTTATTTCCTCCATAATTGAAGAGTACAAAAACATAGTAAACAAGCAGTGATTTGTAAAGTGAGTGTACAAAAAGAAATCAGGGTGAAGTGTAAGATAAAAAAAAAAGAAAAATATGTCAAAGAATATAAGAGTTGTTTACATGATTATGATCAATATAGTGCACAAATGAAAAAAACCACTACATTTGAATATTACTGTTAGTTTGATTTATATATGATGCAGGAGAAATCATGACCAGAGTAATGGGCCATTTTCATAAATTTTCAGTAAATATAGGAAAAAGGAGGGGTCCTAGCTTCTATGTAGAATTGAAAGAAAATATAAATATGGAAAGGTCTGTTTCATTTATGAGGAGGTGAATGTCCCCTTGACTTCTCAAGGGTCATCCAGAGAATATATTAATTACTATAAAATCATATATTTTTGTGATGCTCAATTTTTTTTTTTTTTTTTCTATTTTCCTTAAAAAAAATTCTTGTTTATTGACATTTGATTTCATTGCTTAATATAGCTCAATAAATACACTTACCCTTTTTTTAACAGATCATGGACACATATGAATTCAATTGTGTATATCTAAAAATCAACGAAAATCCAAGAAAAAGAATGATTTTTCAATACATCATTTGGAAACAAATTATTTTCATATTACAATAAATGTTCTTCTAAAAACAAGCCTTTAATATGAAATCATTACATTTATGGTACTGGTACTTCAATTTTGTCAACCAGACCTCGGAATTGTTTACACCCAGATCTAGAGACTCAGACCTCAGGACTGTTTACATCCAGATCTAGAGTCTCAGACCTCAGAACTGTTTACACCCAGATCTAGATACTCAGACCTCAGGACTGTTTACATCCAGATCTAGAAAAAGTTCATAAACCACACCCTGATTTAGGAACTGTTAATACCCCTGCCTCAAGGTTTGTTCACATCCAGACATACTGTTTACACTGAGACTTAGAGAATGTTTACACTCTGACATAGAGCTAGAGACTGTCCGTTCCTAGACCAAAAAACTGTTAACAATCAGAGCTAAGGACTCCTCATACCACAACCTAGAGACTGTTTACACCAAAGCCTAGGGACTGCTCACATGCAGACCTACGAATTGCTCACACTCAAACCTTGAGACTATTAACGCTCAGACCTACGAATTTCTCACACTCAGATTTGGGAACATTTTACACATAGACAGCGGAACTGTTTACACCCACACAGAGAGAATGTTCACTCCCAGACCTAGGAACTGTTTATACCCAGACCTATAAACTATTCATGCCCAGACCTAGAGACTCTATGTTCAAAGCTAGGCCTAGAAACTACTCACAAACAGACCTATTAGTGTTCACACACAGGTCTAGAAACTGTTTACATGCAGACCAAGAGACTGTTCACTCACAGACCTAGGAACTGTTTACAGAAGACCTAAAGACTGTTCACTTTCAGACTTGATATGTGATTTCTGTAGACTAAGGGACTTTATTTCTACAATGTTAATTAGTTAGAGAAATCTATCTCTCACTTTTTAAAGGGACTGGTGGCCACACAGGTGGTAAATCTAGCATCCCCCAATTTTCAATAGTGTATGATGTAAGCTACATACATAAACAACTACAGCTCCTTTAGATAATTTTTACAACCACATTAGTGGACAGTAAAAGCTTTGGGTAATGTTGTACTGTGTGAGCTATATTCTTAAATCTTAGTCTTCATTGAGGAAATTATACCAGGTTATCCCTACTTTTCCGTATCATCCATGTGCATATTTTTACATGATTAATGAGGAAGTAAAAGTTGCTTTGTATTATTGATGTATGTATGACAAATACCTTCCAACATTCGTGATATACATGTACATTGTATCATCAATTCCTGTTATTTACACTCTGTAAGTTGCCCTGCAGCATTGAATTGCTTCAATGACTGTTAACTAAGATGGATGATTTAATACTGTCAATCCATCACATTGTTTACTTAAATGATGTTCATTAGCACTGAATAATTACAGAGGTTTGCAGAAGGTTGGTTTTGCTAGAAATACAGTTTTTTTTAACAGTCCACACCCAGAGAGAATGTTACCTTTCCAGCCCCTCATTAAACTCTGTTAATTTACAACAAAAAAAACACAGCAAATAGACAAAGAGGTCAGGCATATATCTTACCTGTCTACATTAATGGTGACAGGTAGATATTTCAGAGGTCAATGCAAACAGGTATTATAGCACAACCTCACAGTCACGAACAGGTATTACAACAGCACCTCACATTCTGGTCACAAACAGATATTACAGTACTATGTCATAGTCTTGCTTTCATCACAGTCTATAGGCAGGTTTGCTTACAATGACAGCTGTACTAGCTCAACCTTTTTCCCTTAGGAGTTGACTAAATCTAACCCAATAGGTATGTTACTGCAACTATGAGAACCTACCTGATTGTGTTATACAAGGTTCTACCACTTACATGTACAAAATGTACTGTAGTAATAAGAATTGGTTAGCCTTTACTTTATAAATGTATGTCACACCATCAACTCAAATTCGTTGTGTGTTGATCGGTTTTTTTTTTTTATTAATACCCCTGATCTCGGATTTCAATCACATCACTACACCGACCGTCGGGTCGTGTCAGTCACTTAACGTTGCTATATGTGGCGTCTGGACTCCCGAGGACGTCCAGAGCGACGTGGCTAGTCTGTATCCCTAGTTTTATTACTCTACACACTCACTCTTGCACAACTTCCTCACCTGTCACACCTGGACATGTACACGTCTCAAGACAACACCATATAAGGACAGACACTGACACTACCTAACAGGTAACACCAATTAAGGACATACACTTAAATGCACGGACAGTAACGAATACAGATTAAACAGGACGTTATGGACACTTACTCCAACTTACCCTGTGACATGTATTTCTCAAACTCTTCTCTTCTACAGCATGTTAACATTTAGTGTTTGCTGTACCATTGTAATCTATTGAATCATCATTTTCTCTCTTCTTCCTGAAAGCATTTTTGTTTCCTAAAATTCCTGACTCTGCCAATACTTACCTTTATATGGCTGTGGAGTATATGAGCAAGTGAGGAAGGCTTAAGTTTTATCTGTCCCCAGATAAAGACTAACCAGATACTATAACATTGGTTCTGACTGGGCTTTACACTGGTTATAGTGTATGTTAGTAAGGTCTTGTTAGACCATTGCCAGTAAAATGTTACAAATGAATGTCATTATACTGTTTTATGACAAGTTAGTAATTATAAGTTGACACCTATCATGGTCTTAAATGGCCTCATCATCCATGGACACTCTCTTTCCATGACCGTTGTTTTGAACATATAAATCTCCAAAACAAACAAACAAACTACGAAACAATTGTATGTTTTGTGTTTAAGCCTAAAGGGCAGGATACAGGGGTCTATGTTGGTATCATTATTGACGTTTTCATCCTGAGTTTTTCATTATTCTGTTTCTGTTGACCAACCAAAACAGTTCTTGCTTTGAATGAATTTGCAGAGGACAAGGCTACCATGATAGAATATGTACATACTGATAATAATTTTAGGCTGATCAGCTATGTTTCTAAAGTTCTTGCCTAGGATTTCTGTTTTGGTATGAAGATCAAATATGAAGTTCATAATTGCTACAACAAGAATGGCCTTCAGATTTCTCCTCAAAATATCGGCTGCAACGGCCTATTAAGCTCAAAATTTATAAAGAACTTCTCTAATGAAAGTTCTTCTCGCCCATTGACTTTACAGTCTGAAAGGTCAAAGGTGAAACATAACTATGAAGAAAACATTGGTTTCTATGTGACAGTCTCTTTTATAATCTGTCATAACTGCTCTCTCAGACAACACATCTGCTGTTGTATTACTGCTGGTGTAATACATTAATCTTTAAAAATATCTTCCATAGATTTGTTTGAATAGGGAAGAATTTTTTGAAATTGGAAATCAGTTTGTCTTTGTCTTGTATAGGGTCTGAAATTCTTATTTGTTTTGAATTTTTCACACTCAGATATGCTGGTAATATCAATGTATATTTTGTGATATATTGACTTTTGGTTTAGTGTCTGTGGGTTAATTGATAGGTGGTGTCTGTTTAGGCTATAGGGCAGGCCTAATGGTGGTTATACGTTAATAGTTATATTCTTCTAGGTCGTAACACAGAACAGCTTTCATCTTAGATATTTCACTCTCATTGTAATTTTGTTAAATGGTGGTCATCATAGGTATTTAGATGTATTTCTGTTATCCCTTGAGGTTTCTACTTCATACAGAATAGAAGATTGATATGTTCTGTGAGGAAGTCAGTTTTTACTATCAGTTGTGTGTGTCAGAATGAGGGCCTTAACACTAATCTGATGTATTGTCCCCTGACTTTTATGAACCAGACTCCAGATTAATCTTGTTGTGTTAGCTTCACAGTGTTTTGAATGGTATTTCCAAATGAAGTTTCAGAAAAAACTATGCAGGGGAAAAAATGGCGTTATTTTGTTGAGTCACATGCTAATCATTTATTATTTTTCCGTTATAATAAAATATAACTGCAATATAAAACTACAATATATATTAAATTTCTTGTTAGCAGGTCTAACTAGACATATTTTATTTATCACCTAGTAAGATGAACGCTAGTGTTACTGGTAAAGTGGAAAATCCGCTCATATAAAGGACTGATATTTTTGGCCATTTTTATTAATTAATTACATAAGATATTCTTTTTGTTGGTCATGATGGAAGTGTAAAGCATTGTGCTTGATTGGATGGTAACAGAGACTGTTTCTGGGTAAAATGCGCCTGTGCTATAACACTTCCACACCTGACAGCACTAAAAATATGTACCTTTTTGGGATGCATAGCCATTTTTGATGGACAGTAACATGTAATATAAGGAGAAGAGTCAGACACTGCTGACAGTGGTGATGGTAACATTAGGGTTTTATGTTACCAGCAGCATGGCAGTATATACTCAAATAAAAACATTTAAACAAAATCATTTGACATACAGAAGCAAAACTAAGCAGTTAAATGTTCTGCATATTTAGGGTACCTAATTGTAACTTAAGAGTGAAACCATTAAAATCTAGATTACTTGAGAGCTGTTGGCTTGTTCCACACAGTATAGAATTGTATAGCCACCTTTTCTTTAACTATACAACGTATAAATCGCGTGATAAAATCTATACAAAATATATATATCACGTGATAATGTCCTATTCTTCCATCTTTTTAAAAATGATCTTTTACTTTTTCATTTGTTGATGTTGATCCTTCTAGCTTTTAAATTGACCCTAATGACGTTTTTTTCGTGTGTATGTGATATTATTAATTAATTTATCAGTCAATTAAGTATTAATTTACATAACTCCTAAACCATAAGCAGGTACCACATGGCACAAAACTCAGCATCTCAGTTGATGGTGGGGATTAGTCCTATCAGATTTAGTTGTCTGGGATGCCTGAACCTTGAGCCAGACTCTCCTATCAGGAAATGTCAATAAAGTCATGCAATATAACATACAAAACCTACCCAAAAAAGGACAAGGGGGATGCGGTAGTACTGCTGTGTGGCAATAAACATTGATAAGGACCATGGCAGCTCTGAAATTTACTGTGGACACCAAAACAACAATCTGAGGTGGAATCTTATCTTTCTCTGGTCATTACATCCTGTGGGATAGAGATTTCACAATCTCCTTTGTTAGACGTCACCATCTCCTTTGTTAGACGTCACCATCTCCTTTGTTAGACGTCACCATCTCCTTTTTTAAGATCTATTAAAATTTAACAAGCCAGTTGACCAGATGGTGATGCTATAATACTATAGAATCATTTAAATTGGAAAGATTCAGGTGTGACAGGTGTTTTTTTTTTTATCGACCTTCTGTAACCTGATCAACCCTGTAGGGGATGTTTGAATATCACATATTTCCAGGAGAGGGTCATATTTCTGTTGATGTCGGAACCAACATAAGAGTCAAATAGAAGAGCAGTGATCACTTACCACATGACAAGGAGAAGTGGTAGCTTAAACGATAGCAACATGCACACTAGCAGTGGTGGCTAATCACATTCCGATGAACTGATACCTTACCACATACCAATAACCAATGAATAGCCTCTTCAACTAGGCACATGCCAGTGACCAGTGGTCACTATAACCACATGCCAGTGACCAGCGGTCTCTTACCACATGCCATTAACAAGAGATAGCTGAAATGACAACAACATGCCAATAAGCAGAGGTCACTAACCACATGCCAATGAGTTGTTGGTCACTTATAATATTCCAATAAGCAGAGGCCATTAACCACATGTTAATGAGAAGGGGGTCTCTTACCACATGTCAATGAGAAGGGGGTCTCTTACCACATGTCAATGAGAAGGGGGTCTCTTACCACATGTCAATGAGAAGGGGGTCTCTTACCACATGTCAATGAGAAGGGGGTCTCTTACCACATGTCAATGAGAAGGGGGTCTCTTACCACATGTCAATGATGAAAGGGGGTCTCTTACCACATGTCAATGAGAAGGGGGTCTCTTACCACATGTCAATGAGAAGGGGGTCTCTTACCACATGTCAATGAGAAGGGGGTCTCTTACCACATGTCAATGAGAAGGGGGTCTCTTACCACATGTCAATGAGAAGGGGGTCTCTTACCACATGTCAATGAGAAGAAGGTTGCTAGTTGAAGTTTCCTGTGACTGTTACTCAGGACATTAGACAGTTTGGCAAACAGATATCTACTATGGAAATGTAACATCTGGTGTAAAAGACAACGGAAACTCCGGCTTCTGATCTATCATAGAATTTATCATTTCTTATAAAAGTCAGGAGATAGAAAATCTATTGATAAAATTGGTGTATACTACAAGTATTGGAAACCTTCAGAATATCTGGTCAAAAAGACTTTAAAATCCAACTTGTCTTTCAAAAAGATTCTCCTCCGTTCTAAAGATAAAGTCAGAAGTTTGCATTATTTATGGTTAACATGTTTACATGTATTTATGATTGACTAGGTGTGTCAAATAAATATATCTAATTACCATCATGATATGGAGTCATTCTTTTTATGTTAAGTTTGTAGCTTTATCAGATAGAAATCCAACAAATTTCTGTAAGTGGATATCTTCATCATGAACCTCTCACAAGTTCACTGCTATCAGTTGGTTTAAAACAGACAAACACATCAGTTTGATATACGTTAAATTTTTATGCATTTGTGGTGTGAAATTCTGGCATACATAAATCAACCTGAACATCATCAATTTTGTTGACTATTTTATAAAACAGTGGCTACAGATGTTACCAATGTTTGTTGTTGAATACGTCAGTGTCAATTCATCATTTGTCAGCCCAGTATACAACAGGTAATCTGTATAACACTATCACAGGAGCTAATGACCATAGGACAAGTTTGTCACAGGACTTAATATCAAACAAATATTAACATCTAGGAATATAAATTAATTTTTATGGAAGAGGCATAGTCATTACAAGTGTTTGTTTACAGATTAAACACAAAACAAGTGTGTGATTATAGAAATGCACATAAAATCAAGTGTTTTATTGTAGAAAAATACAGAAACAAATGTGCGGTCACAGAAATATACACAAACAAGTGGTAATCGTAGAAATGTACACAAACATATGTTAAGTTATAGAAATATACCCAAAACAAGTGTTTGATTATGGAAATACACAAAAACAAGTTTTTATGCTATAATTATATATATGTACAATGTATATATAAATACCTTGGTAAGTGTTTTTGTTAAAATATACACAAAACAATCATTAAATTATACAAATAAACACAAAACAAGTGTTGAATTATAGAAATATACACAAAACAACTATGTAGATTATTATAGAGATTAAATGTTGCTGTTATTAATCCTTCATATTACAATATTTATAAATGTAGCTTTTTACAATTTAGAATTTATTTTGCAGGGGTAACTGTGATTTTTCAGCTGCCAACATCCTGAGAAAACACTACCATCGACCAGACTTCCTCCCGGTAGATTCTGAGTCAAGTAAAACAGATTGGATCTTCATGGGAAGTCCAGGACATGGCGCTCATCTACATGTGAGTGTGCTTCTTTTCAACACCTTCTGTGATACACTGTTTGCCTGGAAAGCTTTATCATTTATATCACTGTAATTGCCACATCATATTTACTTCAATGGTAAAATATTTGCACTATCTAAGTAGAAATGATCAATGTGATAAAAATTTGGCTTACTTTAGAATAAACAAGATTGTTTTCCACTCTGTTATGCTATTAAGTTACACATTTTCATCAATTTGATCATTCGGTTAATACTGTGCTGCAGAATTTCACCATTTTACTTAGGCAAAAGATTTCTTGAGCTGCTTTGTATCCATTAGTCAGAAAATAAATCACACACAGGATATTAGGATCAAGAAAACCCAAGTATCTTATCTCCCCAGAACATCTTGTCAAATAGTAATCAGTTTTTACTCTCAAGATGGTTATCTTACTGCTGTTTTGTTTGAAATTAAACACACACAATTAAAACTTTTATATAATTATCCAGGATTACCTGGTAATGTACTTAGGGATTGGATCTGTTAATTGATGAGAAAAATTAAGGTTAACTTCCCAGAAGACAAAGTTGTCTGCAAAATATCACAGACTGAAATCAACATTTTGTCTAAGTATACTATAAACCGATGTTATCAGTTTAGCAAATATAATTCATTTGAATTCTATCATACAGCAAATCTCTTCCACTGCACAGCATCTACTGAAAACCTCGTTAACCTCTGTCACAGCTGGTTAGTTCACGGCTCTATGTAAATTATGATTGATCAGTAATAACCATTTAGAAGTCATTAGTCTGTAAACAGTTTATCAATCTGTATAAAGTTTAATAATTTGTCAATATATAAAATATATCATTTACTGAATTATACACTGACATGACTTAGCAACAGAGGAATACAGGGCAAACTGAAGACCTAAAATCTAATGCGACAAATGAACACTCAAAATTCTGTATTAGATTTTCTGAGAGAAGACATTTTGGAGCCCGAGTTAAGACTGTAATGTGCTTTGTAATTTTATTACAGCCTAGTCTCAGACTATTTTTTCTCGCTATCAAAGTGTGAGTTTTAAACTGTTTCCAGTTACATTTGTATTTAGCCTTCACCTAAAGCTGCTTTGCAAAAAGTAAAAAATCAAGGGTATTAGAACGAGAAGCTGTCACAAACAACCTCCAACATGACACATAATTTTCTAAGTAAATTGATTAAAATTAAGGTGACTAAAAACAAAAAATACGCCATTTGATATTGGCAATAAGATATCCAGGAAGTAATGAAAGGATGGTTGAGAAAAAAAAGGATAATTTTTTTAGGCAATAAATCCTTGCACCTTGTACCAGTTATACATGATAGTTTCTCATTAAGGTAGGTTGTTTTATATCAAGGTTGATATAAATTCACATCACACAGACCACTTTTATAACTTTGTGTCCTTGACAAGTGTTTTTTTTCAGATTTTACTTGAGAATGTTATTTTGATGTGTCAGGATCTTTCCAGGGACCAACACATAATCTACTGTTTGACATATGCTACCAAAAAGTTTTGGGGGAGCATATAATCGCTGCATTGTCTGTCCTTCTGTCTGTCTTTTTGTCCGTCTTTTTTGTGTTAGGAGCAAAACTTTGCCTACTCTTAAGCAAGGACCATAAAAGTGATTGTTTATATTGGTCATACTAAGTGTGCAGTGTACTAAATTCAGAGCCCATGACCCGTCAATAACAGAGTTATTGCCCTTTGTTAAATTTTTGTGTTTGGAGCACAACTTTGCTTGTATTTAATCTAGACTAATGAAACTTGGTGTATACATTGATCATAGAAAGAAAGTATGCTGTGTATCAAATTTAGGTCTCACAACCTCTTAATTACAGAATTATTGCCCTTTGTTTAAATTTTGTGTCCAGAGCAAAACTTTAAATTGCTTGCATTCATTCTAGGATAACTTGTTGTATAAATTGATAATACAAAGACAGTTCATAGTGTACCAATGTTAGGGTCCATAACCCCTTAATTACAGATTTATTGCCCTTTGATAAAAATTTTTGGATTGATCTGAAACTTGTCATCAATGAGCCTGAGATGGTACTTAACAAGTACTTATAGTCATCTGGTCAGTCCAACATCCAATGTGGTCATCATTGCCTCCATTTTGAAAAAAAAACACATTTTGAAGTTATGTACAAGTTCACTTTTGCTATTAAGCTGAACACTTGTTCGGTTATTAAGGAAAAGTAGCTGACATCATGTTCTAATTTTGGGCTTTTTCAAACATTGACCTGGCAACCATGGTGACCAATTGTTGATTGTGCAGCTATGGCTTTCATAAAAAACAACTACCTTAAACCTCCAAAATCCAATTAACCACCATGACCAGCATTTCCAAAAATACATTTTAAATGTCTTCTCTCAAGTTCCAATAATGCCATTGAGGAGAATGTGGACAATATAATTGAACATTGTAAATGTTTTAGTTACATTAACTGCTGTAATGTCAGAATTATTTTTAACCATTTATTAGAATTGTTCCCACTACTGCTGTGATAGCCTCTATAGGACTTTATTACTCATGTCTCTGTTCCCATCCTGTTGAGGCTCAATAGATGCATGGGATCTGGGGGATATTCATGTCTCAACGACATTTTCCAATTTTGGCAGATATGAATAAAAAGAAAGTATCAAAGGTGGCCATCTGGTATTTTTGAGTCAGATCTAGAGTGGAGAAATCTTACTCAATTTTTGCACAGTTTTCTTGGCACCTTAGTAATGCAATGTCAGTGTACAGGAAGAGATAAAATAATGTTTTAACGATTTAAGATGCCAATCATCTTACTCTAGATATCAGAGAAAATTGAGGAGATCTTTCTAAAATTTTGTATATATAGGTTCTTTTTGGTTTTTGGTTTTATAGATAGACAATGTAGATCCGAGTACTGAGAGACTTTGGTTGTTTTATAGATAGACAATCCGAGTACTGAGAGACTTTGGTTGTTTTATAGATAGACAATGTAGATCTGAGTACTGAGAGATTTGGTTGTTTTATAGATAGACAATGTAGATCTGAGTACTGAGAGACTTTGGTTGTTTTATAGATAGACAATGTAGATCCGAGTACTGAGAGACTTTGGTTGTTTTATAGATAGACAATGTAGATCTGAGTACTGAGAGACTTTGGTGGTTTTATAGATAGACAATGTAGATCCGAGTACTGAGAGACTTTGGTTGTTTTATAGTACAATGAGAGACTTTGGTTGTTTTATAGATAGACAATGTAGATCTGAGTACTGAGAGATTTGGTTGTTTTATAGATAGACAATGTAGATCTGAGCACTGAGAGACTTTGGTTGTTTTATAGATAGACAATGTAGATCTGAGTACTGAGAGATTTGGTTGTTTTATAGATAGACAATGTAGATCTGAGTACTGAGAGACTTTGGTTGTTTTATAGATAGACAATGTAGATCTGAGTACTGAGAGACTTTGGTTGTTTTATAGATAGACAATGTAGTAGTATGAGAGAGTACTGAGAGATTTGGTTGTTTTATAGATAGACAATGTAGATCCGAGTACTGAGAGACTTTGGTTGTTTTATAGATAGACAATGTAGATCTGAGTACTGAGAGATTTGGTTGTTTTATAGATAGACAATGTAGATCTGAGTACTGAGAGACTTTGGTTGTTTTATAGATAGACAATGTAGATCTGAGTACTGAGAGATTTGGTTGTTTTATAGATAGACAATGTAGATCCGAGTACTGAGAGACTTTGGTTGTTTTATAGATAGACAATGTAGATCTGAGTACTGAGAGATTTGGTTGTTTTATAGATAGACAATGTAGATCCGAGTACTGAGAGACTTTGGTTGTTTTATAGATAGACAATGTAGATCTGAGCACTGAGAGACTTTGGTTGTTTTATAGATAGACAATGTAGATCTGAGTACTGAGAGACTTTGGTTGTTTTATAGATAGACAATGTAGATCCGAGTACTGAGAGACTTTGGTAGTTTTATAGATAGACAATGTAGATCCGAGTACTGAAAGACTTTGGTTGTTTTATAGATAGACAATGTAGATCTGAGTACTGAGAGACTTTGGTTGTTTTATAGATAGACAATGTAGATCCGAGTACTGAGAGACTTTGGTTGTTTTATAGATAGACAATGTAGATCCGAGTACTGAGAGACTTTGGTTGTTTTATAGATAGACAATGTAGATCCGAGTACTGAGAGAATTTGGTTGTTTTATAGATAGACAATGTAGATCCGAGCACTGAGAGACTTTGGTTGTTTTATAGACAGACAATGTAGATCTGAGTACTGAGAGACTTTGGTTGTTTTACAGACAGACAATGTAGATCCGAGTACTGAGAGACTTTGGTGGTTTTACAGACAGACAATGTAGATCCGAGTACTGAAAGACTTTTGTTTTTTTTACAGATAGACAATGTAGACCTGATGTCATGGCAGGCACAGATTACCAGCAGTAAACAATGGCTACTGGAGCCACCTCCTGAGTGTTACTACAAATGTGTCCACTCCATGTCAACTGTTGTTTCTCCAGGGGAGATAAGTATGTATGGTCTCCATCAGTTTATATACAGGGGAGATAACTATCAATTAATACACAGGGGTAGTTTGTTGTTGCTTTACATGCTATTAACAGCCAGGGTCATGTAATGCTGTTCCTGGTTTGGTTGGTGGAGGGAAGCTGCAGTTCCCGGAGAAAACCACCAACCTTTGGTCAATATCTGGTGACTAGCTTATGTAGGCCTGGAATCTGTGACCCAGAGGTGGAGGGCTAGTGACAAAGATGGAAAGACACCTTAAACATTTGGCCATAGCAGCTCCAAATGTACAGACGAGACAACTGTTATTTATATACAAGAGGGATATCTAGAAATATCACCTTCAATTGATATACACAGGATATAATTTTGAAAAAGGTATTTTCACAGACGGTTTGTTCTATCACTGTCCATTTACATAGACTTTGTAAACACAGGGGTATGATCCTGCATTATCACCTTCAGGGAAATAACCTTGTACTTTCAGTATTGATCAATGTTTACAGGAGATAATCCTGTGCTATCACCTTGAATTTATATACCAGTGAGATTTATCTGTGAGAGAGATACTGATTGTTGAAATCAAAGGGAAATAGATATCTAACATCACTGTTTATATTTAGCAGAAGTTTATACTATAACAAGGTCTTTTCTCTATTAATCTGTAAGTTCAACAGAAGAAAATCTATACCTTGGATGATAAAGAGGCAATTACATTTTTTAAAAATTTCTGTCCTCTTGTATAAAACAGATTTTGTGTAACAAGGCTCATCATATATTTATTACTTGAGAAATGACATTAGGGAGATACTGAATTTTCTGTCCTCTTCTTTAACTTGTATAAAACAGATTTTGTGTGACAAGGCTCTTCATGAATTTATCACTTGAGAAATAACAGTGGGGAATATTGAATTTTCTTTCTTCTCCTTTTCTTGTATAAAACAATTTTTAGTTACAAAGTTCTCCATGAATTAATCATCACTTAAAAGATTATTGGAGAGATCTTGAATCGTCTTTCTTCTTCTTTAACTTGTATAAAGCAAATCTATTGTTACAAAGCTCTCCATGAAATTATCATCACTTGAGAAATGGCAGTGGGAAGATATTGAATTTTCTGCTCAGTGATCACAAGACAAGTGATGAGTTTGTTGTTGATGAGGTTCTGACATGGCTACTGTACTGCGAAATGAAGGATTCCCCTCAATAATGAGAGGACAGCTGAATCTTGGTATTAGACGGACAATATATGGGGACATTAGTAAAGGAGAGATAGACCAGTATTTGATTAGAATCTCTATGTTAATGACTAATTAAGAATTAAACGTATGGTCATATGTTATGGTATTACTAGTACTATGTATGATCTGTATTTTCTCTCATAAGGTATAGCACTGTACTGAATTTGCTGTATACTGATGGAGGTTTATATGGTGTTATGTTATCTGTATCAGAATAAGACAATTATCGATCTGATTAAGTAGATATATATGTACCAGCCTGTTGATCAGGACTTAATAACAATAATCCAAGTTGGAGTTGTACCGCGGTATGTGATTTAGTCAGTTACTTAAGTGAAATTACATTGACCTCAGAGGAGAAATGACATACTCAGATTGGATTACTGATGAAGCTGTAAATGGAATGCAAAAATAATCTATTTGCAGACAGATTCAATTTCAGAAATTGCCAATTCACTATTGTAAGCAGTCATGTAGAATGATAAGATTCTGGGAGAGAGTCAGTGTGTGCCCCTCCCACTCTGTTTGTCATAAAACTCTAGTATTATACATGTAATCATCACAGCAGATTTACGATAGATTTAATATAATTATCTCCTTAAATGATTTAATTCACCCACTCACTGTAGCCTTATACAGTCAGCCTTCTGGAGTGTTTCCTGTATAAAAGTCATTTCCTTTGAACTTGTGTTTGGTACAGACTGGTTCGGCCTTAAGTTAATCCTTCAAGATCATCATTGATATAGATAGCTGTGGTGGCCGAGTGATTAAGATCTCTGACTTTATTACTATAAGCCCTCTACCTCTGGGTGACTGGTTCCCGGCCAACATGACGCAGTCACCTGATACCAGCCGCAGGTTGGTGGTTCCTTTCCAGAAAATCCAGCTTTCCTCCACCAGTCAAACCTGACACATCCTTAAATGACTCTGACTGTTAATGGGATGTAAAAAAACCCAATAAATTTGATGTCATTACCTAGTCATCATAGTTGAAAATTTGACATATACTAGTTGTTTTATTGTTATCGATGTAGATGTCTGATGTATAAGTGTACATAGATAGTATTAGGTCACTTTTAACCTGGGGAAGAAATGTTGATCTTATTATACATTACATATGTATTTTGAACATCAGACACAATTGGTTTCAGGGGAGACTTGTGAGGGCAAATTTTAGACAGGGCAAACCTGATTACAATGACTTTAAATCATTCAAATGATATTATCAGTTAAGATTTTGTAATATGACATCGGCACTGTCGAAGTGTGAGCACCATCTGATCAATACTACCAAATGCAAATAAACTGTTTCAGGTCTGTGAGTCATAAAAAAAACTAATTTGTAATTTTTCCTGAGCTAGACAGTTGATTTATCAATATTTGTCAATTTGATGCCACATTAGATACAAGACACACTTTGTAATGATCACACGGTCTAGCGATGATAGGTGTATATCTGTATAGTATTGATCTGTGTTCTGGTATGTTTCGTGTTTTAAGCTGTAAGTTAGATCAATAAGAAATTAAATATGCTTTTTTGCCTGATTGGTGAAAATCTACATTCTTGAACAAGTTTTTGGCATGGTGGGTTTCAAATTGTTAATGCATAAGTTTGTTAAAATTACTTGAATTTTGCTTATGTTTTAGTATTTTTTTTATTTTCCCACAGGAAAGTTTGAAAGAATTTTGTAAATTAAATTTACTTGAATTTGTTAACATTTTAATATTTTTTATTTCCTACATAGCTTGAAAGAATTCTGTAAACATACATTTTAGCTCTTATCTTATTTCAGCAATAAAATATTCCGCTAAAATATGATTGTACTTATTGTCGTTTCTGTATATCATTGATACCTTATTGATACAAACACATCAATCATGGCACAAATGAATTTATCATCCTTGTTATATCTTTGTAGTAATTGTGGACACAAACAAATGGTACCATGCCACACTGGTTGTGGGTAAAGATGTCAGCATCTGTATTGGATCCGAGTATGACTAGAGAACAAATTGAGACTGGAGGTTGATTGAGGACAGAAATACAGACGGCTACATCAAAAGATATAGTCAATAACGGGTCTACAGTAACTGTGATGTCACATCAGGTTAATAGAATCACCACAATGTCTACAGAATCACCACCAGAATCTACAAAATCATCAAAAATCTGCAATATCAAAATCAGGTCTACAAAATGAACACAAAGTCAGGTCTACATAATCGCTACCATGTTTACAGAATCTACACAGGTCTACATAATCAACATCAATTCTACAGAATCAACATCAACTCAAAGTCTACAGAATAAACATAAGGTTTAGGAGAGGTCTACAGAACCAATTACAGAATCAACTACAGAATCAACATCAGGTCTACAGAATCAATACCAGGTCTACAGAATCAACATCAGGTCTACAGAATCAACATCAGGTCTACAGAATCAATACCAGGTCTACAGAAGCAACATACCAGGTCTACAGAATCAATACCAGGTCTACAGAATCAACATCAGGTCTACAGAATCAATTCCAGGTCTATGGAATAAACTATGAAATCAATGCCATGTCTACAGAATCAATACCATGTCTACAGAATCAATACCAGGTCTACAGAATCAACTACAAAATCAACAATATGTCTACAGAATCAACATCAGGTCTATAGAATCAACACAAAGTCTAAAGGCTCTGACATCTTTTCAAACATTGTTAGAAAGAGTAGGTTGTACCATGTTAGAGAGAATAGGTTGAACCATGGTAGAGAGAATAGGTTGCACCATGGTAGAGAGAGTAAGTTGTACCATGTTAGAAAGAGAATAGGTTGTACCATGTTAGAGAGAGAATAGGTTGTACCATGTTAGAGAGAGTAGGTTGTACCATGTTAGAGAGAGAATAGGTTGTACCATGTTAGAGAGAGAATAGGTTGTACCATGTTAGAGAGAGTAAGTTGTACCATGTTAGAGAGAATAGGTTGTACCATGTTAGAGAGAGTAAGTCCTACCATGTTAGAGAGAATAGTTTGTACCATGTTAGAGACAATAAGTTTGTACCATGTTAGAGACAATAAGTTGTACCATGTTAGAGACAATAAGTTTGTACCATGTTAGAGACAATAAGTTGTACCATGTTAGAGAGAGTAAGTTGTACCATGTTAGAGACAATAAGTGATCTATGGTAGAGAGAGTAAGTTGTACCATGTTAGAGACAATAAGTTGTACCATGTTAGAGACAATAAGTGATCTATGGTAGAACTTACATATGATGAGGTTTCTTTACTTTGAATTTCCCATTCATTACATTGTACATAATGTACACGTTTTGCGATTGAAGTGCTTTGATATGTATGCATACTTTAATATTCTAATTCTTGAAAATATATGCATCTATTTAGATATATTTATTATTATATAAAGGCTGATTATAATTAATAAGTTATACATTACATGTCTTGTACATTAATTCTTTCAGTCATCTTTGGCCATAACATTATGTCTGTTGTCTGTCACCTTTTTCTTTAGAAGATTACGTATTCAGATTAGTTGAAGGGGTAAATTTCCATGCTTTGTTCCTGGTTATTTCTATGACCATAATCCTAGAAACTAGTGGTCTAGGACCAACTTCTAGGGCATCATTCCTCTTACTTCCCTAAAAAGCCACACCTTCAGGGAGGTTGTATATTTCTGAAATCCTTCACCTAAACTGAAGAAGTAGGCCTATACTTTGAAAATGACAACCACTTGTTTTCCGTAGAATGACACATGGGTTTATGCACCATGAGAAATTACTTCCATTTTCTTTACTGAACCTCTATACTGTGCCTCCTAAGGGTACTACAATCTACATGTATACAGCATATAATTCATTCATAATCTTTTTTAATCTATATTTATCTTCCGAAACTCAAGATTAGGACACTTAATACAGACAATACCCTCATGACCTAAACAAGGTTTAGCTATGATTGGGACCAATCAACAATGGCTGTCTGCTAACTGCAGAAAATCTTATCATACCTTCCACAACATTAATAGCTATCAAACTGGAATGGAACATTGCCCTTATATATTGTACTCACTTAACCAAAATGGCAGCACAGTGTTTTTTAGCATATCTGTTTTATTATAATAGTTATCAGGTGGTTTAAATTTCAATTTAATTCTTTGTATCATTTAGATACATCAGTTCGATTAGATTGTATCAAGAGATTTTCTCAAAGTCGATGAAATGATTCCATTTGCCAAGAGATTGTCTCATTGTAGATAAATGATTCCATTTGCCAAAAGATTGTCTCAAAGTTAATGAATCAATGTCAACTGCTAAAGTAACAAAATGGTTCTTTATGTGTCTTATGTTTATTGATAGATTTTGCTAATTATTCAGCTGTATTAACGTTTCTAACAGAAACTGAATCAAAGATATTCCTATGACAACCAGAACAAACTCTCCAGTATTGTGCTCCAGTAGTATATACTGGTGTTCCTATGACAACCAGAACAAACTCTCCAGTATTGTGCTCCAGTAGTATATGCTGGTGTTCCTATGACAACCAGAACAAACTCTCCAGTATTGTGCTCCAGTAGTATATGCTGGTGTTCCTATGACAACCAGAACAAACTCTCCAGTATTGTGCTCCAGTAGTATATGCTGGTGTTCCTATGACAACCAGAACAAACTCTCCAGTATTGTACTCCAGTAGTATATGCTGGTGTTCCTATGACAACCAGAACAAACTCTCCAGTACTGTGCTCCAGTAGTATATGCTGGTGTTCCTATGACAACCAGAACAAACTCTCCAGTACTGTGCTCCAGTAGTATATGCTGGTGTTCCTATGGCAACCAGAACAAACTCTCCAGTATTGTACTCCAGTAGTATATACTGGTGTTCCTATGACAACCAGAACAAACTCTCCAGTATTGTGCTACAGTAATATATACTGGTGTTCCTATGACAACCAGAACAAACTCTCCAGTATTGTGCTACAGTAATATATACTGGTGTTCCTATGACAACCAGAACAAACTCTCCAGTACTGTGCTCCAGTAGTATATGCTGGTGTTCCTATGACAACCAGAACAAACTCTCCAGTACTGTGCTCCAGTAGTATATGCTGGTGTTCCTATGACAACCAGAACAAACTCTCCAGTATTGTACTCCAGTAGTATATACTGGTGTTCCTATGACAACCAGAACAAACTCTCCAGTATTGTGCTACAGTAAGGGCAAATTCAATGAAGTTCATCCATAAATGCTTCATGTTGACTTTATCTGTAACCAGTTTATAATGCCAAGTTCATGACCTGATAATACACAACTGTTTCTGTAAGGTTATTTTGTAGCAATGCAATACAAGTACTGTATATACACATATTACACAGTCTTTATGGATGAAATTAAGTTAATTTTGATCATGTCAGATGAATGACCAGGAATTTATGATAAATAAAACAAAGACAAGGCACCTCCTGTACTAGAATTTTAACACCCCATTTACAGACATAGACTATATCATTTTTATGCATATGGATCAAATACAGGATTAATATTTCTTACTTACCTGGATACAGGTTTCCCTGTACATAGAAACAGGTTTGACTGAACATGGATACAGGTTTGACTGTACATAGAAACAGGTTTGACTGTACATAGAAACAGGTTTGACTGTACATAGAAACAGGTTTGACTGAACATGGACACAGGTTTGACTGTACATAGAAACAGGTTTGACTGTACATAGAAACAGGTTTGACTGAACATGGATACAGGTTTGACTGTACATAGAAACAGGTTTGACTGAACATGGATACAGGTTTGACTGTACATAGAAACAGGTTTGACTGAACATGGATACAGGTTTGACTGTACATGGATACAGGTTTGACTGTACATAGAAACAGGTTTGACTGTACAAGGATACAGGTTTGACTGTACATAGAAACAGGTTTGACTGTACAAGGATACAGGTTTGACTGTACATGGATACAAGTTTGACTGTACATGGATACAGGTTTGACTGTACAAGGATACAGGTTTGACTGTACATAGAAACAGGTTTGACTGTACAAGGATACAGGTTTGACTGTACATAGAAACAGGTTTGACTGTACAAGGATACAGGTTTGACTGTACATGGATACAGGTTTCCCTGTACATAGAAACAGGTTTGACTGTACAAGGATACAGGTTTGACTGTACATGGATACAGGTTTCCCTGTACATAGAAACAGGTTTGACTGTACATGGATACAGGTTTCCCTGTACATAGAAACAGGTTTTACTGTACATGGATACAGGTTTGACTGTACAAGGATACAGGTTTGACTGTACATAGAAACAGGTTTGACTGTACAAGGATACAGGTTTCCCTGTACATAGAAACAGGTTTGACTGTACAAGGATACAGGTTTGACTGTACATGGATACAGGTTTCCCTGTACATAGAAACAGGTTTGACTGTACATGGATACAGGTTTGACTGTACATGGTACATGGATACAGGTTTGACTGTACATGGATACAGGTTTCCCTGTACATAGAAACAGGTTTGACTGTACATGGATACAGGTTTCCCTGTACATAGAAACAGGTTTGACTGTACAAGGATACAGGTTTCCCTGTACATAGAAACAGGTTTGACTGTACAAGGATACAGGTTTGACTGTACATAGAAACAGGTTTGACTGTACAAGGATACAGGTTTGACTGTAAATAAAAGCAGGTTTGACTGTACATGGATACAGGTGGGACAACACATGGATCTAGGATTGACCATATGTAGATATAGGTTAGACTGTATCTGCATACAGATTTGACTTTTTTAATTAGACAGCATATACATTCCTGTTATATTTTATTGTGCAATAACTTGTCTTGATTGATTGATCTTACAATGGCCATCTTTATTGTGTGTGTGAAAACAAGTAGGGAACCTCTAGGTTCACCTCCTATTTTGCAATCACCCTATCATAAGCAATGTTATTTGAAACAGGTCTTGTTTGTTTATATATTATTAAGTATGCATTTTTTTCTGAATTTTAAAAAAAAAATATTGTCATTACAGACTGTGAAATTCAGTCATTTCATAAGCCAAAACTATTATTCAACATATTTCATGTGTGTTCTGTCAAACAGTTAGCAATATCATTAAGAATTTTGGGCTTGTCCTGTGAAGGACTCTATATATTTACTTGTAAGTGTTGACGGATGACTGATTAACATTTTATATAGATTAACCATCCTGTTTTAATGTTTACCAAATAGATGTTTTGATATTGATTTACATATCACCTTGACTTAATGTTAATAACAAACAATGCTTTTACTGTATATTAATACAGTGACTTTTTTAACTCTATTATGTTAATTTACAGCTATGTACTATGTTAATTTTCTTTTACCTCATGTTTTTATTTGATACTTCTGTTAATGATAAGTTTAAAACATTTCGACATCAAGTTTATGTGTGAAGTCAGCTCATAAAAACATCAAACACGACAATGTTTCATAAATCAAACAGCATTTGATAACATTCTGACAGTTGCTATTGTGCAAAGCCTTGAAAAAGTGTAACCAGGAAGACAAAATAACACAATAGGATGTAAATCATTGCCTACAGGTAAAGTTAGACACACAAACACTACAGGACATATAACATTGTCTACAGGTAAAGTTAGACACACAAACACTACTGGACATATAACATTGTCTACAGGTAAAGTTAGACACACAAACACTACTGGACATTTAACATTGTCTACAGGTAAAGTTAGACACACAAACACTACAGGACATATAACATTGTCTACAAGTAAAGTTAGACACACAAACACTACTGGACATTTAACATTGTCTACAGGTAAAGTTAGACACACAAACACTACAGGACATATAACATTGTCTACAGGTAAAGTTAGACACACAAACACTACTGGACATTTAACATTGTCTACAGGTAAAGTTAGACACACAAACACTACAGGACATATAACATTGTCTACATTTAAGGTTGATACAATGTTATTTGACATTCTTACATTGATGAATCAGTTTCATTAAGATCTACAATGTTGGGACTTGCATTTTAAATTTGTATCTTTATTGTGATAGAAGTTATATATACAGTATATACCTTGTCTGCTAGATAGATTTAGGGACTAGTATGTGGTGTATCATGATGTTTCATTATATAAATACTAATCATATCAGCTACACAGGTGTTGTTTATTTTCTGAAAAATTGATAGCGATATGACAAGACTTTTGTGCCAGCCTCCGGATGATGTGGATGAATCTGACCCTATTAAAACATCTTTTTCCATTATAAAAATGAGAAACAGTTAAACTAGTCAGAATTCTGTAAATCTACATATATTGATGGTAATATCAATTCATTATCTTTTGCAGACTCTTGTGCTAAAATACAATTACACAAATTGCAGTTTCTATATGTTGTTTAAATCAACCATTTCACTAAGTTGCCACGAAAATGATAAATTGTTGGTTTTCATTGTGCAAATTTCAAAATGTCGGCAGAAAAATTCACTAATATCTAATACATACCATGACAGTTAGGATAATGAAAACCAACAACCAAGGACCCGATTTTCAGAAAATGGGACGGACGTTTTTGAACTCGGGGCAAAAAGTTCAATCACAGGTAATTCACTTTGCAAAAACAATACCAGACATTCAAAACGGTGTGAGATCACATTTATTTGCATCCAAAGCAAAAGTTAAAAAAATATCAGTGATTTTAAAAATCACGGAATACAATCACAAATACAGTGTTATAGTACTGACAGTACATCTCTATTGATGAAGTATGGATCTCCACAAAAATGACACTTAATTGTGAAATACAAGATCTCTAAGATCAAGTATATTATTGAAACTCTTCAGTGAGGGATTCATTCTACAAAATTATGTACAGCTCAAATTACAGTTGGTGTGTGGGATGACTTTTCCCCAGAATCGTTTTTCACCGGTGTCCTAGGCACTGTACATACACGATATCTATCTCTACTGCCATGAATTGGGTTTAATTCATTCAAACAAAACAAAGCAGATTACAATAACATAAAACATTTCACAATGATGTAGACATCATAAAAATTATATCATGTACTGTATCACAATACTGTAATCACTGTCTTTTCAAATTGATGAAGATACTTAGGTATATAATATTATAGAAAGGTAACCTCATAAAGACTTCCCTCAGATCATCAGAAATTTGTATGACAATATCTTTATCAGAATGGTTATATATATAGGTTAGAATAATGTATTCCTAAAGGCAGAAATTTCTTCTTAATTCAATAAACAAAATATCAAAATACCTAAAAATTTCAAATTAAAGTTTCAATTCTAATCTTAATTAAAATAAAATTAAAATAAGATAAATTTTAATTCACAATAAAGTATTTTCCTTGCAGTCACATTAAAAGGACTTGTTCTTCCAGATAAACACATTCGTATTGGTATATTAGTTGACATAGCAGCTAAACAGAATAACTATATACAGCATGTGTGATTTTTTTTTCCAAGTGGTCAGTCACTTAATACTTATATTTGTTTAAAGCAAAACAGACACTTGTTTCAATAGTTTGTGAACATAATTCTCTTCAATATCTAAGTTTTTACCGTTCATTTTTGTTACTTTTCATATCAAGTATACCAAAACCTTTAGTAGTCTATGACATTTTGTCTTGCCTGTATCATACAGAATAAAGAACAAAACTAGATATACATTTTGGTGCAATTTTCGTCTTTTTCCTCACCAACACTTTTGTGGCAAACTTCCAAAAATTTCACAAAGGATGGCAAATATCCACTTTTCCCATTTTACAACGAAATGAAAGGGAAAATTTTCTTAGCATCTCATTTACAGCTTTTATTCTTAAAGCAGAAGATTCTCCCTATCTTACCTTAATGTCACTAAATAATAACAAGTGTTTTTCTAACATCTCTCTAGTTGAGTTACACAGAAACATGGAACTCAATTTCCAAACAGGATGGTCAGGATACAAATTGCATAAAAAGTAAACAGTCTCCATGTTTAATGGTATATTAGTGAAACATTGAACAATTTATTGTCATTCATTGAAACAATGCCTTATGGTGAAGATTTTGAGGAGCTGTCATCTGAGGATCACAGTTGAATCAACATATTAATTCTTTGATCAGCATTACATCACATATGGTTGATTGCCAGTATTTCTTTGTTGAGCATTTGGCACCTGAAATATAAACGTAAACAATGAATAACACAGCCAGCCAATCAAAATCAGGCAAAATATCTCAGATATAGTCGACATTTCAAATGTATTTATTTACTGATCAAAGAATAACAACAGCTGACACAATGTTGGAGGCTATTATACTGAGACAGTAGCAATTTAGAAGGGGACATACCCTTTGTAGAGGCTGTAATATTGAGACAGTTATAATCTAGAAGGGCATAATCTGTGTAGAGGCTGTCACATTTAGACAGAAATAACTTAGGAGGGGAGATAACCTTTGTAGAGACTGTCACACTGAGACACTAGCAAGCTAGATGGGGACATTACCTGTGTAGAGACTGTCACACTGACACAGTAACAACCTAGATGGGGACATTACCTGTGTAGAGACTGTCACACTGACACAGTAACAACCTAGATGGGGACGTTACCTGTGTAGAGACTGTCACACTGACACACTAACAACCTAGATGGGGACATTACCTGTGTAGAGACTGTCACACTGACACAGTAACAACCTAGATGGGGACATTATCTGTGTAGAGACTGTCACACTGAGACACTAACAATCTAGATGGGGACATTACCTGTGTAGAGACTGTCACACTGACACAGTAACAACCTAGATGGGGACATTACCTGTGTAGAGACTGTCACACTGAGACACTAACAACCTATATGGGGACGTTACCTGTGTAGAGACTGTCCCACTGAGACACTAACAACCTAGATGGGGACATTACCTGTGTAGAGACTGTCACAATGACACACTAACAACATAGACAGGACGTTACCTGTGTAGAGACTGTCACACTGACACAGTAACAACCTAGATGGGGACATCACCTGTGTAGAGACTGTCACACTGAGACACTAACAACCTATATGGGGACATTACCTGTGTAGAGACTGTCACCCTGACACAGTAACAACCTAGATGGGGACATCACCTGTATAGAGGATGACACACTGATAGGGTAATTAACTTAAAAGGGAGACAACTGGTATAAAGGTTGTCACACTAAGGCAATAATAACATAAAAGGGGAGACAACCTGAGTAGATGATGTCACACTCAGAGAATAATTGCAAAAAAGGGGAGACAACCTGAGTAGACGACGTCACACTAAGGCAATAATAACATAAAAGGGGAGACAACCTGAGTAGATGATGTCACACTCATAGAATAATTGCAAAAAAGGGGAGACAACCTGAGTAGATGATGTCACACTAAGGCAATAATAACATAAAAGGGGAGACAACCTGAGTAGATGATGTCACACTTAGACAATAATGACATAAAAGGGGATACAACCTGTGTAGAGGATGTAACACTAAGGCAAGAACTACATGAAAGGGGAGACAACCTGTGTAGTGAATGTCACACTAAGGCAAGAATTACATAAAAGGGGAGACAACCTGTGTAGAGGATGTAACACTAAGGCAATAACTACAAAAAACGGGAGACAACCTGTGTAGAGGATGTAACACTAAGGCAATAACTACATAAAAGGGGAGACAACCTGTGTAGTGGATGTCACACTAAGGCAAGAATTACATAAAAGGGGAGACAACCTGTGTAGAGGATGTAACACTAAGGCAATAACTACATAAAAGGGGAGACAACCTGTGCAAAAAATGTCACACTCTAAAAATGATTGCTTATTTCTGTTAAGTATCATCTATGAATCAGATTTAGCACTTTAACATATTTCTCAGTCAATGTAAACATTAATCTTCTGTTCTCTTTTATCAGATCATTCAAATGTATCAAGTGGTTTGGATAATTTGAAAATAAATGGAGAAAATGATAGGATGACATCATAATACTACCAGTACTAACAATCAAAAAACAAAATCATCATCATCATCATCATCATCATAATCATCATCATCATCATCATCATCATCATCATCATCGGAATCCCTTGGTAAGGACATATTCCTGCTATGGTGAAGAAGTCTTTCTACTGTAAAACAAAAGAAAAAAAAATTGAAAACAGAGTTTCAAACACAAAATAATTTTCAGTCCTTGTTTATTTGTACACCCTGTAAAAGAATAAAACTTCTTTTGTCTTCATTTTTTAAACTGATGCAGTGTTGCCAACTCGTTTGAGTTTGTCAGATCAACCTGATACATGTATTAGTCATTTTATAGTCGGTACAATTCACTGGATATTTCTTTACATTTGATAAATTTTCAAAAATTCTAAAATCAATATTTTAGATCGAATTGAGTCAAAATAATGTTCACACACTACATACATTGGCTGATTGATAAGTTATGAGCCTAATATTTAAGGATTTTACTTCTGTTGGACATAATGTAAAATTTTCTGTTGTAATCTCCTTCAGTATCTATACACTTTTGCCAGTGATGCTTAAGATGTCCTTTTCTTGACCGTTCAGAAAGTCCTCCACTGCATGTATGAGGTCACCATCTGACCGAAAGTGGGTACTTAAAATGGCCTTTTTTTAATTTTGGAAATACACGAAAGTTTGATGGAATGAGATCAGGTGAATAAGGTGGATGCACTTGAGACTTGAGAATATCATCAGCATTCCAGAAAACCAAGGCCATAACATTTCCAGCTGATGAAACAGTCTTGGCCTTCTTTGGCCAGAGTGAACCAAGGTGCTTCCATAGTTTAGACTGTTGTTTGGCCTCTGGATGAAATGACAGACTATAGTTTTATCCATAATCACAAACCTCTGCAGAAAGTTAGCAGGATCTGCCTCTAAAAGATTCAGATTAGCACACAAAAAAGTCTGCCTGGTTTGCTTCTGATCAACTCTCAGAAGTCTTCGTGTCCAAGGGGCTGAGAGCTCTCTCAGTGCAAGATCTTCTGTAAGGATGGAATGTACTCTTTCCTGTGAAATCCCAACTGTACTTGCTATATATCTTTCTGTACCTCGCTGTCAGTCATAACAATATCATGGATTTTATTTACCATTTCTAGGGTTGCAACAGGCCTTCCAGGATGGCAGTCATCCCTATAGCACAGTGATATTGTCCATTTTGTAAAAGTTGCTTGCCTTGTTTACTTTAGACATGAACTGACCAAATGACACAATCTTTGAGTACACAGCCTTAAATAGCCAGTGAATAGTAGAGCTAAAAAAGGACAACTTCAATACCAGGCTCACAACTTATGAATGAGCCCTCATAGAACATTGTCTATATATATAAAAATGTGATAACTATACAACTGATTTGGTTATACATGTCACATCTTTTTCCTTGATGTCCATGTAATTGACCCAATCACTTTTGACTTTGAACAGCTACGACCAGATAATAAAGGGAAAGAAGTTGGTGACACTGTTGATTGTACAATAAAATGTGTACCATTACTTTGTGAGCTGATGAAAAAATCATGGTAGTGATAACGTAGATAGAAAAGGAACAACTAAATCTGTTTCTGATCCTCATGGTGAGTCAATACTGTACACGTTGTTTATGGGTTGCTCTTATTTTTGAGATTTTCAGTTATATTTCAAATGTGAAATATGAGAAAATTTAGTCCAATGAAGACAAGGTATTTACCATAGCAACATATATCATGCTCTATCTACTTATCGTGAGTCATCCGAGTTAGGTAAAGACATTAACAATCGACAAATTTAATTAAAAACTGCAAATACATCTTCAAAAATATGATTTTCACAAACCTGTGGAAGAAGGAATCAGCTAGACAATGTGGAACCATGTAGCCTGTTAATGGTTCATATTTCTGCACATCAAAAACAAATTCAACAAAATTTTCAAATTTACTTTAACCACGAAAATTTAATCTAGTATCAGTAATGCAGACTGGTACCCACAGTAAGTTGAGTACAGCACATCTAACCATGCATATTATCACCGTAAGAGATATACTTAGTATAGTTTTACCTACCCGTCTCCTTTCTGTCTCGGTGATATTTTGCCACCTGCAATTGAAAGGATTTACTTATTCATGTAAACAAATTTTGTGCAATTACTTTTCAACTTACTGTCATTACCAGTTTTGTACCTGTGAGGTTTACCTTTACTGATATACCTGTTGATTAATGAAAAAAAACACATAAAATTACCATTTATCTGCCTTTCATTTATATCTTTTGACCTATTTAATGCTTCATTCAACTTGGTTCATCATATCAAAATAAAGCATCACACAACTGTGACAATGAAATGATGGAACAGTATACATGTTAGAAGGAAAACACAGCATAAGTGATATCAAGGCCCTGTTTGACCCACAGTAAATGACACATTAGCACAATGAAAAGGAGATATCATATGATCAAAAAGAAAACATACCGTTTCTTCGTGTTGATCCCTGCGTTTACGTAGTTCTATTGCCTCTTTCTCCAACTTCTCTTTCAGAGCATGCATACCTGACTCAGGACAAACAATATGTGCTTCCACATTTTTGGTACCACCATTAAATTTGATATCAATCTTCGACCCCTTCGTAGCCAGCTTCCTCAGTGTTTTACCCTTCCTCCCAATAAAATTCCCCACATCTTTTTCACGTAGAGATGGCAAAACCATGACCTCCTTGTTTATCTTCCTTGTCTGCGGGTTTGAAGAGATGGGATCCAGGATGCTGCAGTGATTGTTCTGAAGGAGCTGTTGTAGAAGGTAAAGGAACCTACTGGCACTGCTCTTACTGTTATCTAACAACTTATCTTGCATCATGCGGTCTCGGAAATTTTTGAGAAAACCATGAAATTCCTCACAAGGGTCTTGCTCTGCTATGAAATGATCAAAATATGGTTTTGCTGCTGCGATATTTTCTGAGGAAACTTTTTCCCATCTTTCTGTCAAAATGTCCCGTATCTGTTTTTCTTTACTGCTATTTATACCTGCAATATGTTGAAGAGTTCAAATGATAAAGTCGTCACTTCAAAGTCACAGATACAGCTTTGAATTTGCAAGTTATTTTTGCGATTTTTCAAAGAATCAATTTTCACAATGGGTGTATCTCACAAACAAGATGTCAATCAAGGTGTTTTATTCATACAAAAATCTCTCGATACCCTATACACATGTCAGTTATATCACACTATTACAATCTACTGTTTCTAATTAACATTACAATGCTGAAAATGTATCTAATGTGCTCAGTTGGTTGATGAGGGTTAGAATGGGGCATGATTGACGATTTGTTATTTAGGGGTTCATTGACGCATGGCTGAAAGCATTGTGGCTAAGGGCTTAGTCAGGAAGTCTGACCATAGGTCAGTGGGGCGGTCACTGCTTCAGGGTCTTATGTATATCTATCAATTAGCAGAACACGAGGAGAAAGTAGATAATAATCTGTTGAGCTTCTTAGCTAGGATGAATTTATGAATGGATTCTCCGGTGTTGTACTGGACTCCTGAGGGGATGCAATATCTATGTTGTATAAAGTATAAATAAACCTGTAAATAAATATTTTATGCAAGGAAGATAAATTGTGTATAGCTGATGTGTCTAATATTCACAAAACCGCCAGTGTGTAGATGTTAATGGACAGGTGTGGTACTCAGTTCCTAAAATGGGCATGGTATCTGGATTGCTTAAGAGTCAATTAGGTCAGTGGGCTAGAACCAATATTTCACCCAGTACACTTTTTCTATGAATACATACAATTTAAAAATCTACAGCAATTCTAGGTGCGATGGAGAACCTGGTGTACATTAGGGTGTAAGAAAGGCGAAGTGTGCTTTATTTATCAGCAACAGGTAGAGAGAAGTTTAGCAAGTTGTACATAACTGTAAATTTGTTACTTTGTTTGGATTTTATACAGTGTTGAAACATAATAAATGGTGTTGTTTTCCTTGCTTAAATGGCAGGGTCTGCTCACAACACTCACATATGCATTTTGTGAAAAATCTCTATAACTTTAGATGACCAATAATGAAACATCTGGAAAATATATTACATAATGAATATCAACAAGCTCCTGTTCTGTGTTCTCCCTGGGTCACTGCCCCAATAACACTGTTATTCCAATTAAATACCATGATATTGCACCAACTGACTGATGGCTTACATTGATAGAGATACAAGCAGATATGATAGAAGAGCAAGTTTTTAGTGTGATACAATTAATAGATTAGGGAAATCCTTGATTTTATAAAACATACTGGAATTTGAACACAACAACCTCTAAATTCAGAGGACAAAAATATAAAAAAAGAATCAGACACATTTGTGTAACAGGTGAGTCACCAAATGCTTTTCAAAAATAATCACATAAAAATTAGCATTTATACAATAATTTAACAAAGTTTAAAAAGTACATTTAATTTACATTTGGGAGTAAAAAATTCAAAAATGTTTAATTTGTTTTAATCCAATTAAACATATAAAGCACAGGATTGTGTCCATCGACAAAACAATTTACCCCAATTACTCTGGATGGCATGCAACAAACTTGTTATTCAGTGTGGTAGGTAGTCACCAGTTACTACCCACCATAAAATTACTCTGGTTGTTCACATAGTGAGATACAGCACATAGTAATTTAAAAAAAAACAGTAAAACCATGCAGGTGCCAAATGAAATGGAAATTTCTAAAAAGCGATTTCACTTTCAATTATGACGTTTACATACACTAATGTGATCGTACGAGGTGAGGGGATTTCCATCCTCTTTAATGGTGTTCTAAAGCATCCTTTCAAATCGAAGGATACTTCTATTTTGACAAAACAATACCTTATACAATCTCCTTCTAAACGTTGCCACATCAGGTGTAAAAGTATGTATTATCTGGTACAATCACAGTATCTGTGATACCTTACTACGTACGTTACAGTGGTAGGTCGATGTACAGCATACACACCTTTAGTTTCATTATGACATGTACAAATTGTTCGAGGAATTCTTTTTAATTGGTCCTGCTGTAACTTCCCATGTAGTCTGTTTATAACGAAGTGGTACTTGGCTCGCCATTTTATGTCGTGACAAAGACACACATTACGTGATTCGTCCATGTTGAGGAACGCAACGTTATTTTGTACTCTTCATGACGCTTGTAATTTACTAATTATCCTTCCAATACAAACACTTATGTGATAAAGTATTTCTACTTTCGCTTTGGTCAAAATATAAGTTTTCCACGAATTCTTCACGTGTGTATTTAAGTTACTTTTATGTCTCTGGTTACACCAAGATTTCACTTTCACTTTTCCATCAGTAACGTTGATATGTAAATTAAACTATGTTCAATGCAATTTCTTGAATGTTCCTGAAGCTAGTTTGAAGAGGGCAGATTGCAGTACGAGTCTGACCCTTACATGGAAGTGGAAGTAATAGAACCCTTTCTCTACCTCATTATTAAAATCTATCAACTGATGCCCAATCTTCTACACAGTGATCAAATACCTAGTCAATTACATTGATTCCAAAGTTCATCAAATGCCAAGTCAATTACATTGATATTAGGTTCATCAAATGTCCAGTCAGTTACACTGATATCAAAGTTCATCAAATGTCCAGTCAGTTACATTGATATTAGGTTCATCAAATGTCCAGTCAGTTACATTGATATTAGGTTCATCGAATGCACAGTCAGTTACACTGATATCAAGGTTCATCGAATGCTCGGTCAGTTACACTGATATCAAAGTTCATCAAATGCTCAGTCAGTTACACTGATATCAAAGTTCATCAAATGCTTGGTCAGTTACACTGATATCAAAGTTCATCAAATGTCCAGTCAGTTACATTGATATTAGGTTCATCAAATGCTCAGTCAGTTACACTGATATCAAAGTTCATCAAATGTCCAGTCAGTTACATTGATATTAGGTTCATCAAATGTCCAGTCAGTTACATTGATATTAGGTTCATCAAATGTCCAGTCAGTTACATTGATATTAGGTTCATCAAATGTCCAGGCAGTTACATTGATATCCAGGCAGTTACATTAGGTTCATCGAATCAGTCAGTTACATTGATATTAAGGTTCATCAAAGTCAGTTACACTGATATCAAAGTTCATCAAATGTTCAGGCAGTTACACTGATATCAAAGTTCATCAAATGTCCAGGCAGTTACATTGATTTTAGGTTCATCGAATGCTTGGTCAGTTACACTGATATCAAAGTTCATCAAATGTCCAGGCAGTTACACTGATATCAAAGTTCATCAAATGTCCAGGCAGTTACATTGATATTAGGTTCATCAAATGTCCAGGCAGTTACACTGATAGCAAAGTTCATCAAATGTCCAAGCAGTTATATTGATATTAGGTTCATCAAATGTCCAGTCAGTTACTTTGATATCAAAGTTCATCAAATGTCCAGGCAGTTATATTGATATCAAGGTTCATCAAATGCTCGGTCAGTTACACTGATATCAAAGTTCATCAAATGTCCAGGCAGTTACATTGATATTAGGTTCATCGAATGCTCAGTCAGTTACATTGATATCAAGGTTCATCAAATGCTTGGTCAGTTACACTGATATCAAAGTTAATCAAATGTCCAGGCAGTTACATTGATATTAGGTTCATCGAATGCTCAGTCAGTTACATTGATATTAAGGTTCATCAAATGCTCGGTCAGTTACACTGATATCAAAGTTCATCAAATGTTCAGGCAGTTACACTGATATCAAAGTTCATCAAATGTCCAGGCAGTTACATTGATTTTAGGGTTCAGTTACACTGATATCAAAGTTCATCAAATGTCCAGGCAGTTACACTGATATCAAAGTTCATCAAATGTCCAGGCAGTTACATTGATATCAAAGTTCATCAAATGTCCAGGCAGTTACATTGATATTAGGTTCATCAAATGTCCAGGCAGTTATATTGATTTTAGGTTCATCAAATTTCCATCAATCTATTATAATAATTTATCAAGTGTTGAGTAAACCTCCTGATGAACATTGTATGTTAAGGTGAATTTCTCATGAAATCCTATACAGAATAAAGATCAAGTACCTCTGATCAAAATTTTTTTTATTACAAAAATATGGCCAAAGTCTTGTTGACAGGAAATCATTATGTAACAAGTTACTTTACCTCTAGAAAACATCAACAATTATAAACATTACTACTTCAAACATAACATTTGAAAACTTACATCTGATGTGTTTGATAGTTTACTAAGGATATTGGACCTGCTTAACCAATGAACTGTCAACTGACATCCATTAAATAAACTGTGTACCAGGAAATGTTCACCCCAGTTTAATTTTTGCTTTTTTTGTCCATTAAAAAGGAGGGTAGCTTTAAGATGGAGCAAAAATTTGCTACACTTACATGACCATTTTATATAACCCTCAAAATGGCAAAAAGAACATGAAGTGAATTTGTGTAATAATGGTACAAGGGTGAAAATAACCTGGAGCGAAAGTATCTTGGTATACAGTATACAAAAAGAAAGTCTAATGTGATCAATTAAATATTATTAATCAGTGGTCCCAGGTCATCAAGATTAATTGTATTCAAAAGATATGACCAGGACTAATTATTACCATCATAAATAAATATAAAGTCACTAAACAAAAGGAATAGTGTTAGTACTCATTAGAATACACAATATTCTATCTTTTTCTTTCTCTAAAAACAGTGTAAAGCACTATGTTTTTCATTTCTTGAAATAATATTTCTGCTTTGCTTTATTTTACATGTATAAGGGTAAAGTACATGCAACTGGCTATTTAGTATTTAAGGTAAATGAAGCTTCCAATATTTTGAAAGGATGAAAAAAAATATGATTTTATTCATGTATTGAAGTATGGAATAAAAATGTCATCATTTGTACTGTTTCAAAAATTTCAAGAATGAAAAAAATAAGAAAAAAAAGAAAACAAGAGGCCCAAGGGGCCTTAACGGTCATCTGAGGAATATATGTCAATAATCTGGGGATTTTAACATGTTGCAAAAATGTAACAACACTTGTGCAGGACCATGTGTAAAACATCTGTACCAAGTTTGAACATGACCCACCCAATGGTTCTTGAGAGGAAGTCCATAATGTCTTAGCCAAACAGAGGCCAGGGTGGCCATCTTGGATTTTGAATCGCCCCAAAAAAGTTAAAAAAAACACTTGCCAGGACCTTGTGTAGAACATTTGTATCAAGTTTCCCCCTTTTTCCCCCTCCTGGAGCCCCTATTAGGGCCACGCCCTTTTTCCTCGCAAACTTGAAGCAGCTTCCCATGGGGATGCTTTGTGCCAAGTTTGGTCAAAATCCATTCCCTGGTTCTTGAGAAGTAGTCATTTAATGAAGGTTTTTTTTATAAATGGCCCCTTTTATACCCCTTACGGGCCCTAAAGGGGACATTATCACTTTTTTCAACATAATTTCATATGTCCTTCAATAAGGGATGCTGTCTTCCAAATTTGCTTGAAATCGGTCAAAGTTGAATTTTTGACCCTTTTGAGCGCCCCCTAGTGGGTCCGTTTTTTACCAGATTTTTTTTCATTCGCAAACTTTGTATACCATGCCATAAGGACCCTAAATATCAAATATGAACTTAATCTGACTGTTGGTTCATGAGAAGAAGATTTTTAAAGATTTACCTAATTTTACCCCCTTTTTCCCCCTTCTGGGGCCCCTATTGGGGCCATGCTTTTTTTCTTCGCAAACTTGAAGCGGCTTCCCATGGGGATGCTTTGTGCCAAGTTTGGTCAAAATCCATTCAGTGGTTCTTAAGAAGAAGTCGAATATGTGAAAAGTTAACGACACACGACGCATAGCGCACGACGACAGACAAATCATGATGGCAATAGGTCACCATGAGCCTTCGGCTCAGGCGACCTAAAAAAGGGGGATACACAATATTTAGCAACTAATAAGAAATCAAAGCAACAAGTCACTAATATACATGTATATAACAGAATTTAGTAACTTATGAGGGAAAGTACTAATCACTGACATGCGATATATAAATATCATAAGTTACTACAATTTTACCAAGTTTCACCAAATCTGACCTAAGCACTTATGGACCCATGTATAATGACCTGGCTAAAATGACAACTGAATTTCTGCTGAATAAAAAATGCATGCACATCTACACATGGTCCATAAAATTCCTGTGTAGTATCAATGAAGGAAAAGGAAAAAACCTTTCACTTAAATTGAGCGGCTCAAATTGAATAACCAAGGAATGAAAACAAATTTTCTTTTCACTTCAATATTTAGTAATTCATGGAAGATATTCAAATTGAATAACCTAGGAATGAGCAAGCTACTTAATATATATAAACACTCAGTTATTTAAGAAATAAAGCAACAACATAGAACAATATAAATTAGGTAACCAATAAAGGAGGACATGTTATTTATCCATAGTTAATGATGGGGAGTAGGTTATAAGTAAGATTGTCATTGATGTCATAGATACCAGGTATATGAATTATGTATGAAATATGATGTCTGACAAAATTTTTACTGCTGCCTCTCTTCATATCAGTAATAATAAATCAAACAATTTCTGACGATACAAAAGAAAAGAGAATTATATCAAAACAAACTGGAACCGTCGTCTGGTGGCCAACTCATACCCACCCACCACGCCAGAGTTGTTCGTAGAATTATAAAATGGTATATATGGGATATATATAATCCATTCAGTACTTTAGGTACAAGGGGCATAAGTTTTTGAAAGGGGAAATAACTCACTTTGATATAGATTACACACATTTGCAATATCTAAGGATTATTGCATGAAAACTCGTTGAAATCCATTTAGCAGTATAGGACTAGCTGGTACATCATTGCATTCCCAAAGGGGCACAACTTTCCAAATATGTAACAAGAAGCCAAACTGACACATGACACAAGGCAGTGTAACAAGGAGTCATGCACCCAGAGGTCAGGGATATTAAAAAAGTAATTCTTCTTCATCAAGAAAAAATACGAACTTCAATTCAAATTAATGAAAACAAAATTTTAGCACATGTATGGCAGTAGATAATATGAAATATTTTTATCACAATTCATGTCTATGGGGCCAACAGCTAGCAACTATTGAGACAGGAACTCCCTCTCTACAGCAGCCGCCATTTCATCATCAACAGACCCAATAGATTCGCCATAGTCTGATTCACTAGCACTATCTTCAGCAAAGGCCTCCAATGTCTTTTCAAATTTCTCAAGTTCATTCTCACTTTCTTCACCTCCATCATGATACCTATCATCAGGATCCTTATCATGAGATGGACTGTTTTCATTAGAGGTTGATTTCCTGTCCTTAGACTTCCATCCTCTCGGAAAATCACCTGTCATACTTTCCTCACTTGATGACTCATGAGCAGATTCTGAACTCAACACTTTAGAACGAAACCTTGCATCCCTTTCATCGTCGTCTTCATCTGATTCATCGTCATCAGTCTCATCCATGATTTCCTCCACCTCCTTGTCCATACAAGCTATGTCATCATCTGAAAAGGAATAGAGGGGATTGTAACTCGCTGAAAATCTCTCTTTTCTACTGCTGATAGCATCAGCTGGTTTGGATTTTTTCCCAGACTGTTTTATAACATCCTCATCGGATAATTCCTCACTGTCCTCAGCTTTACGTTTGGAATTTCTCGACTTTTGATTGAAAACTTCTGGACTATTGCGAGAAGAGGAAGAACCTGTCGCTGTCAGCTCAAATAACAGTTCATTTACCCTCTCATACCTCTCCCCACAACTCCACAGCCAATTTGGCGTAACAATATACACTCCTTTAGCTTTTTGAGCAGTCCTCACTTTAACTGTGCCAAGCAAGGCTGCAACTACATGTGTGGTTGCATCAGTGTTGTTTCCTTCTTTTGGTATGAATCTTGTTTGAATATTTGCCCCCAAAGCTTTAGCAACAATGTAAGCCCTGCTTTTCTCTGGGGGCATATTGGTGGGGAAAACACCACTGAATACTATGTTGCAGCCCTTTAGCACCTTTCGTTTGACATAAGGGATAATGTTTTTGAGGTCTGGATAATCAGTTTTGTCTTTGACAGTCTTATTCTGTAGTTGATCATATAGATCATAGAAGGCCTTATGGATCCGTGTCAGAATTTCTTCTAGGTACAGGAGATAGTCATCATCATCATCCCATTCTATTTCTTCATTTTTGTTCTCATCCTCCTCAAGTTTACTGCTGCCATTGTTCTTTTCAGCTTTGTCTTTTTCACTATCAGTTTCTTTTTTACTGACATCTTTTTTATCATCACTGGTTTTTGTACCTTCTTTTGTGTCACCTGTTTCCATGGATATCTGTTGTGATGTTTCACAATTTGATTGACCTTCTTTTGTTACATTATTACCATCAGACATTTGACTGCCATCTGTACCAGATGTCACTTCAATGTCACCCTCCAACTTGGGATTTTCATCTGTGGTTTTCAGTTCTGACTCAGCTGACTTTAAATTACTACCCTTTGAAAGATTATCTCCCTTTGCATCCTTATAATCTACACATTTTTGATCTTCATCTGTCTCTTCTTTTTTACTGCCTTCCTTTTCCTCCCTAGAATCTGACTTAGACACTTTCCTGACCGTGTGTGTTATGGGCTCACTGTCTTTCTCTGTCTTTGTCATTCCTGGTGGGGCGTTAATATCAGCAGTGCCCTGAAAGAACCTGTACGGCTTCACATGAATCAGGTTTGGGGAGAAATTCCATACGTCTTCTCTATCATCAATGATACACACCATGTAATCACCACAAGGAAACAAGGCTCTGAAATACACAACTAGGCATTGTTAGAGACATAATACATACTTAATAAATTCAAACCACAGAAAAAGTCTTTTGTAACTCAAGAAATTAAGAATTAGAAAGAAACACTCTTCCTTAATAGTTTGACTGTACAAAGAATAAAACTTTCTTAATTCTTTTCCTTGCATTTCTTGCACTTTTATGCACCAAGAAAATTTTACAAATAAACAATAAAATTAAGAATGCAGTATAGACATTACCATTTGCACAGTTCTAAAGTTCTCTGCGTATAATTTAAGATGTCATGGCTATCCCACAGGTGTTTAAGTAATAATCTTGTAAATATATATATATATAGGATACCTTACTAAAGGATGATTATTAAGACCTTAACAGGCCTTGATTATATATATATATAAATATATTGATCTCAGCATGATAATAAAATAAAGCACATAATGGAATATTATAATTGGATCAAATAGACCTTGCACTATCATTTTATCAATTGCTGATGTAAGCATTTTATCAACTGCTGATGTAAGCATTTTATGAATTACTGATGTAAGTATTTTATCAATCACTGATGCATGCATTTTATGAATTTATCTGTTACAATATTATTTACTTCAGATTTGCTGTCTTTGAGTTTTGGTTGAAACATTCGTCCCTTGACAGGATGCGGTGTGAGAAGAACTTTCCCTCTGGGTCAAGGAAGCGAGCTATAGTGTGAGCATACATACGAACACCAAATGTACAGATATGTAGCTCATACATCTTGGAGACAGTTTCCAGGAATTGCAGAGTCTGAGGACGAATACGTGTATGGTACCACATCTGAGAATTGCCATGGGGAAGTTGGAAGTGATTAACACCCTGAAATCAACAACAAACATCATGTCAATTATAATTTGTTCATGCTTCAACCACAACAGAACAATGATTCAAATTCTAAATTGAATTTTTTCCATACCAGTATATAGCAGAATAGTAACAACCATTTGTAGTTTAGAAGCCAATATGCAGCTATAGCTTAAACTTTAAGTTGTAGTTTACAAATGAATACGGTTTTGGTTTAAGTTTTATCAACTAATGTAACAATATAATGTTAACATGAAATTTCTCTCTATGAATATGTATCCAATCTTCAGTTTGTTACAGTGTATTTCTGTTTAATGATTTCACATAGCTTTGCCTTTAATTTCTGGTATATAAACCAATACTGCTGTATCATTAGTTTTGTTATTTCCGGTGAATAGCTATGTACCATTACTTTTTCTTTGCTGTGTCTATCAACCAATGTGGTTTTACCTTAAGATTTGCTGGGATATTGTCATTGGTCGTATGAATAAGCGTCTGATCAAGATCAACCAGAAGGACTAGTTTCCTGTTCTTCAGAAGTCGGTCTTCATCTGCTTTCCCAAGTTCCAGAGCTTGCTGTAATCAATGATTAATAAAACTGTTTATAGAATAATTCATATAGAAAATATCTGCTAATTCTGACAATAAATGTATTTCATGATTGGAGTAAGACAACATTTGACCACAGGACAGAAACTATAACTAGTGAACTGATGATCTTCTGGTGTCAACAGTCACATGACAGAAACTATATCTAGTGAACTGATGATCTTCTGGTGTCAACAGTCACAGGACAGAAACTATATCTAGTGAACTGATGTTCTTCTGGTGTCAACAGTCACAGGACAGAAACTATAACTAGTGAACTGATGCTCTTCTGGTGTCAACAGTCACAGAACAGAAACTATAACTAGTGAACTGATGCTCTTCTGGTGTCAACAGTCACATGACAGAAACTATATCTAGTGAACTGATGATCTTCTGGTGTCAACAGTCACATGACAGAAACTATATCTAGTGAACTGATGATCTTCTGATGTCACCAGTCACAGGACAGAAACTATAACAAGTGAACTGATGCTCTTCTGTTGTCAACAGTCACAAGACAGTAACTATAACTAGTGAACTGATGCTCTTCTGGTGTCAACAGTCACATGACAGAAACTATATCTAGTGAACTGATGATCTTCTGGTGTCACCAGTCACAAGACAGAAAATATAACTAGTGAACTGATGATCTTCTGGTGTCAACAGTCACATGACAGAAACTATATCTAGTGAACTGATGATCTTCTGGTGTCACCAGTCACAAGACAGAAACTATAACTAGTGAACTGATGCTCTTCTGGTGTCAACAGTCACAAGACAGAAACTATAACTAGTGAACTGATGATCTTCTGGTGTCAACAGTCACATGACAGAAACTATATCTAGTGAACTGATGATCTTCTGGTGTCACCAGTCACAAGACAGAAACTATATCTAGTGAACTGATGATCTTCTGGTGTCATCAGTCACAAGACAGAAACTATAACTAGTGAACTGATGCTCTTCTGGTGTCACCAGTCACAAGACAGAAACTATAACTAGTGAACTGATGATCTTCTGGTGTCAACAGTCACAAGACAGAAACTATAACTAGTGAACTGATGATCTTCTGGTGTCAACAGTCACAGGACAGAAACTATAACTAGTGAACTGATGCTCTTCTGGTGTCAACAGTCACAGGACAGAAACTATAACTAGTGAACTGATGATCTTCTGGTGTCAACAGTCACAGGACAGAAACTATAACTAGTGAACTGATGATCTTCTGGTGTCAACAGTCACAGGACAGAAACTATAACTAGTGAACTGATGCTCTTCTGGTGTCAACAGTCACAGGACAGAAACTATAACTAGTGAACTGATGCTCTTCTGGTGTCAACAGTCACAGGACAGAAACTATAACTAGTGAACTGATGCTCTTCTGGTGTCACCAGTCACAAGACAGAAACTATAACTAGTGAACTGATGCTCTTCTGGTGTCAACAGTCACATGACAGAAACTATAACTTGTGAACTGATGCTCTTCTGGTGTCAACAGTCACAAGACAGAAACTATAACTAGTGAACTGATGCTCTTCTGGTGTCAACAGTCACATGACAGAAACTATAACTAGTGAACTGATGATCTTCTGGTGTCACCAGTCACAGGACAGAAACTATAACTAGTGAACTGATGCTCTTCTGGTGTCAACAGTCACAGGACAGAAACTATATCTAGTGAACTGATGATCTTCTGGTGTCACCAGTCACAGGACAGAAAATATAACTAGTGAACTGATGTTCTTCTGGAGTCAACAGTAATAAATTATTGAAGTGTCATGACTATATTTTTTGTGTAATTAAAAAACCTACACCTAAGTTAGCTTGCTCTTTCGTAACTCAGAATTTCAACTTCAAAATTATCCTGTGACTTTTGCTGTCATGATGGCATTCACAGGAAGGACCTGTATTCTACCATGTGTATTGAATAATAATAAGTGATTGTGCTAGGTGTATTGAAAAGTTTATGTAGATAAGTCATAAAATGCTTTTTGTATCTGTTCAAGTTTGGAACTATATTTAGAGTGCTAATATGTGTGTATGTCACCTAGCTTAATTCAGTGTTACATCAACATCAATTTAAAAATAAACTGTATTTTCACTTGAAAAAAAAAAACCAAAAGTGATGAGTTTTTCTTCTCCCTTTCCAAAATACATCTAACCTTTTTAAGACATTGAGCTGGAGGCCTACCACATGCTATCAAGTAAAATTGTGAAGGTGGGGTGAAGTATCTTGCTCAAAGATAAAACAATGGCTGCACAGGATAGGTCATGATCTCAGCTTATAGAAAACATGAGTATCAGTAAAACTGATGAATGCTCCCCGGAAACAACTTTATTGGACACAAAATCTGAACAATGGGCCATAACTCTGTAATTATGGGGTTGCAAGCCCTTAATCTGGTTTGGTGCACAGTCTTATTATGATCAATGAATACAACAAGATTCATTTTCCTAGCTCTAATGAAAGCAAATTTACGCTCTGGACAAGTTATTTCAATGAAGGACAATAGCACTATAATTGATGGATTGAGGGTCCTGAATTTTGTAGACTGCATATCGTCTTCATATGATCAATGTATACACCAAGTTTTGCTATCCTAGTTTAAATGCAAGCAAAGTTATGCTCCGGACACAAAATTTTAACAAAGGGCAGTAACTCTGTAATTGAGCGGCCAAGGCTCTGAATTTAATCACATCACATCCCCTTAGTATGACCAATGTATACACCATGTTTTTCATGATCATTGCTTCACTGTAGGCAAAGGTATGCTCCAGACACAAAAGGACAGACAGGAAGAAGGACGGACAACGGGAGCATAAAAACAGAAATCACCTCAGAATGTGATGCACTACCATCAGATTTATAGTGGCATCTCTTCGAAAAATTATGGTAACATCATATCAAGCTGGTGGCTCTGTTGAAGAAGACACATGTTCCAATACTAGTAAGGACAATCTGTGGACCATAAACACAATAGTGAGAGTCCTCCCTGGATTCCACTTTCTATTCAAGAGAAACAGCAATAACAATACTTTCAAGATGGCTGCAGTGGCAGATATCACAAATGCAACCCAGATCCTTAATACAGCCAGGATCATCTGTGGACCATACACAACACATCAGTGAAAAATCTGTGTCAATAATCAGATCTGGGACAACAAAAAATAAATATCTTTTACCTCCTCACTGACAATCAATTCAGGGATGCTGTGGATCATTGCCACAGAAGCAGAAACTGGGGCCCGTCGATCTCCCGCCAAACCAGCTTGTCTAAAAAAGAAGAAAAACCAAATTTATTTGTACAAGTTAATAAGGAAGGTAGTTCATCTTGTTTTGTCAGTTAAATGGTCTTACCTTTTACATATTGGTTTAAATATTGATTCTTACATGGATGTCCATATTATTCTTATTGATACTTGTAGGAACAAGACAATTCACATAATTTGTATGTAGAAACAATTCATCTGCAGATAAGTATTTCAACAGACACTATGAGGTGGATGCAAGACAAATATACAGTTTAAGGTGGATGATGGACAGACAACTTGAAGTGTGAGGTGGATGATGGACAGACAACACATAGTGTGAGATGGATGATGGACAGACAACACATAGTGTGAGATGGATGATGGACAGACAACACATAGTGTGAGATGGTCAGGATCATGGAAAGACAACATACAGTACATGGTGTGAGGCAAATGATGGGCAGACAGAAAACACACTGTATGAAGTGGACGACAGAAAGATCTAGACAACACACAGTGTGATGTGACAATAATGGACAAACAACAGAAATTATGAATAATCTAGCATGTTTATTTTCACTTATACAGCTTTAAAATGACGTTTGTATGTTCAAGTAAATATATTTATTGTAACAATCATCCTAAACAGAAAACATGACTTTACAAAAATATACCTACTCTCTCAAATCCGCACCGCAGTCAGCACACATGTCCTTCATCACAGTAGGGTGGGTACATGACTGTAGCTGCATCAGAGGACAGCTGGAAAAACAACAATTTCATGAGGAATTGTTTAACTTTATTTCTAACTTTGTGTAACTCAACAGTTGTGATATTTTCCGTTTAAAACATTCCAGTTGATTTTCCTTGATATTGAACCAATGCAATATTGTTATGTTTCAATTTATTTATTATCGAACAGGTTTACAATTTTCAATCCATACCATCAAACCAGCCAGGCTAAAATCAATCTGTAAAGTACCTGTAATAATAATTGCACCTCACTCTAAGAGTCTGACGTATAACAGTTTCAGTCTATGATTAATGCTTTGAGTGTTATGTTGTGCAATAATGATCATCGATTAATTCCTACAACGAGGATATCACTTCATATAAAATGACCAGTAGTGTATGTGATCTGTAGACCTAGTTTAAATAAGAAAAAGTCTCAATCATTCATGATGACCATGACTTTTGGATATTTGTACAATTTGTGTTCACATATGTAAAATATTTGTGGTGTCTCCCTCATTCCAATGCAACAAACCAGATTTGCTACCTTGGCTGACAATGTCTGTCAAATCCTGAATCATCTGAAGACTTTGGTTATCATATGTACATGACACTGGACTACAAGAAATTAATCAGTTCAAATATCACTATGTTAAAATCTTGTAAATGAGTATAGGACATACTTTATTCTTCTTAATCAACAGTGGTTCATCGTTCAATCGAATCAGAAACCATTGGCACATTTGCTTTCCTATTGTGTTCAATGTGGAACTGTTGAAGTTCCTGAGAGCAATTGTTTTGTATAATATAAGCAGACTCCAGCTGGTTGACCTACCTGGCAGTGACTGATAAATAAGACAACAAAAAAGAGATCTAATGTCAGGGTTAATATTGCCAATGATTTGGTAGTCCTTCATAAATTGATTCCTAAGGAATACAGAGTCCAGATCAAAAACAGCAATTATGCTGAAGGAAGAGATGACTGGACAACATCCGTTTGTAGATATCTTCCAATGGATGTTGTCTAGTGTTCTATACCTTCATCTCAGACTGATAAAGAATATAACAGGGTTGTATGACTAGTTTTGGAAGATCTTGAACTAGCAGTAGTCTAAAACCCTAGTGCCATACCAGAGGAACACCAACATTTGACTGGCCATATAAGCTTTAAGGTGACATAATATGATGTTCACCAGCCATTCACTGGACAACTGTTCTGGTGATAGCAGATTTCAATCTGTCATTTCTGGAATTCCATCATTTGTGTATGTGAAGATGAAAAGTTTAGCATGGTCATCCTCTAACTATCAATTCAGCGATGCTGTAGACAACATCAGTCCTCTAGACAATTTCACCTTTTGTTAGCACTGTTTGTTGTAGTATTTAAATTATAAATCCAATCAACCAGAACCTCAAGAAGTGACAGCTGGTGATGCATGGTGTCACAGTATCTCAGCCAAAAAAGGAAGTTCAGTATGTATACAGTATATGTAGTGTAAAATTTGTCCTCACAAAGTAATATAACAGTTTTGGAATCATTCATTAATTGCCCTTCTAGGTAGTGCAGAACTCACAATAAAACCTAGCTTAAATGAAGCAAGTGTGATTCATTGACAATACTGTTCAATATCAATCTTTATTTTTAAACTTCAACATCGACACAGTTTGACTGTAGCCGTTCACATGAACAACATGCACCATCACCATTGCTTATATAGAGTAAAACCTCTGTATAATGCAGTACAATCCAACAAGCAATATCTTAGGCATCTCAAAACTTAACTTCCCATAGTAAACTTTCATGCATTTTTGCTTTTATAAAAGTGGTCAGGCAAGCTGATCCATGTGTGACATTTTACAATCAATACATCTTGAACTTTGAAGTAATAAACTCAAACATCGCCACACAGACAGACCTTAGCCAGAATCTAGCTAATTAATACATCATAAGATGGAGGGCAAACGTGACAACCATATATACACATGGTCAATCAAGACATATGAAATGATACTACTGAAACACTATAGAAAAACACTTAGCATATGTCTACAATAGACCTTCCTTATCTATGGTTTCTGTATCCTTGAAGATGGTATGTGTAAAAGTGTTCTCCTGAATTTCATTACTCCTTCCATTTACGTATTTGCTACAATTGACCACTCCAAGAGTAAAAGTTATATTGAGACTTTATCATGGAAGTATCGACTTTTTAAAGGATGGGGCAATGTAGAAATTGAAAGTTGGGATCGCCTTACAAGCATATGCGTTGGCTAGCGCGAATTTCCATTAAGTCGAGTCGCAGATCTAGAGTGTCCATCTAGAGTTCGAAGGTTCGCGGTTCGAATCCCACCAGGGGCAGTGTGTTTTTCATTAATCCTTCCTATTATAAATTACAAATCTTTTAATGAACATTAAACAGAAGTATATTACGTGTACTGCATATATATGTATATAATAATAGTGACTGACGATATCTTTTCGACAGTGAAATTAGTATTAGTTATTACCCTGGCTCCAAGAGTTCCCCTTCTTTGACTAAGATGTCAACAACCGTTCCAACTTCGGTTGCCTTTATTTTAAGTCCCTTCGCATTACTTGTATCATAAGTGCATAAAACAGCGCCGTGTGAAACTTTGTATCCTTTTCTAACTTTCCATTTCGCTATCTTTATAGAGCAATCTCGTGGAGCGCAAACTTTCCTGGAGGACTCCATTTTGCAACTCCGCAGTAAAATATCAAAAGATAAATAATATTATCGAATATATTTTGATAATAAAATAATAATTTTAGTGCAAATTTTATATATATTATATATTTGTAAATCCAGTTAAATTTGAATACTTTACATATTTATGAAATATAATTATTCCAATATTAACTAATCGAAATGACATGAAATCTTAGTTCCGCAGTCAAGCGCTAAATTTGAGTTGGATGTTTAGAGCGGAGATTAACAGCAGACTATTGTAAACAAAACATTGGAAAGAATGGCCACAACGACAGGCAGATGATACACCCTGCATTGTATGGTTAGAAAGTTTCACATAGAAAATACCAAGATGATAAACCTGTTTCTAAAAGCTTCACTATCGGGCTAGCAATTCGTCATATCTATCGCTCGGGCTTTACGATATTAATTTTGTCGTTCGATGATCTTGTAGGCCTACAACTGCAGTTCAATACCGTGTATCAAATAGTTTTTTTATGAATTGCCTATCTACAATTTCTATTGTTCTGTCGTTAACAAGTTTTCGGATGACGTATACCTCTGATGCGACGATACATCGAAGCAAAGACCTGCCGTACTTGCACCAGAAGTAATAGTACAGTCTTGTCGACATCGGTTTCGGACTGGATATGTTTTTGAGCGGCCATTTTGTTTAATAACATCAACTTCATGTATAAGGACCCAAGTAACTCGTTTACCAATTCATGGTAACATATGATAATAATTTTCATAGACAAGTCTGTAATTTTACTTATTACACCTTTTCATGGTATGGATAATGGGATAACTATAAATTGCCTCTCAGATGCCAGTGATTTGTCATCATGATCTGTTTTCATTAAACCACACACCTTCTTGTGCATTTTTCGCTATACAGAAGCTTAAACGCCAAATGCCAAATTTATGTTGTGAAATAGCATTTTTATTACCTTTTATACATTATACTATTGAACAAAATTTAACTAATGAGTTATTTATTGTGCCAGTAGTATGAAATAAAAACTCAATTGATGGAATTTTGAGTGTAAAAAATGAACAATCAAATATGGCTTATTTGAAAATGCGAAAAAGAAAAACTAAATAGGAAATGAAAACTAGTTTTCAATATAAGATTCACAAGCAAGCAAAACTATTATCATCTTTTTTACATCAAAATGTCATCCCTGTTCAAATGGCAGTACTAGTTCTATGTTCAAAAGTTAATGTGCTGACAACTTTTGCTAAGTGAGCTCATGTTTACATATAAGTTAATAATATTTGAAAGCAATACTGAAACTGATGCATTGAGGATACTGTACTGTATTCATCACATTATCGAGATAATAAAATTATGTGTTGATAGTAGTATTCTGGCCTCAGCTATTGAGTTTTCATATTTAATAGGTACCTCATTAGAAAGTGGCCATGCTCGAAAAACTATGAAATTTAGTTTTATATATTTTTCAAATGGAAGGGTTAATGACCAAAACATTGATTGATATATCACTGATGATGGCTTGTCGAGGCACATTACTGCATGTAACATGGGATAGTCAGACTAAAATGTATAACTAGGCAATATCTTTGTTGGTTTCTTTGCTCCATAAGGGAATAAAAGCCGAGACATATGTATTGAGGAATGATTTACATGTTTTGATTATAGAAAGATAAAAAGATGACAAGTGGAGTCTCAGAGCAGACACCCACTAACAGTGTGGGGAAGTCCTTGGTATCGCACAGTATCAGAAGAAGTACTCGACGCTACACACCATATGGCAAGACACCTCAAAGCCGAAGGATTGCTGTGACAGGTGATTAAGTTGATCCTTCTTGATGAAACATGCAGTGGGTTAGTCCACAACCTAGTTTTCCAGAATCATTGTAACATAAAAGATCTTGACTAATAAGGTTAATATTCTCATTTATTTTCATCATCAGTTTTATTTCATCACCAGTGATACCAAAGGGAATAGAAATATATCCTCTTACATGATACCTCCTTATTTTCCTGTGGGACTCGCTCTAGTTTTAAGAACACGTTGTATCATTGGACATTCTCGGAAAAATCCTTCAAAAATTACTGAGCATTTTTGAAATACTCAAAACTGCAAATTTGACACTTGACTTCTTCTTAGGATGTGAAATTTTCACTGAAAACAGTAATTCTATCCCACTAAATACAAAGTAATTACCCTTGGTCTATCATTTTTTGAGCCTATTCTCCTGTATGGTATATCATTTACAAATACCAAACATTCATTTGTAACTTTACCCAGATAGGTTTTTAAATGTTGTATTGATATAAACTAGCATGCTCCACTTTATTATTTTGATTTTGTACATAGGACTTTTTCAGATTTCTAGGAAAATTAAATCTTGTTGCTTTACAATTAGAAAACTACAATCGGTCAATTCAACATTTACATGTATATTTTACATTCTGTATAATTTGCAGCACCCAGATCAAGAATTCAAAGAACACCAACATCAAGAAAATCAGGTAGATATTCAGAAGAATCATTTTCAGGGATTTAAATCTACAATTAAACATTAAAATCTACTTTGTTTAGGTTATTAGAGATATCTAATGAAATATCAACAGTCTACTATGTTTAGGTTATTAGAGATATCTAATGAAACATCAACAGTCTGCTTATGTGAAATACCTTATTTAAAAAAATTCACATATATCAAAGCATTAGCATTTTACGAAACAACATTTCCTCTTACCCTCTGCTGAGGGGTTTTTACACCTAAATTTCATCCTGTACTTCTGTTTTTGAAAATCTACAAAGGGTAGAGAAAGTTGCAAATATTTTGTTTTTTATCCCCAAATTTGAACTACAATGGAAACATTTAAAGTTTTGGCATATTGATTTTGGTTTTACTCGGATCATGGGGCAGGTGGAAGTATTTTATTGTTTTGAAAGCTCATATAAAAATTTCTTTTTGAAACATTCTTAAATGGATTGTAGATATTTATATAGTTAATCATTATTAGTAAATTCTGACATCAGTTATTACAGGTAATGTGTAACTATGAGGCTTGATTATATACTAGCCGAAAAAAGAAACTGTGTATGTGTAAAATGTTCATGTATTGCTCAATTTTATCAATTAAAGCTTGAAACTTTACACAGGTAAGTTGTGTATGCCTCTCCATCATTAACACTGGCCAGCGCATGTGTTGCACAGGTAGTCTGTCTGTCTGGCCCACATCTTCGTTTTTATGTTCTTTTTCGGCCAGCAGTCAATTGATACAGTACGTAATTGATTGCTCGAACGAGGCATATGACCACAATGTCCAGCCGAAGGTCACATTCACCAGCAACGTCATCGTGTAGAACGTTTAGCCTGGTAGTAGACGACACATACACTTCAGGCAGCAGGACTGGGCAAGTGTTATTTGCTCGGATGAGTTCAGGTTTCATCTCCACATCAGTGACAGTCATTCTAGAGCGTATCGTCGTGTTGGTGGACAATTCCATGACAGTGATGTGATTCAATGAAGTCCATTTGGCAGCGGTAGTGTCATGGTGTGGGATGGCATCTTATTCCATGGCAGAACAGCTCTTGTGGTTGTGAACAGCACACTGACAGGCATCAGATACCCCAGAACAATGTGAAGGTGCTGTCCTGGCCAGAAATGTCACAGAATTTGTAGCCTATAGAATATTAGTTAGATGAGATGCACCATTCCTTACATTATCTCCAAAATCAACCGTTAGTGTACCTGGTATTTCCTGACCTGTTACTTGCACTTGTGAGAATATGGAATGATATTCCCCAGGTTTTTTCCAGCACACTTGTCATATCATTGCGGCATCATTGTCAAGCATGCATTGATTCCAATGGTGGACATACCTGGTATCGATGAGCTAAGCTTTGTTTAGTGAACATCTATGAAAATTTATCTCTATCCAAGACGCTGCTGATGCAATAACCATATCTGTTGAGCAGGTGTTAAATAAAGGTCAGATAAAACCCTGTTGAAAATTTTTTGGTGATTTTTTATATACCTTCCAAGTTATTTGATATTTATATTATGCAGTTTCTTTTTCCTGGAAGTATATTTACAATTTCAGTAAGGATTTATTTTTTTACTAAGTATACCAAAAGAAAAATAAAGAGTTTATTATGAAAGATTTACTCTATTCTGACCAATCTCAAAATTCTTCACATGCTGATAGGTCACTTTAGTTGATGCAGACAATGATTTGAAGAAAAACATATGAGATGTTTCATTTACTGTATATTTCAGACAGAGTAAGTGAGAAAGAGCAACAGAAAGATTTCAAAGGTAATGGATTATTGTTTTACTTGTCCACGTCATTGACCTTATATGTCGTCTCAAGTCAAGTTAATTCATACTGAATGAGTAATCAAGTCTTAACATGAGTAGTAAATGTGTGAAGCATTCCACTGAAAAGTTATTTTACACTTTAATGAAGGACTAAAGGTTTTTTAGTTGGTGATGATGATTATGGAAATATCAGTTCTGTGCTTGAGTTCAAAAGGTGGCCTCAGAGACTCTTTGTTGATTTCAATGACACCCAATCATGGTCAAAGTGTATTATTTTCATGTTTTGTTGTATGGCTTGCCATGTTGCAGAATCAGAGTTATTTACCACAACTTGTTGTTCTAATGATATGAAATATTTTAGGCTTGACAATGAAAACCTGGCGATCCTTCAAACTGACACCTCTATATGGGTTTAGTAGTAATCCAAGAAATCTGAAGAAGATCGCCAATGCTCTCTCTGCACACATAGAAGCGGTAAGTTATGTGGCACCAAAATATTTCAACAAAAGTAATATCTTTCTGCTTCCTTGTTCGATTAAGGTAAAATACACAACTACATCTGCATGTGTAACCGTTAAAGTTTCTAACACCAGATTATTATCACTGAATTTAAGCAAAGCCTCCAGGTCACAACATTAGTTTCATCCCCAGGTTACAGCATTATTTGTTTTGTCCCCAGGTTACAGCATTAGTCTAGTAACTGGGCTACAACAATAGTCTAGTCCCTTAGTTACAGCATTAGTCTTATCCCTTGGTTACAACATCAATCTTATCCTTGCATTACAGCATGAACCTGGTCCCTGGACTACAACTATAGTCTTGTTCCTGGATTACAGCAATAGTCTAGACCCTGGACTACAGCTTTTCCTCCTGTGTAACACACCTTAAAAGTTTTATATATATGTATATAAGTCAGTAATTGTGCATTTTCACCAAACTGGGTATGAAGGTTAAATAGGGTCTCCATCTCTCCTTTGCATTAATTTTGACGTTTTTTGAACTTTCATGCATTTGGGTTCTAGAGCATATATTGAAGAGTCTTTCTTTCCTGAACAACAGAGTTTATGCACATCCTGGTCAGGCTGTGTAGAGAATGCTAAAACAGGATCTCCGATGGATTAAACTTCCTCAGTGTGGAGTGTTTTAAATTGTTGTAAATCCTGGTCAGGCTGTGTAGAGAATGCTAAAACAGGATCTCCGATGGATTAAACTTCCTTATATCACATTTAAAACATAATCTGCCGTTAAAAGTTTCCTCAAAAGACTTGTAGTCTCTTAATGAATATTCTGATTCATAAGTTTTCCTACATAGTATCCAGGTGTATTATTGTAAAACAATATTTTACATTTCAAAGTAAAGATTCTTGAATCCATATTGTTTATATGAAATGCATGTATATCCAGGAAGTTCCCATTTAGAAGTGTATTTAGTGTGTTCAAAAAATAGATACACAACTATTTAACAATCTTATTGCTATTCCAGTAAAACATCTATACCATCCCCAGACGACAGGGTTTGTTCTGGGGTATTAATCACCAATAGAATTTAAATGATTATTTGCCAAGACATCTTACACAAGAAATCAAACCATGAATGATAAAAGAGATACATTCCAGAGTCATGGGACCACTTGGATGTTTTACAGAAATAGCCCTTATTTCTTGTTTTGTAGAATTATCTGAAGTCTTTACCAGGCTTCATGTTTGATTAGATACTATGGATGCTTCTGCTGTGAAGTAATTTGGATTTCAGGAAAATGTTTTCATTTCAAAAATGATTGAAATAGTAGTAGACTTGATCGAAGTCTTCCTGGATATTAGAACACAGTACTCATGAAATGAAAAGAGAGGGATCTACTTTCAGTAATCTCTATTTTCAGGAAAAAAGAAAAGGCATTTTTATGGACAACACTCTGATGGGCAAGGCATACATTAGTATTTACAAAGATCTCAAAGTGACAGAGGGTGAGTCTCATGTGATGTTCACATTTTAAGAAGTATGTTCAAATGATAAAATACAAAACAGTCCTTATCTCAAGATAATGCTTAGCCTTATCATAATGGTTTGTTTCTGGACAAAATCTTGACTGATTTTTTCAGCCTTTTGGTAATCAGTCTAAATTCCATGATAAATGTAAATTTGTTATTGATTATACAATTTCTCATACAGTTGATCCGGAAGCAATCCAGATTATAGTTAAAGGGAAAAATGCAACTGGTGAGTCTTTTTTTTTTAATGATTGAAATCACAATGTTTTCTTCAAAATTGAAAAATGCAAAATTCTAATAACAACTTATTAATCTTATAAGATAAATACACCAGTGAGAAATGATTGAACCTTACATTTATTTAGTTTGACATCCTGTAAATTTTTATTTAAGAATATTAAAAAATTTGTTGAATTTACACCATAATCTCTACGCCAGATCAAATTATGGTGGTCCTCAGTTAAAGGGCCAATGTTAATGATTACATTTGACAACCTCGCCAAGAATAAAGATTTTTTTTATAAAATTATCTTAAGAGATCTTCAAGTTGATTTTTTGTTTTGTTTTTTTTTGTTCCAGGAGAAGACACCATACAACTGACAGCTGTGTTGTGTGGTGTGGATATGCAAGAAAACCATATCAAGGCTGCCATGCGTGAAAACTTTACTTATTTTCCAGTCATGTTGGTGAAAGCATCACTCTCTATGTGTAACGCTGTCACTAGATGGCTTGAGGTACTCAATTGGTATTTCATTTGATCACATAATCTGCCTGTTATCTGTTGAATTCTGTGTAACATTTTTGTGTGTATCTTGTTAGTGAAATATACCATGAAGTGTTTTTCATCGACTGATGTCATAATGTGCAGAGTGCCATCTTGGAATTTGACTCTATATGTTTCTGTTGCAATTACTGGAAAAATCCTTGATGGACATTTCTCATATTTCATATGAAGATTTCCCGTAGTCTCCGGTTTAAGTTTTTAACTGTATTTCTTTACTGTTATTTCAATTTTCATGTGTAAGTTTCCTTTGTTGCAAACAAACTCACTGGTCAGTATTATAAATAATTACAATGATTGCAATGTTAGAGCAAAGAAGAGATAATAGATAGAAAAATCTAAAGTACCTATTAATATCAAACAATGGTGGGTACTAAGATCCTTCTGTGTTCTCTTACGTTCTCTGGTTTCATGCTACGTTTGTGGTACACACAGATGCAGTACGACTGTAAAGTGACTCCTCTCTCTCTGTCTTCCTATGATTTGGCCTGGATGGTGTCCATGTGGAGCGGAATGAAAAATGAAAGTATGTATGCATGCATTACTAAATATATATATTAGATGGTTAAGCTTTCAAGACCTTCTTCCATGTAAGTAAACAATTCTTATTTAAACTGCCCAGCTTGCAGAATACAACAAAAAGAAATAAAGAAATAGGCAGTGCTTTAAAATTTTCAATATGGAAGAACAAATTTTATTTACAATTAATCTGAATTATCCTGTAGTTAGGGTCATGTTTATAAACAGTGGATATGGCCCTTGATGAGGTCAGAAAGTTAATGAGAAACAAAGGTAATCATTTAATTCTTTGCTTTGTAGTTTCCATTTTGGTAGGGGATCTATCTTATATCCTGCAGTGTTTGATTGTACATGTACTAATATTGAAGTGTTTTTATTAACTTAGATGGGAAGACCAAGCCTGTGGAATTTCTGTATTCTGTACCAAAGGAGTGTGAGGGACTGTCATCTATAAACTACAGTATAGATCCCGAAGATTGTCAGGATCTATGGGAAAGGTGACACAATTTTTGTCTCAATCTTTTAGAGAAAGTGGAATGATGATTTGTTACATTTCAGAAAATTATTTGACTTGAATGATATCACCATGGTCTCTAAAAATATCACATTTAAGATGAACATTCCTTTTTCAGGGTTTTAACACATGCTATAGTAGGAAACAAAAGACCATCTTTGATTTTGACAATGAAAGTTTGTTATTATAACTAATGAGATTTTTCTCAAGCTTTTTATTTGGGTCCCCTTGGTCCTGTGTTGTGCATTTCTGATTTTTGGACTGGTCTGTAATGGTGAACAGGCAACCAATTTGGATTTGGTAGTTGTGGATTCTTATTCCTATTTAAGAGGAATGTTCAAATTTTGTATCATTAAGAACAAAAACAGAGGAGAGAAGAGAATGATTCAGCTTTTAAAGAGCAACTAAAGATAACGGGTTGTGGATGCAAAGGTCCCTCTAAGATCTCTTGTGTATATGTTCTATGTATCTGAAAACACTACATGGTTTTTGTCTACCTTTTCAGAATTCATGATAAAGATGAGGTAGACTTTACTAGTGAAGAAGTCCAGAAGTTCATTCGTAGTTTGGAAGCTCATTTCTTCCGCATCTTCAAGGTTAAAATTTCAGTAAGTAGTCCATTATTTTTATATCAAATATATCTGATAGGGTGGCATCGTAAAATAAAAATATTGACTTGATGTTCAAAAGACTGATATTATTTGTAGGTGGAATAAAAAGTTGTGTTTGATGATTTGTTCTTAAAAAGAAGCTTATAAAAGTCCTTCTGATGTTGCAGGCAATGTCACTAGTTCGAATAGGAACCCCGTTGTGTATGGTGGGAACTGATGGACGTTTGAAGGTATGCACTTCTTAAGGCAACCTGTGTGTATTGAAGTACAAAATGAAGTGTACATATAAATATTTAAAATATTTAGAGGTTCCCCGGCCAGATTCATGCACATAAATGATTGATCCCAGACAAATCATTATGTCTTATTACGTTTTACGTCCCACATCAATATTATTGTCACACATTGAGGAACTGTGTTGATGACACAAGTATTGAAATTGTTGTCAATGTTTTTCATCTAATTACACAAAATGTCCAAATAGTACATACAAATTACTCACTATATCCTGTTTTGTAGATTTTTCTCTCCAACAAGATCCATGTGTTGCTGAGGCACCTGACGGAGTTGGCCATGGGTCACACCTTTAGTAATATCCTAGGTGTGATGTAGACTTTCCATAATGCCTTCTGTGTGATGGAGACCATCCGTTATGTTTTCCATGTGATGAAGACGTTTTGTAATGTTATTATTGTGATGCAGACCTTCATGATAGTCTGGCTGTGATATTCACCATCAGTTGTATTCTTGTTATTACTGTGAACATTCATGATCTTCTAAAGGTGTCATGTGTGATATTAATTGCTTTGGTGATTCAATGATGTCATAAATGTTAACCAGGCTCAGGTCACACTATGTTATGGATCATGTGAATAATAACAAAAGTTTGAGACAATTGTTTTGTAGGTCCTCAATTTGTTAAGTAATGTTTGATAATCAAATTATTTAGGTTTCGTCACATAGTGTTGCTGTTGCCTTCAAGTTGTCATAATATGGTTTCTACTCAGTATTCTGATACAGTTTGAGATGTTTAACTGAAATTTTTGTAGCTGTATAATGAGAAGATACAGGTTAAGTTTATACTTTATTTCAGTTGTCTGACTTTTGTTTAAGAGTTAAGACACTTGGATTAAGTACATGTTCAAGTTCTGAGTGCTGCATTAGAATACTGAACTGATTTGTAGATGTAATATTTTTACAAAGTCAGCTAATAAGTAACTTTGGTCATCATGTTTGGTCAAACAATACCTGAAACAATGTGAACAAGTCAGGATTACACCTCTCTAAAACACTAAAATCAACTCTTTACTCTCCTTTGGTTGCTGGTAGGGACATCCATATCACACAGACACTTCTTTTTTTTTATCATTACTGTATACAGGGAAACTTTTGCCACATTTCAACTTTGGCAAAAATAAAACAGCAGCCAAAATTAACGTCGTAGGTAACACAAATGTCTTGTTTCCTGTGTGATTATCTCCTCCTGTGCCATATATAGGATAAGGGTATCTTTTTTATTATCTAGTATTTTATTCTTATTTTTATTGCCTATGCAAATATCAATAGATTTTTTATTACACTTTTGCTGCATGTTGTTTAATATCTGGTACAGCTGTGTTGCATTTTTGATTAAAGCTTGATCCCATGAAACTTTTAGTACAATGATAGATATTTTAGTTTCACATACAATTGGTGAACATTCGGTCTTTCAAGTTCAAGATTAGTAACTATTGTCTGGAGTTCCTACGGCAGGAGGGCGTAGGGGCAGGTAGGAACAATAATGGTAAATAATACTTGTAATTGTGTATGTAAGAATAAAAACGGTTTGATTAAGATTTCATCAACAAAGGGGAATTTTTTAATTGTCAAGTTGAAAGTATAAAATAATAAAAATTTAAATATTATATTCTGTTGTGTAATTTATACTTGTGAAATTATGTGCAATACTTTCCTTGGTGAATGTACATGTATATATATTTCTGAAAATCTGCGTTCTCTAATCCTATTACTCACGTTGTATAAACATCATTGTGTAAATAATGAGTATGTATTGTATTATACATGCATATAGGTTTTAGACCTGTATGAAAACAGATGACTGTAAATAAAATGTAGAAATATAAAACAATGCGTTTTGGGTACTCTTTCATAAACTTAAAAGTCTTATAAGGGTATCTAAACATTTGCTTTGAATTTGAACAGAAATTGTTATTGTTAAGACTCATCATTCGATCAAATGATATGATTAGTGAGCAGCCTGCCTTCAAACAAATTTACGTATGATGTTTTTTCATTGTGTCAGGGAACAATGGAACTCAATTTAAACTGCCAGGGTAAATTCTTATCCACCTTCACACCTGTACAAACATGAACTAACAGGGAAATCTTGAACCACTCTCACCCATACTCCAACATGGTCTGACGGGGTAAATACTGACCCACCTTCACCTCTTCCCTTACTTAGACTGATTGGGTAAATCCTGAACCACTCTTGCCTCTTCCCCAAAATAGACTAACGTAATTTAGATTGACTAGGTAAATTCCGTACGCAATGAAAAAACTATTTCGATAGAACGAAAGAATACTGGGAACGATCTGTAAAATATAAATGTAAAACCCGTAGAATTTCATATCACATTAATAGACGAAAAACTTGCTAGATAGTTTGTGATAACCGAGAGAAACTAGTAATATTTGACGTAGCTTTATTTCCTATTATTTGAAATAACTTCGACTATTGCAAAGTTGCTTGAGATTGTACATTTAGCCTACAAATCATTTATTTTAAAATAACAACATGCTAAACATTGTTCTTATATACGGGAGCATCAGACAGAGGCAGTGGTTTGTTTCCCAGAATAATGTCAGCGGCCTTTTCAGTCAGCAATATTGTCGGGCCGTTCAGGTTCCCAGTAGTAATATTTAGGATGATAGAGGCATCAACTACTCGAAGATTATCTACACCTAAAACACGAGTCTGAGAATCCAACACAGCCATCGGGTCACTCTCATCTCCCAATTTACATGTACATAGTGGATGGTAATTGGTGTCTCCATTAGCACGGTTGAAGACATCTAATTCGGCGTCTGTTTGACTGTCAGGTCAAGGCAATATCTCTCGACCAGCAGGGAAAGGATCGAACGCTTTCTGTTTAAACACTTTCCTGGCAGCTTTGACGCAATCCCTCATTGTCCTCACATCTTATTCATATATGTGAGTGGGTTGTTGGACTTTCCTCTTGATACGTGAAGAGGACCATTGTCTCCCTTTGTTCATGGGTCTGAGTTTTTTTTAATATGGTAAACATCATATGACCATCCCTTTGCCCAAGCCTTCTCCCATCCATCGTAGTCCCCACCATTGCCACGGATGTATACCATGACTCATTGTTGTTCATGTGAGGCTCTGGGTTCGGTATGGTAGAACCAGTTGTGCTTGTCATCACACAGGTTGTACGTGAGGGCAGCAGACATGTGGATCTTCCAGATGAAGTCTCTTTGGCCAGCCTCCAGAACACATTGTTGTTAGGATCAGCAGACAGTCGATTGGTGAGAGTACAGCCAGCCGAGCCTGCACAGACGATTATGTAGTCATAGGCGGGTTTAGTTTTAGATATCTTGGAGGCATTACCTGTATACCATTTGTGTAACTGGATTGTTGTCTCATTCGTGACGTGCAGCTGAAAAATCGACACTGGAGATTGACTCTTCCGATCTGCCTCATCAGAGGAGTGTCGTCAAGAAGTAGCTTTCGTTTATCGGGTTATCGGGTTTGCTATTTGATGTCAGTGATATGATCAATAACTGCAGTATGTACAACTAGGTCGGTGAGCCACTTCAGGTCACATACACCGGATAGCACCCAGATCCTTTGCAACTTCGTTGATTTTCCAAAGGAATAATCTCTGAGAGTTTTCTCAAGGCAAACATTGAGTTCATCACATATGGGACGTATGCTGTGGTCGGGGAACAGTGTTACTTAGTGCAGAATGTCTCCACATATTATTAAGTCAACATACTTCAACACACCCACATTTGTCTGGCAAATCTGAAAGTGAAAGCTCCCGTTTATCACCACCACACATTGCTGATCTGATTCCTTATTTAGTGTTTTAAAACTTTTTTGACATCCCTGAAAAGTTATTTTGGTTCTTTTAGAAGTGTAGATTTACACTCCTGCCACCCTCTGTGCACATTTATCATGAACTCCTCATAGGTCAAGTGTTTGTGGTCCTTTCCATTAGTGACGACCTCACCTCCAAGTGGGTGGTTCAATATTCATTCAACAGCTCATTCTTTACTTTACATCTTTGTTCGCAAATTTCCTATCTCTCTTGAATTTCTTATCCTATATCACTACGCCAAGTTCCGCGTTCTAGCCTTTAGGAAAAAATAAGACCAATAAAAGTTAATATAAGGGAAATGAGGAATGCCATTGTTTATATATACACTGTGGTATGGTAAGATTTATGGAATAAGCGCAAATACTAATCCTCAAATGATTTATGGTGTGTGTGTCATTAGGAAGTTTGAACCGTCTCATTGACCAAAATCTACTCATATGCTTGGATCATCGACAAGAAAATGAGGTGTATTCATTCACATTTACGTTTAATCAAGATTTTCTTTGTTGTCATTTCTATTGAACATCATTCTATCAATCACGAATAAACGAAACAAATTATCAGAATTAATCGAAGTCTCTTCTGAAAGTGTCCTCTTAAGAAAACATGTTTTCGTGTGTTACAAGTTTGAAAGTATTCGATAATGATAATAAATTGAGGATATTTGGTCCATCTATCTCCCGAACTTGGTGCTGGCACAGGAAATGGCAGCATGGATATCAAAGATGACCATTGCAACCTTTAGTTCACGATTCTCAAAAAATCTAAAACAAATCTTATCTACCGTGTGCAGGGAAAAAATTCGTCAAAGTTTACTTTCATCCCCTTCGTGTTTCCACAAGTAGAGCGAAAAATAAGAGGAAGGCCAGTTAAGATGAAAAGTGCATACTCATGTATTTTAAAGTGAATTTTATACTGGGAGAAAAAGTTTGATTCGGTGGCGAAAAAAACTGAATTATTACATATCCATTGTCAGCATAAATTTGTATTTAAAGATGCTAATAGCTTTTGTGTGTTTTGTACAATCTTACAAAAACGTTCATACAATGTATTTATATGAACAATGCTTAAGAAAGGGAAGCCGAACTATCAATCATTTTTTCAAAAGTACACAACTAGAAGTTGATCACTGATGTATAACATTTTGAGTAAAAACTGATAAATGGCATCTTTTCCAATTCATGAAATTTCATAGTTTTCTTATTTTTTGCTAATACTTGATTAATTATGACCAAAAGAACTCACGTGTCTCTTTGATAATTGTATAGTTGTTGATCACAGAATCATGTACACGATAAATGCTAATTTAACTAAAAGGATATTCTCAAAGAGACGGACAAGATAAGAATAATAATTTCCATTATACACTATATATATCCAATTCGACAGCAATTCAGCGGACCACACGTCAAGAAGGTAATATAGTCGGTATTTTCTTTATTTCCATATCCGATTGATATATATAAGAATAAGAAATAAACTTGTTTATTGACATCAAACACACTTGTCCATCATTGAACTGCACTTGTGTAGTATTCTAATGTGTTTATTGTGACATCGTTCACTTCATTAGGCTATATTTTCGTTAATTTAATGAAAATGTTTTATCCACAAATTGACATGTTCGTGAAAGTGGATATCGTAGTACTCATCCAAAAACAAACCTCATCGAAATAGAATTTTCATTATTAAACCACGATATCTGAGCGCCAGGAGAATATTTTTTACAATATTGAATACTTGCTGAGACGCTTATTTCCTTGCACAAGGGGATCACATTGATTGGAGGCATATCAATGTGCCGTCTTTGTCGAAAATAAGTAGGGATGACTTCTTCCCAGCATTAATGGCCTTGGTAGGTTTGACAATGTTAATAGTTCTGACTTATGACAGGGCGGTGTTGTGATCTGTTACGGAGCTGTAGGTGGCATACCTGCCACGAACACATGTAAGATGGACTCAGCATGACAGACAGGAAAAGTGATGCTCGCAGGAAGAGGTGAACATACTTAAACACAGATTGACACAGACAGTACTTGCTTCTTCGGAAGACACCTCGGTAAAGATAAAACAAATAGTGTTTCTCTTAGGGATACATACTGATATATATGTTTTAATTACATTTACAGATAGATATTGTACACCCTGAACACAAAGTCTTTGTGATCTCATTCATGTAATCCTTCTGATTCCACAAGCCATCACTTATCGACATGGGGAAGGTATGCGTGGAAAATAACTTGCTAATATCGTGATGCAGACTCTATCGAATTACAGCCGACCTGTCAATAATCTGATACAGGCGTACTTTACCGTCTTCTCCAGCCTGCATTCGGTGAACATTTCACGGGAAGAATAGGGACCACTAATGATAATTTTCTGTCACGTGACCTATATATATAAATGAGCAGCATTAATAATGTGAAATCCATGGAGTGAAGAGCAGGCAAGAGGAATTTGTTGTCGTAATTGTTGTAATATGAGTTTGTATTCCTATTATAATTCACATTAATTGAAATTCAACTTTGCTGCATTGACAAGTCATTAAACAAAAACAAATTTTTGCCTTCTCCATGATTTTACTTTCCATGGGTAAACATGAAAGGGACATCTTCCTTTGTCTTCTGACGACCTGTTACCATGCACCCCAAACAGTTTGATAATTAGGGATGAGTGCTGTATTATATCTCTCAATTCCCCACGTTTGTCCAGATCCGTCGGGTTTTGTCTTTTGATTATAATATTGTTGAATACTTTGATTCAGTAGTTAACTATCTTAAAGATTAAACAAACAGTGCAAATGATATTCTAAATAACTAAATTTTCTCTGTTTCAAGCTTTTTTTATGCCCCCGGATCGAAAGATCGAAAGGTGGCATGAACATTTTTGACCATGTGACCTTGACCGTGACTAATTTTTTTTCAAAATTTTTAACATTGGTCACAACTATTACATCATAAGAGGTGTTGCTTTCATATTTGGCATGTTTGTTTCATGTAACAAGACCTTTCTGGTAAAATATTTTACCATATGACTTTGACCTAAATTTGAAAAACATTAGCATTGGTCTTAATTATTGCACAATGAAGACATCAGTGTTTCATAATTTTGTTGCAAACAAGGCATATTGTTTTCTCTGAAATTATGAAACGGATTATAATTTTCTCTATTTGTCGTTTAAATTTTTCAGTTTTTCATAGATTTTGTTTGTCTTTGAAAACAATTATTCTGTTGACGCAACAAATATCTATCAGCAACATGGTTCATTAATGATTGAGCAACTTTACCTTATAAATAAACATATCAAGTCCATTGAAATTATCAACCTTTAAAGGTTTAGAGGTGACTCATGATTTTGAATTTTAACGGCAATATGACTCTTTGTCCGGTTGTTTACTTTGCTCATTAAACATTAATTTTTTGGGTTTCTTAGAAATAAGAAAAGTTTAGTTTTAGTAGTGTCGTCGAAATATTCTGATTCCGTATTGATGAAATACGATGAAATCTTGAAATGATGCCGATTACATTTAGCTTTTACAGAGTTTGATTTACTAGCAATATAGTTTGGACGTTGATAAACGACATAATGTTGTGGATCTTACCTAATAAAATTGTTGGTTATCTCTTGAGTACGAATGAATTGCACCTCTATAAGAACACAAAAACAAAAATGTGTCCAAAATCAATCACAGGTTTTACTTTTAAAGTAATCTCATTTATCTATCTGGTTGCAGAATATTCGTTCCATATATCTCATAGTATGATTCGTTGGAAATACGACGCTTCTGGAGCAATAAGATGATATCTCGATTGTCAGATAACTAAAACAATTCATTGGAGATACAATGCTCTTGGATAAGTAGAGTGATTTCTCGTTGTCAGATGATGCCTCTGGATGTGTAGAGTGATTTCTCAATTGTCAGCTAACTTAACCCAAACTACAAAGATTAAATAGTGATTTATTCTTCATTCAAAAACTACATTAATTGATTCAAAAGAAGATTTTCCAGCAGTGTGTTTGATTATTAGTTTGCGATTGTTAGTTATTATTCATCGTATTATGAAAACAGTTCTCTTGTTTTTAGAATATCATAACTATTGCAGTAACAAAGCGTCACTGGTGAATTTAACAAAAGGATTTTCTCCGAGAAATACTTTGGACTAATTGTATCAATGAATCAAAAAGCAATATATTTAGAGTTAATATAACATGATCCACATATGAGAAACAGTAAACAAAGAAAGACAACATAATTATATACTTATATAACGACTAAACAACAACTGATCTGAGTATATCATAAATAAATTGAAATAATGAAATAATGATTTAATATTGAAGTAAAAAAAAAGATAGATATCAGCCATTAAAAGAAACCTTGGTCGATGGCTTTGCCATGTTTATCTACATTACTGACAGAAAATACGATTTGAAGTAAACATTGATACAGAACACAACACATTGATTCAAATATATTTAACTTACAAAAACAAGAGACTATAGAAAGATGAGTAAATTCACAATTTAAGCCCAAAATCGACTACAAGCAGATAAAATAAATGTAAAACATAAAAATTTTCTTGCGTATCAGGCAAACTCCACGATAAGATAATGATTACAGATAGCCTGCTTACCGTTGCGATAAAGAAGTTTTTAGAACACAGACTGAAATGTAGAAAAAAAAAAATGCACAAAACATGAAGTACATCAAAATGCCATTGTTATCCCAGAACAGTACAGAATAAGATCATTTCAGTTGCAGAAAGATCTTTGTTGCAGTCAGTGTAAATTAAAACCAATAACTTCACTAAGTTTCGTCTCCTCAGTGTTTCATACCTTATGTTTAAGCAGTAAGCTTGCTGACACAAAAATGTCTTTATCTGATTAGATAATGATCACAACCAGTCGAGATTGAGGGATCAAGGATCCACTACTAAAAACTAAAAAAAACCAGCTTATATTCAGGATATTCATGAACCCTTCTTCAGATGTAATTTGCCTTCTCACAGCATCAAATTATGCCTCTGATTAGATTTTGGTAGCCATTGGCCGAGGCTGAAGTGTCACAATTCCCACTTGACAACTCGGGAGTGGATGTATATCCTTTCGACAACATGCTATTTTGTTGTTGATCATTTTCCTGAACCATGTACGAATATCACTGAGATATAAATATCTTTTCACTAACTACACCTATACACAGGAGCATTAGATCGGGGCAGTGGTTTGTTCCCCAGGATAATGTCAGCGGCCTTCTCAGCTATCATTACATGCTGCTGCCAATAAGCTATGTTGGAGCTGAAAGGAAAGGACATCTATATTTTATACATTAGCATTTATTTCTTCAAGCAAACAACAATAACGATTTGTAAGCAACAAGTAGTCTATACAAGTAGTGCTTTTAAAATAGAATAATATTCTACCAAACCCTATTTGAGAATCATTATTTAATTTGCTATACTTTGTTCTTGTATACAGGAGCATTAGACCAAGACAGTGGTTTGTTCCCCAGGATAATGTCAGCCGCCTTTTCAGCCAGCATTATTGTCGGGCCGTTCAGGTTTCCAGTAATAATATTTGGCATGATAGAGGCATCAACTACTCGAAGATTATCTACACCTAAAACACGAGTCTGAGAATCCAACACAGCCATCGGGTCACTCTCATCTCCCATTTTACATGTACATGATGGATGGTAGTCGGTGTCTCCATTAGCACGGTTGAAAGCATCTATTTCAGCGTCTGATTGACAATTAGGTCCAGGCTTTATCTCTCGACCAGCACGGAAAGGATCGAACGCTTTCTGTTTAAACACTTTCCTTGCAGCTTTAACGCTGTCCCTCATTGTCCTCAAATCATATTCTGTAGACAGGTAGTTGGCTACAATCTTTGGATGGTCTTTTGGATTTCTGGTTTTCAGCTTGACATAGCCTCTACTGGTGGCGCGCATAGGTCCCGCGTGGAGTTGATAGGCATGTTCATTACCAGTATTACGCCCATGATCGTTTGTAACAGCTGGTACGAAATGGAACTGAATGTCAGGATATTCTAAGCCTTCTTCACTTGGAACAAACCCGCCACTTTCGAAGTGAGTCGTCGCTCCATCACCTGTCTGTGTAAGGAACCACTGAAGCCCAATGCGAATCATATTGTGAGGGAATTTCCACTGAGCAGAATAAAGAGTGATGGGAAGCTTGCATGCCTCCTGTACACATACATCAAGATGGTCCTGGAGGTTTTCTCCAACACCAGGAAGGTGTTGAACTACAGGAATGTCCAGCGACTTCAGCTCGTCTGCATTACCTACACCCGATAACATGAGAAGCTGAGGAGAGTTGATTGATCCTCCACTCAAAATCACCTCCTTCTCTGCTCTGATAACCTTTTTTACTCCCTTCTGTTCATACTCTACACCCACGGCTCGCTTGTTCTCAAATACAATCCTCGTGGACAAGGCATTTGATTCCACTGTCACATTGTCACGTTTTAAAGCTGGCCTGAGGTAAGCCATAGCAGCACTCCATCGCCGGCCTTTGTGAATGGTCATGTCCATCGGCCCTACGCCCTCCTGCTGATAGCCGTTCATGTCTTCTGTAAACGGGAAGCCGGCCTGCTGACCTGCTTCTATAAAAGCCTGATGCAGTGGGTTGTTGGACTTTCCTCGTGATACGTGAAGAGGACCATCACCTCCCCTGTAGTCATTCTCCCCAAGTTCATGGGTCTGAGATTTTTTAAAGTATGGTAAACAGTCAGCATATGACCATCCCTTTGCCCCAGCCTTCTCCCATCCATCATAATCACCAGCATTGCCACGGACGTATACCATGGCATTGAGTGAAGACGATCCTCCCCAGACTCGTCCTCGTGGCCAGTACATGACCCTGTTGTTCATGTTAGGCTCTGGTTCGGTATGGTAGAACCAGTTGTACTTGTTATCATACAGGTTGTACATGAGGGCAGCAGGCATGTGTATTTTCCAGGTGTAGTCTCTTGGACCAGCCTCCAGAACACACACTTTGTTGTTTGGATCAACAGACAGTCGATTGGTGAGAGTGCAGCCAGCTGATCCTGCACCAACGATGACGTAGTCGTAGGTGGATCCAGCTCTAGATATCGTGGATACATTCCTCACCTGTATACCATTAATGCAACTGGACGATTGTCTCCTTCGTGGCGTGGTGCTGAAATATCGACTCTGGAGGTCGACCTTCCTCGTCAGAGGAGCCACATTTAGATGTATCTTCCGTTTATTGGGACTGGTCGATGAGTCATCCATGATATGATCAATCACATGGTCTGCAGTAGGTACAACTAGGTCGGTGACCCACTGCAGGTCATCTGCAGACCCTACACCTGATAACACACCAATCTTTTGCACCCTCGTTGATCTTCCAAATGCAAAATCTTTGAAAGAATCACCAACTAAGACAGTTTTCTCAGGGCTGACATTGAGTTCGTCACATATGATTTGTGTGCTGTGATCAAGAGATCGTGCGAAAAAGTGCGGATCATCTCCACAGATCATCATATCAACATACTTCAAAACACCTAGATGTGTCAAATCTGACAGAGCAAGCTCTCGTTTATCTCCAGTACATATTGCTATTTTGATTTCTTTTCTCTTTAGTGTTTTGAAGAATTTTTTTATATCCCTGAGAAGAGATTGTGGTTCTTCTCGAAGTATACATTCACACTCCTGCCAGACTTTGTTCACAACCATCAGAGACTCCTCATATGTCAAGTGTTTATGGATCATCTCCACTAGTGACGACCTCACCTCCAAGTTAGCGGTTCCATGTTCATTCAACAGCCCGTTCTTTACTTTACCTGTCTGTTCGCATATGCCTAGCCTCTGGTAAATTTCTGATCTCAGATCACAAAGACCAGTCGCTTGTTCTAAGCTGTAACGTAAATGAGAGGATCAATGTACAACTGATCTTGACTCAATTCAGATTATAAAAATTTTGTTTGCAACATCATGCATTCTTAGCTTAAGACAAATGAGGTATACTAATGTTTATGTATACAATGTCATACGCCATGGCCAATGATGGACACTTTTGAGAATGACTGATGGAATATGGAATAAAATTATAATCGTCGGATAACTTATTTAATCGGACGAGGTTCCTATTATGTAAGCAAGTTGTCTTTGCCAACGAAATTAGTTCTGAATTAACCAAGAGTGATTTTTCTAAAATTAATCAAAAATAACTAAAAATTTTCACTGATAAATTTGGACCCTGATCTTCAGAACATTACCCTAGAATTCTACCTATTATTCTACAGTGTTTACACATGTTGTATTTTCCTTGGAAAAAGGATGGGCATTACCAGGAATTGAACAAGACTGTATCATTATGAATTTTGGGGGCTCTAATCGTCAAAAAATCAATTGCATGATTGAATCAATGATAAGAAAACGAGGTAATTTTCAGTAATTTTCACTCAACTTCAGACGATTGCATTTCTAATGCACGTCGTTCAGAAGTCTTAACATATATATTTACTGTGTTAGTTAGGATAATATATTTAAGATATTTAAAGCATCAAATCGTAATACATACTTTGAACAGATTTGGTCCGTCCATTTGCCGAACCTGCTGTGGGCACAGAGGATGGTACCATGGAGATCTAAGATGATCAGGGCAACAGTCGGTACATGATTTTCAACACTAGCATACTCATCAGAATTGGAAGATTCCAAGGAATATGGTTCGATCAAGATTCTTTTGTCATTGGAGTAAGCGTAGCATTCCCTCCATTGGTCCTCCGGTAGGATGAGGGGCAACAAGTCTTGGACACTTTCTATAACATGATTGGCCGCTGGGTACAAATCATTTGTCTGACCTATACCACTTAATACCCCTATATTCCAGCCAAGCTGTGCTGCCTTTCCCATACCCACATCAGCTTTGGTGTCTCCCACCATGACAGTATCTTCAGGGTTCACACCAAGCATTTCGCAGATCAGCTGAGCGTTATCTGCAGCAGGTTTTGGGACATTAGTTGGGTCATCACCACAAACGATGTGATCAATCCATTTGTGAATTCCTATATCATGTAGCAATGCTTCAGTGGCTTGCCGTCGATCAGAAGTACAAATAGCGATCTTAATTCCGTTTCTTTTCAAAATCTTAAACAAGGTGTTCAGGTCCGCTAACGGTTTAGTTTGGAAAATACCATGTCCATCTTCCCAAATGTTGATCACAATGTCACGACCTTTGTTTTCATCGAGACCTTCTTGTCTGAGAAGCTCTACTAAAGCATCTTGTACCATTTCATCAGTAGCCTCCGCAAACAGACCTGGCACAACACGGTCAGATTCGTTACAAAATCCGATCTTTTTAAACACTTTTTCTTGAATGTCTAGTCCGGTGTTTTCTTCCAACCTGAAACGTTAGCGTTACTGATGTGATCATCTTAATTTGTTAAACATACCACAGTCCATGATGATATCGTATAAAACAGTATACCATTTACCAGAAAAAAACTTTCATTAAAATTTACCTCCACCCCTTTCACGCTTCCAAAAATAGAGCAAACAATAATAAACAGCAAAGGAATACCAACATTTTAACATAATCATATATCAAACCCAAATCAAATAAACTAGAATAAATATGAATAAAAAAAATCACACAAAGTACAAGGAAAACAGCACCAGGTGTTCCGAAAGAGTGAGCATCAACTGCTTCATCGACATCCGCCATGTAAATCTTGTCAATCCAAGTACGCAGTGTCACGTTCTCAAATGAGAACATGGTATACAACGGAACCAACAGGCATAAAAAAACATTCAGCTTCATATCGCACAAAAAAATGTAAAACTTCCCCGGAAACCTCACCAATCTGTATTTTTTGAAACGCTGTGTTAAGTGTTTGTTCTTCAGTTGACAACTTCTTTCACGGAAATCGTAATAATGGGAACATGCCATAAAATATCGAATTAGCTATTTCTTGAATTCATTGATTTTAACATACAGCATCGTGGAAAGCTGTCCATGATGGTTTCAGTTTCAGAAAAGAGAGAAATAATCGACTGATGTGGAAGAATCTATAGTGTACTTGATTTCCAATTCTTGATAAGAACATCAATATATGTTTAACACAATATAAACCACCAATTCGACAACATTTAAATAACTTACCAGACAAAGTCAATGAGGTGATATAGTCGGTATTTTCTTAATTTTCATACCTGATTGGTATTAAAAAAAATAAGGAAAACTTCCTTAATGACAGCAAACACAGTAGTAATATTCTAGTGTGTATTGTGAAATCAGTCATTTTCATAGGGCTACATTTTTGTTGATTTTATGTATACTCTTTATCAATTAATCCATATGTTCATGATAGTGGATATCGTAAGTGCTAATGTAAATCACTTAGATTCAGCGAATACTTCTCTTAACGATCCCGCATCGTCAGACATATTCGCGAATACATGATTTAGAATTGACTTCAACTTCGCAAATGATTAGCAAATGATGAAACACGGACTATTCAAGACTCCGATATCGGTTACAGAATCAACATAGATGCTTTCCAAAGTTACAAAATACAAATAATAGCGAGGTATTTGAATTTGCTATTGACACTCAACGCGGATTCATGCGAAAATAAATCCCACGCAAAATATAAGTGATTTACATTGTTCATTCAAAATTAAACGTGAAACCCGAAAATATTTAATTTGATAGTATTGAATACTTACTTAGACGCTATTTTCTTTGCCCAATGAGACCACATTGCCTGACAACATATCAGGGTGCCGTCTTTGTCGAAAATAACTAGGGATGCCTTCTTCCCGGCATCAGTGGACTTGGTAGGTTTGACACTGTTGATAGTTCTGACTCTTGAAAGGGTGGTGTTATGATCTGTTACCGAGCTGTAGGTGGTGTAACTGCCACAAACACCTGGAAGAAAGGCATAGTAAGACAGTTATGGATATTGTAGCTCCTAGGGAAAGACAGTACATGCGTCTTCGGGAGATTCGATAAAGAAAACCTATCAGATCAAACAATTGTGCGTCCCTTAGGAATACATGTACATACTTAGACACAACATATTAAATAGAGAAATTAAGACATACGCCTTCAATAGATGCCCGTATTTCTTAATGTGATTGGCAGCCCTTCCTTACAAGTTAGATAATTGTACCATTTGGAAACGTCTTTGGCAAATGAGAACAGCAAGGAAAATATCTTATGCCAAAGAAGTGTGATACAAAGATTCTGGATTTCCCATTTAAAAAATATAAATTAAATTAAATTACTTAAAACGAATAACATGCATACTTCACTTATGTATATGAATACTTCATTATTTTCACTTCTGCACTTAATTAGTAATATGTGAGCTGCAGTACGCTTGAATTACTACAAACAGTTTTATATCTGAAAAAAAGTTTCACGAACGTTCCTGTCCTCACAATAAGACCTGGATTTACATATGCAGGGATGAAATCTTTGTGCACTACACACCTAACAAATGCTTTAGTTTGGGGTGGTATGCCGATATATTCTTTGAAGCTTTCGACGCAGTGAAGATTCTGCTGAGACAACCGGGACGAAGCAGTCCTATGCAGGTCTTTCCAACAGTTGCCATTTTGACTGTTAACTTGTGCGGAAGCGTTTTATTCTATTTGCCTGTAATAAAAATAAAATCAATAGAATTAATTCACACCTGGTGCTCTTCAAATCTGTTTACAATTTTGAATTCGTATCTATGTGCTTGAAATATTCACGATTTCCTATATCAATATTTTTCTGTATTGTTTATCGATTTAGATGGTAAGAAGAATGTTAAACAATTTTCACGTTTAAAAAGTGTCCATTCAACGTGGAAGTCGATAGAAGAATGCATGTTTGAATCATTTAAAGAGAGCTGTGTATACTTATACGGATTATGGGAAACAACTTTTACTTTTAATATTTGTTAAATCTGTCCTATTGCTTTTTTGATAATTCGTAAAAATATTGTATATGTATATACTTAAATGACTCTCGTTCTATAAGTGTAATTGTATTGTATACACAGTGCACTTCGCCCTCCTTTAATTTGTATTAATATCTACTAATAATGAATAAATGCTTACTGCGATATATGTATATAAAATTTGATATTGCACATTATACTTTAGATTTGTTAAGTTTGTTCACTGAAGAGTAGGAAAGGTCGGGGTAGAAAACAATCATGACTTTATGTAAATATTCCTGTATCTGGGTCAAGGATACACACGTAAATATAGTAACCTGAACATGTCAGTGGAGTGTGTTATTTCTGTTTGTAGTATATGTGATATAAGGAGTACCTCCATGGTCCACTGGGCTACAACCTTCAACAGCAATCATTTCCTTAGATGTATAACTGGTTATGTTGTCGTGTTGTTTAAGTATTTCGGAACGAAGTAAAGAAATAAAAAAAAATAGAGGTTATATCAGGCATAGGTGGATTTAGGATATTTCTAAGTGTGTTAGACATAAGCTACCTTGAACAGAGAACAGTCTCCTGTAATCAATGGCATCTTCTAACACATTTGAAATAGCAGGGAAAATAAACGTGAAGTCACACTGACACTAATGTTTTACTTACGGGAAAAGAAAACCTGAGTGACTGTGGTTAGCTAACACTGATAACATGATGTAGACGAAAGCTATCCCGCTACAACCTACCTGTCAATATAGGCGATATAGTGTGTGTTTTTTTCTGCTCCGCCAACATGCAGTCAGTGCAACTGTCCTGCTGAAACCAGTGGTATAAAATATCATCATACTTTACTCGGATAACGATACTTATACAACAGGAGATAACATTTCATTGCTTCCAGTATCTACATAACGTGCCACGGTCAAAAACTAGAGATAGTATTACTACTTACGATAACTTCCTGTCTCGTGGTCTACACATGTTATGAACACCGTTAAGCATGACCTTTTGTATAAAAGCAGTGACTTAGAACAGCAAGGGAACTTCTTGGGGTTAGGGTATAATCTTACTTGTTGTTGTCACATTAGCATTAAACTGAAATTCAGCATTGATAGCCTACATTACATTCACAATAATCTTGCCTCTCGTAAGAAAACTTGAAAATGCGTGTTCATGTGTCCCATTATTAAAATATCATAGGCGTACCATGAGTAAGTATGAACAAATTGTGAATCTTTATTCAATTACATTTACTGTTGTGTCCCGACATATAGAATTGGAAATTTGTGGTTGTGGTGGGGAAGAGGGGAGGGGGGGGGGGCATTATATATATATATATAAAATGTGATATCGGGTGAGGTCGTATTTGTCACAATCCGTCAACATTTGCCAGAGTTACGGGACTTGATAATTTCAAAAAAGATATTTTTTCTGTTTCCGTCAAACAACTGTCATCTTAACGGTCCTACTTGAACTAACATTGTTATGATGTTCGAATTAATTCGATATTTGTCAAAATCCATCAGAGTTAAGGACTTAAAAAAAGTTTCTACGTCTTCGTCCAGTAATTTTATTTTATTAAGCTTTATTTTAGTGCGGTCTTGAATGGTTTCAGTAATGGTAATTTTTTGCCATAGCTACTGGAATAAATAATAATCAGGAAAATACTACGACACTGAATAAAACTAACAACCTGCTTCGTTTAACGAACATAAATAGGTGTTTCAGTTTCATTTCGTTTTCCTAAATATGTCAAGTATGCCCCAAAGTCTCTTTACCAATCAGTAGCTCAATTCCTTTTAGAAAACGTTTTCTTATTTAGCACATGCATTCCTAATGTGCTTTCTTACTCGAATGTACTATATTTGATGCCTATGGCAAAGATACCTTTCAATTAAATTACCAAGCCCTCGTGTTTGCTTAGCCTTTATGAATGACTTACCCTCGGGATTGTGTTTATCAAACATATCTTATCTTCTTATCTCTTTTGCCTTTATGTTATTGAATAATTTGAGTAATATTATGGCCTAAACGTTGTTATTATTATTCATTTTCTCAAGCTGTATATGTCCACAGAAATAGATTATAGTTTCAATTTTTCGGTTTGTTAGTTATAATTATATCATTATAACGCCAATATGAGTTATTGTTTAGTTGTTAAATTTACTCAGAAACATTCAATATTCAGGAATAAAACATAATTATTTTTGTAGTGTCATTTAAGAATTCTTAATAACTATTGATGAAATTTTAAAATAATCCTTATTACATTGAGCTGCGTAGATTAATAACAATATGCTATGAACGTGTAATATCCGCCATGTTGTGGATATTACTAAACCAAATTATTAATTACATCTGGATTACGAAAGAGCGGATTAACTGCGCCTCTATCAGAATACTAATTTAAAAAAATAAATAAATAAAAAAAGATAAAAACTATCAGGATCGATGACAATCCATATTCTAGTTGTTTATTATTTGTTCTTTATTTTTTTACGGTTCATTGGAGATGTGATGCTCCTGGATTTGTAGAGTAATATCGCGATTGTCTGGTAGTTAAACACAAACTACTATGAAAAACAGTGATTTATTTATCATTCACAAACTACATGCGGAATTATACTCATTTTTTTAAAATAGCATAACTATGGAAGTCACAAAGCATTATTGATACATTTAACAAAAAGATTTTCTCTCAGAAATGTAATATTTTTGGCTGATTGTATCAATGAAGCGTTACCGATACATTTAACAAAAACATTTTCACTCAGAACTATAATACTTTTGGCTGATTTTGATGAAGGTTTTGTGAAAAAGGCAATTTATTGACAGCTTGAAATATCACCTCAATTACGACAAGCAGTAAAAAACCGCATAATTTGTATTCAATTAAACACGCAGATTTCATGTTTTAAAGCGCCATAATATGTAAATATTTATTATCGGTAAGATTGTAATGATATCTTTTCAAAAATAAAATTGATATAACAAATCTTAAACGAAAAAGGTAAATTCAATAAAAAGGGAAAGTCTTGATCGAAGGCTTTGCAAAGTTTATTTGTAGTGCATACATTGATACAGAACACATCACATTGAATCCAATATTGTGTACTTCGCTTGGATATAAAAATCAGAGTGCTGGGGATATCTCTGTTAGCCCGTATTAGCTTCATGTTTTGTTTTTGTTTTGTTCTTTTTTATCATTATCATTTTTCCTGTCAACTATATATTACCATCAATAATTTCGTGCATAACCAGATACAAATGTTCTCTCACTTACTACATTTATACACAGGAGCATTAGACCGAGGCAGTGGTTTGTTCCCCAGAATAATGTCAGCGGCCTTCTCAGCCAGCATTATTGTCGGGCCGTTCAGGTTCCCAGTAATAACATTTGGCATGATAGAGGCATCAACTACTCGAAGATTATCTACACCTAAAACACGTGTCTGAGAATCCAACACAGCCATCGGGTCACTCTCATCTCCCATTTTACATGTACATGATGGATGATAGGCACTGTCTCCCAAAGCCCGAACAAAGGCGTCTATTTCAGCGTCTGTTTGACAATTAGATCCAGGCATTATCTCTCGACCAGCGCGGAAAGGATCGAACGCTTTCTGTTTAAACACTTTCCTTGCAGCTTTGACGCTGTCCCTCATTGTTCTCACATCATATTCTGTAGACATGTAGTTGGCTACAATCTTCGGATGGTCTTTTGGATTTTTGGTTTTCAGCTTGACGTACCCTCTGCTTGTAGCACGCATATATCCCACATGCAGTTGATATGCATGTTCATCGCCATTTTTACGCCCATGATCGTTCACAACAGAAGGTAAGAAGTGAAACTGAATGTCGGGATATTCCTGACTTTCTTCACTATGGACAAACCCACCACTCTCCAAATGTGCGCTGGCTCCATCTCCTTTCTGAGTCAGAAACCACTGTAGACCTATCCGAATCATATTGTGAGGGAATTTCCACTGAGCAGAATAAAGAGTGATTGGAAGCTTGCATGCCTCCTGTACATACACCTCAAGATGGTCTTGGAGATTTTCTCCGACACCAGGAAGGTGTTGAACTACAGGAATGTCCAGTGCCTTCAGCTCGTCTGCATTACCTATACCCGACAGCATGAGTAGCTGAGGAGAGTTGATTGATCCTCCACTCAAAATCACCTCCTTCTCCGCTCTGATAATCTTTTTTACACCCTTCTGTTCATACTCTACACCCACGGCTCGCTTGTTCTCAAATACAATCCTCGTGGACAGGGCATTTGATTCCACTGTCACATTGTCACGTTTTAAAGCTGGCCTGAGGTAAGCCATAGCAGCACTCCATCGCCGGCCTTTGTGAATGGTCATGTCCATCAAACCTACACCCTCCTGTTGATAGCCGTTCATGTCGTCTGTAAACGGGAAGCCAGCCTGCTGACCTGCTTCTATAAAGGCCTGATGCAGTGGGTTGTTGGTTTTTCCTCGTGACACATGAAGAGGACCATCACCTCCCCTGTAGTCATTCTCCCCAAGTTCATGGGACTGAGATTTTTTAAAGTATGGTAAGCAATCTGCATATGACCATCCCTTTGCCCCAGCCTTCTCCCATCCATCATAATCACCAGCATTACCACGGATATAGACCATGGCATTGAGCGAAGATGATCCTCCCCAGACTCGTCCTCGTGGCCAGTACATGACCCTGTTATTCATGTGAGGCTCTGGTTCGGTATGGTAGTACCAGTTGTACTTGTCATCACAAAGATTGTACATGAGGGCAGCAGGCATGTGGATCTTCCAGGTGTAGTCTCTTGGACCAGCCTCCAGAACACACACCTTGTTGTTAGGATCTGCAGACAATCGATTGGTGAGAGTACAGCCAGCTGATCCTGCACCAACGATGACGTAATCGTAGGTGGATCCAGCCCCAGATACCGTTGAGGCATTCCTCACCTGTACAGTACTGGTGAAACTGGTTGGTTGTTTCGCTCGTGGCTTGGTGCTGAACAATCGACACTGGCCATTGATACCTTGGGGCTTCCTGATCGAAGGAATGCCAGCTGGGGATATTTGTTTACGGGCTTGTGGATCTTTTAAAATATGATCAATCACATGATCTAGAGTAGGTACCACCAAGTCGGTGACCCACTTCAGGTCATCTGCAGACCCTACACCTGATAACACTCCGATCTTTTGTACCTTTGTTGATTTAACAAAAGAAAAATCTTTGTTAGAATCACCGACTATGACAGTTCTCTCAGGACTGATATTGAGTTCATCACATATGAGGTGCGTGCTGTGATCAGGAGACCTTGAGACAGAGTGTGGATCATCTCCACAGATCATCATATCAACATATTTCAACACATCAAGATTTGTCAAATCTGACAGTGCAAGTTCTCGCTTATCTCCAGTACATATTGCTATTTTGATTTCGTTTCTCTTTAGTGTTTTGAAGAATTGTTTGATGTCCTTGTGAAGTGATTTTGGTTCTTGAAGAAGCGTAGATTCACACTCCTGCCAGACTTTGTTTACAACCATCAAAGACTCCTCATATGTCAAGTGTTTATGGATCATCTCCACTAGTGATGACCTCACCTCCATGTTAGTGGTTCCATGTTCATTCAACAGCCCATCCTTTATTTTACTTGTTTGTTCACATATTCCAAGCCTCTGATGAATTTCTGATCGCAGACCACAAAGACCAGTCGCCTGTTCTAACCTGTAACAAAAATTGAGGCCCCGAATTATTTCTGTCTTGTATTTCTGTACATACTGTATTTAGAGCTCGTAATAGCGTTTTGTAGACAAGGTTACATTTTGTGTCTCGGAATTAAGTCAGGGTGTTGAGTTAGTATTCCTTTTTGTTCATCTCTTTATGTCCAAAGACTGATACAAAAGATACAAAAGTGAAAATTTAAGAATTAGATATATTAAAGCTTGACAATGAATTTAACCGAATCCTGCAGCTGTTTCATCCTTCTAGGTCCCGTCAGCGACGGACGCTTAGGGTTTGCATATAGAAAGCAAGCAAAGAACTCTGTGACTTGACGTATTATAATGTTTCGATGTAAATTTTAAGTGAGGGTCATGACTCTGATTACAAAGTTTAAACTGTATGCAATACAGACCTTGAGCAGATTTGGTCCGTCCATTCGCTGTACTTGCTGTGGGCACAGAGGATGGTACCATGGAGATCTAAGATGATCAAGGAAACAGTCGGTACATGATTTTCAACACTAGCATACTCATCTGAATTTGAAGATTCCAGAGAGTATGGTTCGATCAAGATTCTTTTGTCATTGGAGTAAGCGTAGCACTCCCTCCATTGATCCTCCGGTAGGATGAGAGGCAGTATATCCTGAACATTTTCGATCACATGACTAGCAGCTGGATACAAATCACTTGTCTGACCTGTGCCACTCAGTACACCAATATTCCAGCCGAGCCGCGCTGCCTCTCCCATTCCCACGTCCGCCTGGGTATCTCCCACCATCGCAGTATCTTTAGGGTTCACGCCAAGATTTTTGCAAATCCTTTCAGCATTATCAGCAGCAGGTTTTGGAACATTGTCAGGGTCATCACCGCATGCGATTTGATCAATTAAACTGTGGATTCCGAATTCTTCCAGAATTTCTTCAGTTCCTTTCCTACGGTCAGACGTACAAACAGCAATCTTAATATTGTGTCTTCTCAAAATTTTAAACAATGTTTTTAGATCTGCCAAAGATTTGGTTTTATAAATGCCGTGTCCCTCCTCCCAGACGTCGTGTACAATGGCGTGACATTTGTCCTTATCCACACCCTCCTGTTTGAGAACGTCAATTACAGCATCTTGGACCATTTTAGTTGTACCCTCTGCCAACAAGCCCGAGACAACTCGGTCAGATGAACTACAGAATCCGATCGCTTTAAACACTTTCTCCTGAATATCAAGACCGGTCGCTTCAACCAACCTGAAATTATAAATCGATGAAATTAGATGTTGGTTTATCAATAATACATTCAATAATATTTTTATATATTGTTATGGTATTTGTCATAGAAAAGTAAAAGTATCAACAATTAAGCAACATTAAAACACGAGTCTGAGAATCAGCCATAGGTCGCCATCCGTTCCCATCTCATACTCTTATGATCGACGGTAGACACTTTCTTAGAACATCAATGTTTATTTATTGAGAAGGAGAAACCCTGCTTTATAAGGACAGGCAATAACAAATACTAATTTAAGAAATTTATTATACACCTGTCAGCAATAAAGAGCATTCATTACATATTACGTAACAATTTTATAACATTCTGTCCTTCTACAATAACATCAACGTGATTAATATACAGTGTTCGCTTTCAAAAAGTTGTGAAATTTTTTTCCGAATCCTAAGAACAACTTTTTAGTTTGAAATGAAATATTTACTTGGAGGCTATTTTCTTTGACCATGGGACCCACGTTGTTTGACAGCATACCAAGGTGCCGTCTTTGTCGAAAATAACTAGGGATGCCTTCTTCCCGGCATCAGTGGACTTGGTAGGTTTGACACTGTTGATAGTTCTGACTTCTGACAGGATGGTGTTATGATCTGTTACGGAGCTGTAGGTGGCGTAACTGCCACGGACGCCTGGAACAATTAAAAAACAAAACATGAATAGCAAGAAAGTCATTGTTAGAGAAAAGTTTACACGAAATTATGAATTTATCACAAAAGCGTTTCGTCCTTGTAGGAATCATCAGTAACAGGGGCATCACTAATGGAAATCTTGAGGAGGAGTTGGAAAAAATATATTTAAAAATGAGCTGTTGAACTGCAGATGGGAAGCACTACTAGTACTAGTTTATGTCACTATTCATATGCACTAAAAGGTGGCGGGTGTAATGTAACCTCAAGAATTTCATCAGCGGAGTTTTTAATCGTAAAGGATTGTACGAAATACATACAAGGGAATATCATTTTTCCAAATGACTATAGTAATACATACACTGTATGTACAAATTATTATTTATACTGCAGCATACTGCTATTTCCTCCTTCTTGGACTCGTTCGGCCTAACGTGAATGACAGTTACACTATGACCCATATGGAAGAGTATGCCCCTCTTTGTAAGATATATTTTTTGTCTGAAACAGTCGTTTTAACTTGTATCTAACGACACCTTTCATTGTAATGAATCGGATCGAAATTTTCCTCTTCAAACTGCCCATCAAGGAACTACTTTTTGCCTAATCGAAAGACTTCAAAAGTTTCTAAAGATAGAATTACATTGAAATCTACCAGCTTCATTTCAGAATAGGATTTTTGTTAAGATCTTAATACAAATGGAATTGAGTGACAGGCGAAACCTATAAAAACCCTCTCCTTAGAAAATCAAAAAGATGTACTCGTAAAATTGAATATGTAAGTAACCTAGGATAGCTGTATAACAAGGCGTGTGTTTTTGGAAAATGTAACTACTAGTTTTAATGGCGGTTGTGCTACACGCTATTTTCAAATGTATTAAAGGCAGATAAGTTGTCCATTCATTCGTAACACTGCGCATGTCCTTACTAGATAGTTGACAGATATCGATACAAAGTAATTACCTAATAACGTTAACGAATCCCTATACTGACTCCACAATCGATATATTTGTGCTTCCATCAAGATCGAGAGAGCCATGTAGAAAGATCTCCCTGAGCAGAGAGAGAGAGTTGTCGAGAACTTTTTTGTAAGTATGGAAGGTGATAAATGTTTTCTTGTCTGTATACATAATATTCAAGCTTTACGCTATTGTGGTTTTGCGTTACAGTGTAATATATATTACAAACGTTATATGATAAAAAAGATTGCAATGTGATGATAATAAACAAAGGTTACCAACTGTGTAAGGAAAAAAACATTCTTAACTGTTCTCTTCTTTTACACAACTAAGAAGCGCCTACACGCTTGAATAAAACATATGAGATACACCATGAACAGTGTGACATATATAACACATTGAACATAGACAGATATCCAATATACCCACGAGACTTCAGGAATTAGAGGCAATATTGGGCGAGAAATTAACTGGACAAAAACACACAATGAAAAAAGGATAAAAACGATTTTATAGTATTATTTGTAATCTAATATTATCAGTCATTTCAAAAATCACTGTTCGGGTATCCGAAGGTCGACTTCCAAAAATACTTTGTAATTATATACCAATATATGGTAACATTTTGAACCATTTATACAAATGGTATACATTAATGTTTTAAGAATATTTTCAACACCACATACCTAACATAGTTTGTAGTTTGGGGTGGTATGCCGGCATATTCCTTGTAACATTTGATGCTGTCAAGAGTCTGCCAAGACAACCAGGACGCAGCATCCCTATGCAGGTCTTCAAAACTGTAGTCATGGTAACTGTTAACTTGAGGGATAACTTATTTTTCAATGGAATAGTTTATCTGTAATCAAGCAATACTATTAGAATTTAAAGATAAAAGCATACATTTAAAATTTGTTTTCATCAGCTAAGAAGAATCTTTTCAATTATATCCTACATCATGATTTATACGAAATCAACAATTTTCAAACAGACGCAATTCCTGGGTTTAAAAATATTTTCTTAAGTGCCCATATGATTGTATAATTAATAGGAAAGTTGAAAAGACGTTTGATTTTCCCATACAAAATCCCTCAAACAGAATCATTGCATGCATTTTACATTTTTGGAAAAAAAGTCATGGTACTAATTGCTGTCTATTTTGTTATATTGTGAACAGTACTCCCTTTATTAGCATATGTAATATTTAATTTCTGTATAAAATTTCTGGTATTCTAATCAATGACAGAAGCCATATTTAAGCAAAATTTCTGTTATTCTAATCAATGACAGAAGCCATATTTAAGCAATCTTAAAATACAGAAAAACCTTCATGTACCCAGGTAATACTGAGTCGGTCATTACCATTGACCGATACAGAATTGATCATTAAATCTGAGAACAGAAATCATGTTACAGATGCTTGCTACTTTAATTATCCGTTTGACAGAGGCTGACTTATTACAAGTAGAAAGTCTTTATACAAAGGTCTATACAACAAACATGGTGATATTTTATACGTGATCAGTACATTTTACAAGTTAACACCATCGACATCGAACATTCGTGCTGGGGTATTTAAATGTGATTGACGGGAACGTTCTCAATAGAAAGCATAGAAAAATGATTTAACACCCAGTGATGTTCGATTCTCTTAGATTCTCAACCTGTTGATAACATCACTTGTATGCAAAAATATCTTTACAACTTTGAACACTATTTCTTGGTAAATCTAGATAATCAGGTCTGTTATCATTATAACAATGCTTCCCAAATATAGGACGTGAATTTGAACACACACGTGATTTTAATTAGATAACTTATCATGTTCATAACATTTCCATTTCAAATACGAGATTATTATATCTTTCTTATTCAGATTAATTACCTGTTACTCCAAGCTGATACATACCTGTTTTCACTCCGACACAAGCAAGCAATCGTGAAACCTGCCCACTAAAAACTATGTGTCTGGATACACGTAGATATACTTATCATATCTTACTCAGATACTGACACATTTCACAGACATGAGATAACATTTCACTGCATCTAAAATGAACTGACAATGACATCGTCTCGAGATTCGCCAAGCTGGGCGACCTTGTGTCTGACACACTACTTTGTTGGAACGAGTTAAGTAGGTGAGCTGGCCATGGGAATATTATCTCCCTTCTACAGATAGGGCATCATGTTGTATCGTGCAAGGTCTGAGCTTTTGGGGGAGATGGTTGCTTTCAAATATATTGTATTCGTATTTATTCCTAAGAAAGTGTCATCAATAAAAAAAATATTCGTAAAGAATATAAAAATGGGGTTTGACCTTAATTGAAAAGGATAGCTCTGGGACTATCTGAAGACGCCATACAAGGGTCGGGAAAAGACAGGAAATTAAGAAATGTGCCAACCATTTACTAGTTATAAACCTAGATCTCGTTATTTGCAATATACTACCTAACACCCTCGTATCACTGCCTTAAACCCTCGTTATACTACCTTACACCCTCGTTATACTATCTTACACCCTCGTTATACTACCTTACACCCTCGTTATACTACTTTACACCTTCGTTATACTACTTTACACCTTCGTTATACTACTTTACACCTTCGTTATACTACCTTACACCCTCGTTATACTACCTTACACCTTCGTTATACTACCTTACACCTTCGTTATACTACCTTACACCCTCGTTATACTATCTTACACCCTCGTTATACTACCTTACACCCTCGTTATACTACTTTACACCTTCGTTATACTACTTTACACCTTCGTTATACTACCTTATGTCTTCGTTATACTACCTTACACCCTCGTTATACTATCTTACACCCTCGTTATACGTTATACTACTTTACACCTTCGTTATACTACTTTACACCTTCGTTATACTACCTTATGTCTTCGTTATACTACCTTACACCCTCGTTATACTACCTTACACCCTCGTTATACTACCTTACACCTTCGTTATACTACCTTACACCTTCGTTATACTACCTTACACCCTCGTTATACTATCTTACACCTTCGTTATACTACCTTACACCCTCGTTATACTACCTTACACCCTCGTTATACTACCTTACACCTTCGTTATACTACCTTACACCCTCGTTATACTACCTTACACCTTCATTATACTATCTTACACTCTCGTTATACTACCTTACACCCTCGTTATACTATCTTACACCCTCGTTATACTATCTTACACCTTCGTTATACTACCTTACACCTTCGTTATACTACCTTACACCTTCGTTATACTACCTTACACCCTCGTTATACTACCTTACACCCTCGTTATACTACCTTACACCTTCGTTATACTACCTTACACCCTCGTTATACTACTTTACACCTTCGTTATACTACCTTACACCCTCGTTATACTACCTTACACCCTCGTGATACTACCTTACACCTTCGTTATACTACCTTACACCTTCGTTATACTACCTTACACCCTCGTTATACTACCTTACACCCTCGTTATACTATCTTACACCCTCGTTATACTACCTTACACCCTCGTTATACTATCTTACACTCTCGTTATACTACCTTACACCCTCGTTATACTACCTTACACCCTCGTTATACTACCTTACACCCTTGTTATACTGTCTTAAACATTCGTTATACAACCTTACACCTTCATTATACTACCTTACACCCTCGTTATACTACCTTACACCTTCGTTATATTACCTTACACCCTCGTTATACTACCTTATGTCTTCGTTATACTACCTTACATCCTCATTATACTACCTTATGTCTTCGTTATACTATCTTACATCCTCATTATACTACCTTATGTCTTCGTTATACTACCTTACATCCTCATTATACTACCTTACATCCTCATTATACTATCTTACACCCTCGTTATATTTCCTTACGCGTTCGTTATACTACCTTAAACATTCGTTATACTACATTATGTATCCGTTATACTACCTTTCATCCTCATTATACTATCTTACGCCTTCGTTATACTACCTTATGTCTTCGTTATACTATCTTATGCCTTCGTTATACAACCTTACACCTTCGTTATACTACCTTACACCTACATTTTACCTTACATTCTCATTATACTACCTTACACTTTCGTTTTATCTTACATCCTCATTATACTACCTTACACTTTCGTTTTACCTTACATCCTCATTATACTACCTTACACTTTCGTTTTACCTTACATCCTCATTATGCTACCTTACACCTTCATTTTACCTTACATCCTCATTATGCTACCTTACATCTTTGTCTTTCTACCTCATCTTCTTGTTAAGCTGTCTAACATCTACATTATAATACGTTATGCATGCATTATACATGTACTACCTTACACTATAGTAACATGTCCTCTTTATAATACTTTTCACTTTTGTTTTACTACTTCACACTATTGTTACAATACTTTAGCCTTCTTAATATAACCTTGGATTTTCATTATACAGCCTTACATCCTCATTATATAATAAATTCATACTTCATACTCCTGTTATACTGCCTTAATCCCTCGTTACATGACCCTGATCTTATCTGTCTGCTGAAATGTTGTCCAGAAAGACCTTGTATCATATAAATACAACAAAGACTGTCACTACAAGCAGTAACTTATACTTGGTATGTATATGATTCTGAAGTGTCAAATGTGATTGTGAATTCAAACATTTCCATGACATTAGTGTAAAACTTTATCTGGATAAGCAAACTGAATTCATACAATAACACTAATTCACAGGGAATACATTTCAATCATATAGTTTATTGATCGTTACAAACTTTTAGATGATGGGAATGATTGTCTTACGCCTAATATAGCAGTTTTCATGGTCCCAGTCACCTGTAACAAATGTTAACATTATCACCGGTCAACTTCAATTGGAATACTATAATGAGGAGTATAAAAAAAGTGTCCCTGGTAGATTTAACAATTGGAATGTCTGGGAAATAGATATACCATACTACATGTATCTTGATTGCACATTCTATCATAAATAGATATAAAGATATTGATAATCAATTATCTGCAGCTGTAGCCATTGTTTTCAAACATCTGACTGAGAGAAGTTGTCATAGTAATGTTTTCTCACAATACTGACGTCTCAATATTCATAACAGTGATGTCTAGGACAACTCAGTACTGATTTAACAACCATTTCAATAGCTACCGCTGCAATTTTCAATGCACTTTTTCTACCACCTCATACATTAACTGGGGGCATTTAAAATACCCCCTTGTCAACCATATCACAAGCAAAATTCCCCCATAAAAATTCACAATACCTCTTTATCTGCTATTATTACATACAAACTTATAAGCTGTTTACTGAATTTATGTCTTATTTGATTTGCTCAACAATTCTCACTGGTATATCATTTAGAACCTACAAACAGATTTTTTCATCATAATATTGTGTATATATGAATAAAACATTGATAGCATAGTATTCACAGAAAACAACGAAATATAAAACAATTAACCTCAAGAAATCTTAAAATGACAAAGGACTCGTTCAATTATAATGCCAAAGACAATACAAAACTACAAACAGCAAACATGGCACATAATATACAATGCTGAGTTACTTATTTGGAACATTTTGATATCTTGCTAAGTGATGTCAAAAATGAACATTAGTCACACTTATCTTTGTTATAAATAAGGCGTAGTCTTCTATAATCAGTTATAGACCTATGGTGAGGTGAACATGAAGTTATATGAATATATGACAAATTATCAACCCAATATTGTTTTATCATGAGGAGTTTCATATCAATATTACAATGGCATTGATTGTTCAAAAATAAGTGACAGAAAAAACAAATCCAACAGATCAGGCAGTGTGTAAAATAAAAAGATCATAAGAAAAAGAAATCACATTGTCTAATAAAACCTGGAATTCAATCCTCCTTATTTAGATTACAGGAAAAAAAACTCTGAAATAGTTGAGTTTCAGGAAAAAAGCATAAACAACATGATTATCCAGGTACAATGTCTGTATCAATGTATATCAACATAACTGTGAAAAAATCAATGTAAAGAAAAATTGTACAACCCAAGTCTGAAATGCATACCTCTGTTATATTGATGGGAAGGGTACATAGGATCAGTTTAGATTGAAAAACCTAACACTACTTATTAATGTGTTTGTTTAAAAAGTTTACATCCTGGCAAAAGCTGAGATCATGTAAATATTGTACATACAAACAGTGTACTGCTGACAACATCTTATTCTGAATACAAAATGTCATACAAAGCACTAGTATATACTGTAAACAATCATTTGGCTGTAATTATACCTTTGAGTATTTCACACTAAACTTGAAAGCACTATAGTTATAAATCTGCTACATGACAATATTGCCTGTTATGCTGTACTCTCATATATACTATCTGTGATTATTAACAAACAATATTAATATACAGAAAACACATTTGTGATCACATTCACATCTGATCTACTAACTGATGAACATTGTTAAGAAGGTAAATCTGACCTACCTATTGATGTACAGTGTTTTGGAGGTATATCTGACCTACTTATTGATGTACAATGTTTTGGAGGTACATCTGACCTACTTATTGATGTACAGCGTTTTGGAGGTACATCTGACCTACTTATTGATGTACAGTGTTTTGGAGGTACATCTGACCTACTTATTGATGTACAGTGTTTTGGAGGTATATCTGACCTACTTATTGATGTACATTGCGATGGAGGTATATCTGACCTACTTATTGATGTACAATGCAAGGAGGTATATCTGACCTACTTATTGATGTACATTGCAATGGAGGTATATCTGACCTACTTATTGATGTACATTGCGATGGAGGTATATCTGACCTACTTATTGATGTACATTGCGATGGAGATATATCTGACCTACTTATTGATGTACATTGCGATGGAGGTATATCTGACCTACTTATTGATGTACATTGCGATGGAGGTATATCTGACCTACTTATTGATGTACATTGCAAGGAGGTATATCTGACCTACTTATTGATGTACATTGCGATGGAGGTATATCTGACCTACTTATTGATGTACCTTGCGATGGAGGTATATCTGACCTACTTATTGATGTACATTGCGATGGAGGTATATCTGACCTACTTATTGATGTAGTGATACATAAGTCACATTATGGTACAGTGAGATCTGAACTACTGTTTACTGTACAATGTTTCAGATGTGCAGATACCTAAGCTGTACTTAGACTAAAGGACAATGTGGTTACATGTCCACTTACCTGCTACTGTTTAATTGAAATCAGTAGCACTGTGTGGAAAACATTGGAAGTTAAACAAACAATAAATGAAAAAAAAAACCAAAAAACAAAAATCCAGATCATCAAAGTTCCATACAACAAAACATAGATTACATTGGGACTATAATTTATGTGTAAAAAAGATAAAAATGCAAAGAAAAAAAATCAAAATTGATTTACAATCTGCTCATAAATGAACATATTTAACAAATCAGAAAAGAAAAAGGTTTCTAAAAAAGTTAATGACTAATAATCAAAGCAAACAATGAAAAGAAACAAAAAAAATTTCACTAGCATTACATGTTTGCTCACAAATAAACTATGTTGGAATTGTAAGGAAAGGACATCTATGTTTTATACATTAGTATTTGTTTCTCCAAGCAAACAACAATAATGATTTGTAAGCAACAAGTAGTCTGTACACATGTGCTTTTAAATAGCAAGTTGTTGCAATTATATTCTACTAAACCCTACTTCAGAATCATCATTTAGTTTGCTATACTTTGTTCTTGTATACAGGAGCATTAGATCGAGGCAGTGGTTTGTTTCCCAGGATAATGTCAGCGGCCTTCTCAGCCAGCATTATTGTCGGGCCGTTCAGGTTCCCAGTAACTATATTTGGCATGATAGAGGCATCAACTACTCGAAGATTATCTACACCTAAAACACGAGTCTGAGAATCCAACACAGCCATCGGGTCACTCTCATCTCCCATTTTACATGTACATGATGGATGATAGGCACTGTCTGCGTAAGCACGGTTAAAGGCATCAATCTCGGCATCTGTTTGACAATCAGGTCCTGGCAACAGCTCTCGACCAGCGCGGAAAGGATCAAACGCTTTCTGTTTAAACACTTTCCTGGCAACTTTGACACTGTCCCTCATTGTCCTCACATCATATTCTGTAGACAGATAGTTGGCTACAATCTTCGGATGGTCTCTTGGATTTTTGGTTTTCAGCTTGATGTTACCTTTACTGGTAGCATGCATTGGTCCTGTATGCAATTGGTAGGCATGTTCATCACCAGTTTTACGCCCGTGATCTTTCACAACAGAAGGTAAGAAGTGAAACTGAATGTCGGGGTACTCAAGACCTTCTTCACTATGGACAAACCCACCACTCTCCAAATGTGCGCTGGCTCCATCTCCTTTCTGAGTCAGAAACCACTGTAGACCTATCCGAATCATATTGTGAGGGAATTTCCACTGAGCAGAATAAAGAGTGATTGGAAGCTTGCATGCCTCCTGTACATACACCTCAAGATGGTCTTGGAGATTTTCTCCGACACCAGGAAGGTGTTGAACCACAGGAATGTCCAGTGCCTTCAGATCGTCTGCATTACCCACACCCGATAACATGAGAAGCTGAGGAGAGTTGATTGATCCTCCACTCAAAATCACCTCCTTCTCTGCTCTGATCACCTTTTTTACACCCTTCTGTTCATACTCTACACCCACGGCTCGCTTGTTCTCAAACATAATCCTCGTGGACAGGGCATTTGATTCCACTGTCACATTGTCACGCTTCATAGCTGGCCTGAGGGAGGCCATAGCAGCACTCCATCGCCGGCCTTTGTGAATGGTCATGTCCATCAAACCTACACCCTCCTGTTGATAGCCATTCATGTCGTCTGTAAACAGAAAGCCAGCCTGCTGACCTGCTTCTATAAAGGCCTGATGCAGTGGGTTGTTGGTTTTTCCTCGTGACACATGAAGAGGACCATCACCTCCCCTGTAGTCATTCTCCCCAAGTTCATGGGTCTGAGATTTTTTAAAGTATGGTAAGCAATCTGCATATGACCATCCCTTTGCCCCAGCCTTCTCCCATCCATCATAATCACCAGCATTTCCACGGATATAGACCATGGCATTGAGTGAAGACGATCCTCCCCAGACTCGTCCTCGTGGCCAGTACATGACCCTGTTGTTCATGTGAGGCTCTGGTTCCGTATGGTAGTACCAGTTGTACTTGTCATCACACAGGTTGTACATGAGGGCAGCAGGCATGTGGATCTTCCAGGTGTAGTCTCTTGGACCAGCCTCCAGAACACACACCTTGTTGTTAGGATCTGCAGACAATCGATTGGTGAGAGTACAGCCAGCTGATCCTGCACCAATGATGACGTAATCGTAGGTGGATCCAGCCCCAGATGTCGTGGAAGCATTCCTCACCTGTACAGCACTGGTGGAACAGGGTGATTGTCTCCCTCGTGACATTGTGCTGAACAAACGACATTGGACATTGACACTTCCCGGCTTTCTCAGTTTAGGAAGAGCATTTGGTATCATTTGTTTGCCAGGAGTGGTTGGTGGGTCTTCTAAGATATGATCAATCACATGGTCTACAGTAGGCACCACTAGGTCGGTGACCCACTTTAGGTCATCTGCAGACCCTACACCTGATAGTACACCAATCTTTTGTATCTTAGCTGATCTTTCAAATGAAAAATCTTTGGTAGAATCGCCGACTATTACAGTTTTCTCAGGATTTACATTCAGTTCATCACATATGATTTGTGTGCTGTGATCAGGAGACCGTGAGACAGAGTGTGGATCATCTCCACAGATCATCATATCAACATATTTCAACACACCCAGATTTGTCAAATCTGACAGTGCAAGTTCACGCTTATCTCCAGTACATATTGCTATTTTGATTCCTTTTCTCTTTAGTGTTTTGAAGAATTTTTTGATGTCCTTGTGAAGTGATTTTGGTTCTTGAAGAAGCGTAGATTCACACTCCTGCCAGACTTTGTTTACAACCATCAGAGACTCCTCATACGTCAAATGTTTATGGATCATCTCCACCAGTGACGACCTCACCTCCATGTTAGTGGTTCCATGTTCATTCAACAGCCCATCCTTTATTTTACTTGTTTGTTCACATATTCCAAGCCTCTGGTGAATTTCTGATCGCAGACCACAAAGACCAGTCGCCTGTTCTAACCTGTAACAAAAATTGAGAAAATCAATGCACTAACTGACCTCAATTACGATAAGAGAAATCCTGTAGAAATATTTTGATTCATTATATATAACACACTGAGATTGTAGAAATCCTGTTTACAATATCCTGCACCCTTTATGTTATACAATGAGATTAGAGAAATCCTGTTTACAAGATCCCACACTCTTTATATAATATACAAAGATTAGAGAAATTCTGTTTACAATATCTCCCATTCTTTATATAACACACTGAGATTAGAGAAATCCTGTTTACAATATCTCCCATTCTTTATATAACACACTGAGATTGTAGAAATCCTGTTTACAATATCTCCCATTCTTTATATAACACACTGAGATTAGAGAAATCCTCTTTATATAACACACAATATCTCCCATTCTTTATATAACACACTGAGATTAGAGAAATCCTTTATATCTCCCATTCTTTATATAACACACTGAGATTAGAGAAATCCTGTTTACAATATCTCCCATTCTTTATATAACACACTGAGATTAGAGAAATCCTGTTTACAATATCTCCCATTCTTTATATAACACACTGAGATTAGAGAAATCCTGTTTACAATATCTCCCATTCTTTATATAACACACTGAGATTAGAGAAATCCTGTTTACAATATCTCCCATTCTTTATATAACACACTGAGATTAGAGAAATCCTGTTTACAATATCTCCCATTCTTTATATAACACACTGAGATTAGAGAAATCCTGTTTACAATATCTCCCATTCTTTATATAACACACTGAGATTGTAGAAATCCTGTTTACAATATCTCCCATTCTTTATATAACACACTGAGATTAGAGAAATCCTGTTTACAATATCTCCCATTCTTTATATAACACACTGAGATTGTAGAAATCCTGTTTACAATATCTCCCATTCTTTATATAACACACTGAGATTAGAGAAATCCTGTTTACAATATCTCCCATTCTATTATATAACACACTATATAACATTGTAGAAATCCTGTTTACAATATCTCCCATTCTTTATATAACACTTTATATAACACACTGAGATTAGAGAAATCCTGTTTACAATATCTCCCATTCTTTATATAACACACTGAGATTAGAGAAATCCTGTTTACAATATCTCCCATTCTTTATATAACACACTGAGATTAGAGAAATCCTGTTTACAATATCTCCCATTCTTTATATAACACACTGAGATTGTAGAAATCCTGTTTACAATATCTCCCATTCTTTATATAACACACTGAGATTGTAGAAATCCTGTTTACAATATCTCCCATTCTTTATATAACACACTGAGATTAGAGAAATCCTGTTTACAATATCTCCCATTCTTTATATAACACACTGAGATTGTAGAAATAATTCTTTATATAACACACTGAGATTGTAGAAATCCTGTTTACAATATCTCCCATTCTTTATATAACACACTGAGATTAGAGAAATCCTGTTTACAATATCTCCCATTCTTTATATAACACACTGAGATTAGAGAAATCCTGTTTACAATGTCTCCCATTCTTTATATAACACACTGAGATTAGAGAAATCCTGTTTACAATATCTCCCATTCTTTATATAACACACTGAGATTAGAGAAATCCTGTTTACAATATCTCCCATTCTTTATATAACACATTCTTTATATAACACATATAACACACTGAGATTAGAGAAATCCTGTTTACAATATCTCCCATTCTTTATATAACACACTGAGATTAGAGAAATCCTGTTTACAATATCTCCCATTCTTTATATAACACACTGAGATTGAGTAGAAATCCTGTTTACAATATCTCCCATTCTTTATATAACACACTGAGATTAGAGAAATCCTGTTTACAATATCTCCATTCTTTATATTCTTTATATATAACACACTGAGATTAGAGAAATCCTGTTTTTCCCATTCTTTATATAACACAATATCTATTCTTTATTCTTTATATACACACTGAGATTAGAGAAATCCTGTTTATCCTGTTTACAAGATCCCACACAATATCCTACCATTCTTTATATAATACAATGAGATTAGAGAAATCCTGTTTACAATATCTCCCACATTCTTTATATTATACAATGAGATTAGAGAAATCCTGTCTCCCATTCTTTATATAATACACAATATCCCACACTCTTTATATATACAATGAGATTAGAGAGAAATCCTGTTTACAATATCTCCACACTCTTTATGTTATACAATGAGATTAGAGAAATCCTGTTTACAATATCTCCCATTCTTTATATAATACAATGAGATTAGAGAAATCCTGTTTACAATATCCCACACTCTGTATGTTATACAGTGAGATTAGAGAAATCCTGTTTACAATATCCCACACTCTTTATGTTATACAATGAGATTAGAGAAATCCTGTTTACAATATCTCCCATTCTTTATATAATACAATGAGATTAGAGAAATCCTGTTTACAATATCCCACACTCTTTATGTTATACAATGAGATTAGAGAAATCCTGTTTACAATATCTCCCATTCTTTATATAATACAATGAGATTAGAGAAATCCTGTTTACAATATCCCACACTCTTTATGTTATACAATGAGATTAGAGAAATCCTGTTTACAATATCCCACACTCTTTATGTTATACAATGAGATTAGAGAAATCCTGTTTACAATATCCCACACTCTTTATGTTATACAGTGAGATTAGAGAAATCCTGTTTACAATATCCCACACTCTGTATGTTATACAATGAGATTAGAGAAATCCTGTTTACAATATCCCACACTCTACAGTGAGATTAGAGAAATTCTTTATATAATACAATGAGATTAGAGAAATCCTTTATCCCACACTCTGTATGTTATACAATGAGATTAGAGAAATCCTGTTTACAATATCCCACACTCTGTATGTTATACAGTGAGATTAGAGAAATCCTGTTTACAATATCTCCCATTCTTTATATAATACAATGAGATTAGAGAAATCCTGTTTACAATATCCCACACTCTTTATGTTATACAATGAGATTAGAGAAATCCTGTTTACAATATCCCACACTCTGTATGTTATACAATGAGATTAGAGAAATCCTGTTTACAATATCCCACGCTCTTTATGTTATACAATGAGATTAGAGAAATCCTGTATACATCAACCCACATTCTTTATGTAATAATCAGAGGTAGACCAAAACTGGACACACTTTTGTGAGTAACTGAAGATGTATTGTATGAATCAGTTGAGGTCTATAACTGTGGCAAAAACCAGGCTTGTATAAAATGTATGAATTTCAATGTCTTTCTTATTGTTTTCATGTCCTGATGTGTGGATATCAATTTTCACACTTTTTGAAATTTTCAATTGTCACCAATTTACTTTCCTTGTATTGAAAGAATAGGAAAACAGGGTACACACCTCGAGCAGATTTGGTCTGTCCATTTGCTGTACTTGCTGTGGGCACAGAGGATGGTACCATGGAGATCTAAGATGATCAAGGCAACAGTCGGTACATGATTCTCAACACTAGCATACTCATCAGAATTGGAAGATTCCAAGGAATATGGTTCGATCAAGATTCTTTTGTCGTTGGAGTAAGCGTAGCATTCCCTCCATTGGTCCTCCGGTAGGATGAGGGGCAACAAGTCTTGGACACTTTCTATCACATGACTGGCCGCTGGGTACAAATCATTTGTCTGACCTACACCACTTAATACCCCTATATTCCAGCCAAGCTGTGCTGCCTTTCCCATTCCCACATCAGCTTTGGTGTCTCCCACCATGACAGTATCTTCAGGGTTCACACCAAGCTTTTCACAGATCATTTGAGCGTTATCTGCAGCAGGTTTTGGGACATTGTTGGGGTCATCACCACACACAATGTGATCAACTAAACCATGGATTCCTAAATCTTCTAAAAAGTTCTCAGTTCCTTTCCTGCAGTCAGCAGTGCAAACAGCGATCTTTACATTATTGCTTTTTAATATCTTAAACAAAGTGTTAAGGTCGGCTAAAGTTTTAGTTTCATAAATGCCGTGTCCATCTTCCCAGATGTTGTTCACAATGGCACGACCTTTGACCTCATCCACACCCTCCTGACTGAGAAGCTCCACTATAGCATCCTGGACCATTTCTGTGGTAGCTTCTGCAAGCAAACCTGGGATTACTCTGTCAGATGTGGTACAAAATCCAATTGTTTCAAATACTTTCTCCTGAATGTCTAGTCCGGTGGCTTCTTCCAATCTGAAATAATAAAATTTTTAAAGTTAAATTATTTAAATCCAAATTATGGATCATTTACAATTATCAAGTAAGTAAATAAGAATTTAACATCAATGGTTAGACACCTACACTATACAAATAGATATACCAATGATTGGGCATAAGTAATTATCAGCTTATGGACATGCATGATATGGATGATAAATTATCTACCCAAGATACCTCTAGCTTATAGTTATACAGGTTGGTATTTTCTAAATATACATGGTGAACACTTTATTCTGTATAATAAAACATGCATAAGCATCAAGCCTTTATATAGCTATATATGTATATAAGGAGTACAAAGCGCCATTCACAGGAATTTACACAAATGAGTATACATTGTGTTACACTAATGAGTATACATTGTGTTACACTAATGAGTATACGTTGTGTTACACTAATGAGTATACATTGTGTTACACTAATGAGTATACCTTGTGTTACACTAATGAGTATACATTGTGTTACACTAATTAGTATATGTTGTGCTACACTAATGAGTACATGTTGTGTTACACTAATGAGTATATGTTGTGTTACACTCATGAGTATACATTGTTACACTAATGAGTATACATTGTTACACTAATGAGTATACATTGTGTTACACTAATGAGTATACGTTGTGTTACATTAATGAGTATACGTTGTGTTACACTAATGAGTATACATTGTGTTACACTAATGAGTATATGTTGTGAACAGGAAACTGAAATATGAACCGGTAATCATAATGTGGATCGCTGACCTCTGGGATATACATAAGGAAGTAGCACCTTGACCTACTCCTAAATTTTCATTCTTCTTTCCTCATCAATACGTGTTGGATTGCTATGACTTTTTATGAGTTTAATACTTGCTTGCCAAAATGTTTATTCATGCATGAAAACAATCAATACTATATGAAGCAACAAATTAGAAAAATGAAAAATGAAAATAAATACAGTAAATTTTAATTTTTCCCAATAAATTGTATGTAAGAACACCATTATGCTAGTCTATCTTAATATACTGCTGAGCTTAAAAATAAGTAAGAAAACAGAATATATTACACACTATCAAACATGCTAGTCTGATAAAAACCATGAATAAAAAATAAATCTTATAGTTAGAAAAAACAACAAAAATTAGATGTATCTATCCATACACAACAGCCAACACTGAAGTTGATTAGTACATTTCTATGTGTATTTACTTAGAGGCTATTTTCCTGGCCCAAGGGGACCACATTGATTGGAAGCATATCAAGGTGCCGTCTTTGTCGAAAATAACTAGGGATGCCTTCTTCCCGGCATCAGTGGACTTGGTAGGTTTGACACTGTTGATAGTTCTGACTTCTGACAGGATGGTGTTATGATCTGTTACGGAGCTGTAGGTGGCGTAACTGCCACGAACGCCTGTAAGATAGACACAGCATGACAGACGGGGAAAGTGTGGCTCGTAGGGAGACACACAACATGTTGACAACAACTGTCCACACTACAAAAAACAATTCTGTTACAATAAATATGATAATACGTCCCACCAAATGAATGGCTTTGGTATCAGCCAGTAACACATAATGTCTGCCTATTTGCAGTGCTACTAGAATTTCAATTTAGAATCAGAATTCCAATTTATTGGATTAACAGTGAGAGGTATAAAACACAGTTTTAAAATGAGTTTTTTTAGATATTCATGAGATTTAAAATAAATTTGCCACAAAATATTCCAGGTATGTTTAATAGGAATATTGTGGTTTCTAAAATGTAGGTGTAATGAACCGTGATGACAACTACCTGAAAACTTAAAAAAGACAAAAATATTTTGATAATCAGGCAACTTAAGAATAAGGGACCATACTGCATCTAACATTTTGTGTTAGAGAGGTTATCATAATTGAAGTGAACTATATTTTGTAGCATTATTTGAAAAAGAAGCCTTCCAATTTAAAAAAAAAAAACAGTGAAATACTGGCATATTTTGTCATACTCTTGAAATATCAATACTCTTTAATAGAAAACTGTCACATAGTTATCGATTTCATTATCATCCACCTATATTGTTAAATAATCATTTATCTATATTTGCCCGCCACCATCCCAATACAACAGTACTAGACTGTCAATGTATCAGTAATTATGTGGCTATAAAACTGGGATTGATTCCACGGTATTAAGACACTGCTCTTCCCAATACTAGATCAGTTTTCTCTCAGTATAATACAAATTCAACTTACAGAAGTGTAGATTGCCTAAAAACATTGTTCATAAATATAAAATAATTCAATATTTTCTATAGGTGATTTTGGTTGATATTATTCGAAGATACCCCTCTGTTAAATCTTCTCAGAAACTGGCCCTTATCAGATTTCATAGGATCTCCTATGAAGTAATGAGCTAATGACTGTCGTCTCATGTTTCTGTCAAAAGTTGACATTTAAATCTTTCAAGGAGCAAACATTTATAGGTAACAGCATAAAGCAATAAATAAAATATTTATAAACCATTAAATATATCAATTATATAACCACACAAGCAATATCATTTATATAACATTATAAACAATTGGATATAATAGGTATAAAATCGTAAACAAATAAATATTATATGAGAACTGTACAGACCAACACACCTAGCATAGTTTGCAGTTTGGGGTGGTATGCCGATATATTCTTTGAAGCATTCGATGCAGTGAAGATTCTGCTGAGACAACCGGGACGAAGCAGTCCTATACAGGTCTTCCTAACAGTTGCCATGGTGAATGTTAACTTGTGCGGTAACTTGTTATATTATTGATGCTGCTAGCCTGTAATAAACTAAATACAACAAGACAAATTAAATTCACATTCATTAAAAATTAATGATTGACTTTGTTCACCATGAAGAATACATAGAATCCAGAATAATTACAACCTTCATCAGAGACCTATCTCTAACTTCATCAACATGAGGTAACCCATGATATCTAAATTACACATTTTTAACATATTCCTTTCAAAATAAAGTGAAGTATAATTCTGTATTTTTATACTTCTAGTTTCTTTTGTATTTCTATCTACATTCTTCAAGCCTATCAAGTGAAGACTAATAAAAATATTAACACTGTGTCACAAAAACTGTCTCGAATGGCTAAATCTTACAATCTACAGAAAGCTCAGATTGAATGAGTTATTAAAATCTCCGTTGGATCAGTTAATGTACATCTATAGTACTCATAAAACAAGGGAATACTGAACTGCTGTAACACAACAATATCAAAATGTTAATGAAATGAAAACCCTGTTTTACGAAGCTGCAACGAACAGGAAACTATCCTGAGGTTATTAGTTTACAAACAGAAGGACTAATTATATTGTTAAAAGCGCTGTGTACAGTAAAAACATACAAAATACTGACAAGGCTAAGTATATGCTGTTAACAAATCCAGAAATAAGTATCTTGAAACAGCATTAAGACCAAATGCTATCCTTATGTTAAAAACAAACCGTTCATAATTCTGTTATATCGGTATCCACGGTTCCATCTTTCAGCCCCGACCGCTGACCACTCGTGTAAGAAGCTGTAAACAATTGGTGAACACGAGTGACGGACGTGTGGTCACTTAACCGTAAGCAGGTATAGCGATTAGACAGATCAGGTACTTACAACAACTCAACCTAATATAAACTGTCTATTCCCAACCCCCAACCCCCAATAACCCCCCAACAACCCCATTCGTTCACAAACACGTAACAATAGCTCCTATGGAACAATCTAATACCTTCCGTTACTAGAAGTCAAAGGTCATCATGCCAGCATCCGCAATAACACGTTACACACCCATACGTCTATATCGAAATCAAGACTCGGCCACTAAGACTGATAATGTATAATTTTATCTGAACAATTATACCTACAAGTCTAACCTACTTTTTGTGATATACTAGTATTTTCCCCCATTCTTCTGACATTCCAAACAGTAACTGTTTGAAACCACAAATACCAGCCTCGTCTTAAAGTGTATTGACAGACGAGGCTAGTACCTATGTTTCAACAACAAACTTACAGTGTTAGATTCTGTCAAGTTCACCGCAATGTGTTTGTCAAGAGGCACGAGAGTAATTTGGTTCCTCGGCGCCGTTTGGGGAATTCCCAGGACGCTCAAGGTCATGGTCGCCAAGTCCATTTTTTGAATATTCAATAACCTAGCTTATTAATATTCAAAATATGATTAACGTATGTATACAGTGGGTGTAGAAGAGCGCGTATGTGTATTTTAATTTTGATAATGATGATGAGGATTGATATTGAATCGATGATGGCATGTATAATTAATTTATAAAATGATGATATATTGATGTATCTAAGCGTGTATATTAATTACTGTATCTTGTGTAATATGTATGATTAGGTAAAAATCTTGCAAAAATGATATATATACATATATATAAAAAAAACTGTGTGGCGAGCCCTTTTTATATTCCGTAAGTATAACATATATTATCCATATAATTTAGCAGTTCAGGCGAACAACCCCAACAGAAAAAAAAGTAAAAACTCTTTAATAAGCTCGATCATATGTTCAAAATGCCAACGATGACTTTATGTTGGAGTGATTTTCCGATATCTTACTGTGTATGTGCATTGTAATATGAGTGGAGTACTTATAAATGTAATGAACGACAACAGAAGGCCTACTGTACACACTCTGTTTTACAACAGGGAAATAAGGGTTTATTTGTGTAGGAATGAATTTGAATTTCCAAGCTGCTGAATACTAGGCATGAGTCCAAGAACTTATAACAAGCCGATTGTTGAAATGAAAAATTGTGATGAGTTTCTATCCAGAGACGTCTCTGTTTCGATCTAATATGAAATAGAAACGATTTTAAGATTCTATTTATCACTTATAAAGATATGATTTAGATACTATTGGAAAAGTTCATGAAAACTGGCAACTTGAAACATATTTTTGTTGTCTCTTGATAACATATACGACCACACTACCAGAATAGCTCCATGGATGTAGCGTCTGACACACTATGTATCCCAAAGAGGACAGCAACAACCTAATGCCAATTTTTTTGACAGTCACGTTACATACATTTTGTTATGCTTTCTCCGTGCATGATCACAGGAATAACGTGGCATTTCGCAATACCTTTACACCTCTGTACAAAGTCGTTACATCCCGGCCATCACGTACTTTGGCCTATAGAGGATGTAACTTATGCAATTACATGGTCTATTTGTAACATTTCTATGAGCATCAATTAGACAGCGAGACGAGGGGGCTGAAATATTTCATTCCTGCACGTATATAGTGGACGTAAAACCCACTGAATACAACCCGTGTCAGGCCAACAGTTCACTTCAGTTCTTTTATTTCCTTGATCAAAAAGCACATCAGAGGGGAAGTACGATTACACATACATACAAAAATGTACAGATTGAGGGAGAAACAAACAGTTGAAAACTGGCTAATGATATACAATCAGACATTAGAACATTGTTATAAACTTACTTCAGAGATCATTAAAATGAAATTATCTTGAACTTTATGGCAAGCCGTTTTAACATTTAATCCTATTTCCTCTTAAGATGAAGTGTGGAATAAATTTATTTCACTTAAGTGAAATTATTTTTGTCTTAAGGTAATTAAACATCTTTTCGCATTATGATTTATTTCACTTAAGTGTAAAACTATTTCACTTAAGTGAAATAATTTTTATAAGTCTTAAGAGGTTTATTATTTCACTTAAGTTAAAATCGTTTTCACTTAAGTGAATTTAAACAAGCAGTGGGATGTATGAACACCTACCTTCTTCAACAGTTTTGGACTAATCCATTTTATTAACCAATCATTTGGTATTTTCTATCTGACCAATCAGATTCGCTTTCTCTGGTCGATTGCGTCGTTAGTACTAACAATATGGCGGCCACCATAAAACCTGTTGACATGTATTGATAAAAATTACTCATTTAGTTTTGCAAGTTTTTAATCAATATTTATATAAGCTATGGCATAAATTCGATTGCCCAATGTCTTTTGATAGTTGATTCATGGAGATTGGCTAATAACAAATTGGTTGTTCATATTAAGTCAGATATACCTTCAAATATTCCTCAATATTTTGATATCAAAGCAAGATTTTGCACAAGTATTTCACTATGATGATCACCAACATTAATTTCAGATTAGTGGAAAAACATGTATGAATTTAGTTTTTTTCACTAACCGGAAAAACCACATTGTGGAAATAAAAAAGATTGGTAAGGGGAAGAAACTATGGAAATAGATTTCTTTTATATAAGTTAAGGAAACACATAATGGAAATAAAAATCTTTTTCACTTAAGTGAAATAACACATAATGGAAATAAAAATCTTTTTCACTTAAGTGAAATAACACATAATGGAGATAAAAATCTTCTTCACTTAAGTGAAATAACACATAATATTTTTATTTTCACTTAAGTGAAATAACACATAATATTTTTATTTTCACTTAAGTGAAATAACACATAATATTTTTATTTTCACTTAAGGGAAATGGATAGAAAAGTCAATTATTTATCATGTTATGACATTACATGTGATACAGTTACCTAGGTATTTTATTTTGTTTTTAATGTTCTTTACAGTATTTTTGTTTGATTTGTCAGCTGTAAAACTCTGCTTATGTCTCCCGCCATCATTTAAAATAGCTTTCATTTCCGGTATGAAAACGAGGTACAAGGAAGTGGCTCTTCCCATTTTGAAATGGGGGTGGATAGCATACTGACTGTTTTATTTACCTTAAGTGGAAAAAATATCCCTTAAGTGAATGTAATTTAGCATTATGTCAGCACATATCACTTTTTCACTTAAGTGAAATTCTTTTAAACTTAAGGGAAATAAACATTATTATGCATTATGATATATTTCACTTAAGTGAAAAAAAGAATCCCTTAAGTGATTTTCTCCCCCTTAAGTTGTATTAATAATTTGCATTATGTTTCATTTCCCCTTAAGTGCAATTGTTTTTCACTTAAGTGAAAAAGAATTTCACTTAAGTGAAAAAACTATCCCCTTAAGAGGAAATAGGATTAAATGTTAAAACGGCTTGCCATAGAACTTCTCAGTCAGTATTCCCGGAGAGCGGTTTTTGAAAAATGAAATGGAAATTATATCATTTTGGTTTTAATATTTCAAGTATTTCCCCTATCTTACTCATGATGCTACACATGTTTGTGATCTAGTTAATAGACAATAACGTCCGTGTGTTTGAATAAATATTCAAATGGGGCGATAGGCGATTGAATTATGTCATACGATGTGGCTTATCTGACATACAACAGATTACAGCCCAGTCTTAACAAACAAGCGAGTAACGCAGGTTGTAGAGTGGTATTAATAAACAAGGGGCCGAATGGGCCTGCAAGGCTCAACTTGTATATATATACCAGCCAAATACCATGTCTCTAGGTCTTTTAGTTCATGAGAAGAAGTCATTGAATATAAGTCAAGGTCATTTCTTTTCACAAGCTTTGTCGGGCTGCATCTTAGGAACATACCAAACGTTTTTGGACTTCCTCCTAGGAACATACCAGCCAAATATTATGCCTCTAGACTTCTTCGTCCAACAGAAGAAGCTGTTTAAATGCTGTAACAAATTTGATCCTTGTGACCTTGAATATAGGTCAAAGTCCTTTCTTTTCACCACTTTGTTGGGCTTCATCCTAGGCCAAATGTCAAAACATTTGATCCATTGGTTATTGAAAAGTTGTTGCAAGTAAAAAGTTGATGCCAGAGAATGCACCACCGCATTTTTGTATTGGCTATATAACCATGATCATAATACAATTGTAAGGGCTAAATAAAATTAAGGTAAAGTTTGATTACAGATCTCACGACATATACATGCATACTTTCCTAGCTTTCTTCACCCTGAATCCAGATTGTTTGCTAGCCCCAACAGTGTATCTTCATCTGAACCTACAGATAGATTGAATATTTCATTTGTGTATCACTAAGACTGTTGAATTCAATTTGGTTGTTATGTCTTTAGCAAACGTTTAGGGTCTCATATAGCACTTAATCCGAAACAAGTGGGCCATGGCCCTTAACAGTCATCTGACATTGAAGGAATGAATGGATAAACCACTGAATACACTGATGGTGGTCAGACAAATCTGATGAATTCAAATTTTGAACATTCCTTGTAAGTATCAGAAACTCATAAATGGTTGGTTCTGTGCAAGAAAAAAAATTGCACCATCATGTTACAAAACAAAAGGCACAATAGGCCTGCAGTGCTCACCTGGTATACATAAACCAGCCAAATATCATGCCTCTAGGCCTTTTAGTTCATGAGTAGAAGCTGTATAAAGGTTTTAACAAATTTGACCCCTGTAAACTTGAATATAAGTCGGGTTCATTTCTTTTGGCAGACTTCATCCTAGGAACATACTAGCCAAATATCATGCCTCTAGGCCTATGAGTTCATGAGAAGAAGTTGTTTAAAGGTTTTAACAAATTTGACCCCTGTGACTTTGATTCTAAGTCAAAATAATTTCCTTTCGCAAACTTTCAAACTTTGTTGGGCTTCATCCTAGGAACATACCAGCCAAATATCTTGCCTCTAGGCCTATGAGTTCATGAGAGAGTTGTTTAAAGGTTTTAACAAATCTGACCTCTGTGACCTTGAATATATGCCAAGGTCATTTTCTTTTGCAAACTTTGTCAGACTTCATATTAGGAACATAACATCCAAACATCAAAACATCTGCTTAATTGGTTATTGAGAAGTTGTTTGAATGAAAAAGTTGACGCTGGTCACCAGACGCTGCACCACAGCATAAGCTCACTTGGCCCTTCAGACCAGGTGAGCTAACAACGGTGAATTGGATTTAGCCCCCATCCCACGAAAATTGATCTTCATATAATTGAGCTATCACCATTATACAGGTACTGATGTTCAGGTTACTGATGTAAAATACATAGATGCATGTGTATATGTTGGTGAAGTAACCACTGTGGAGTACACTGACAAGATACAAGTACATTTACATACGTGTACAAGTAACAACAGGTATAGAGAACAACTAATCTTGTGTACAATAAACTAATGTAATCAGCATTTGTAAAAACTACTCTTGTGGAGTTCATTTATACAAATGCAAAAGTAAATGTTGTAGACTACAGTTATATACGTGTACAAGTTGCTGCTGTTTAGTACCTTACAAACACAAAGAAGACACTATTGTGGAGTATATTCAAATACATATACAGGTGACTATTGTAGAATATATTTATATACATGTTCAAGTATTGTGGAGTACATTTAAACACATGTATAAGTAACTATTGTAGAATACATTTATACATTTGTACAAGTAACTATTGTAGAATACATTTGTACAAGTAACTGATGTGGAAAAAATTTGTAGTGTAAAAGGTATTGTCAAGGTGAATGTTTATACGGGTGTAGTAGTAACTGTTGTAGAATACATTTATACATGTGTACAAGTAACTATTGTAGAATACATTTGTACAAGTAACTGATGTGGAGAAAATTTGTAGTGTAAAAGGTATTGTCAAGGAGAATGTTTATACGGGTGTAGTAGTAACTGTTGTAGAATACATTTATACACGTGTACAAGTAACTATTGTAGAATACATTTGTACAAGTAACTGATGTGGAGAAAATTTGTAGTGTAAAAGGTATTGTCAAGGAGAATGTTTATACGGGTGTAGTCGTAACTGTTGTAGAATATACTTATACTGATTCATATAATTATGTACTATTTTACGCAATAGTTTTAACAACAGAATTTATTGTAACATTATCCATGCTTCACAAAACACAAAGAATTAAAGACAATGTACATCATTTATTAAAGAGGCCTTAACATGAAACTGAGAGAAAAAATCAAAGATTTACAATTTTGTAGTAATTACACACCATTTTACATGTCATCAGCTTGTACTTTGTAGCCTGTCTCATGAACAGATGCTTACAACATCCTTCTATACCAAAATGGTTGATGTTTAACTGTGCTTAAAAAGTGACAATATTTTCCTCATTAACCTTCAGATGTCGTCAAAAAAACCTGCCCAAATATGAACTATTTTTGCTATTTGAATTTCCAAGTACATATAATATAGTATCACATCATCTGTACCTGTTGGACAATATGATTACAAACAACATTTTCTTTAGTATAGTGTATGTAAACTTTGACAAAAAAAGTTATTCTGAAGGAAAATAACAAAAACAAAAAATCATCACACTTTTGGTAACCATGAATATAGTGCTGGATACAATTTTATGGTTTTACAAATGTTACAGTACAGAAAAACATCCTTTCCTTGTGATGATTAGTCATCACGTTTAGAAGTCTCATTGTTTATCTAAACAAAAAACGAAGACAACAAGAGTAATGTAGACAAGGATATCTCTACTTCTGGGTGATCAGAATGAGAGAATCAGTTTATCAAGTTGATAGAAATTCAGAATACCATTGACCTGTATAAGCAGGTTGTTTTATTTCCAAGTAAAGCTGAGACATAAGTATACAGATATTACAATTGGCAGGCATCACCATAGGAACCTTATAGGCGTTCTTGGTCAGTACTCAAGGTTATTGTTGACAATTATAAGATGTTTGATAAAAAACCTTACATGTCTCTGGTAATTTGGAAAACATTGTAGGCACAGCAGTGTTATCTAATCCTAATACAAACAACTGAATAGGGTATAAATAGCTACTGAATTCAAGATCATTCCTGACAGTGAATGGTTTTGGTCAAACGATTGGACAAGGAATAAATTACTACTGAATTCAAGATCAATTTTCCAACAGGTAGCTTATTTTCACCATGCAACAAGTGTACTAAATATGTTTAAAAAAAATATGCCCATTGAGGATGCTAAAAAGGTTTTCATTACAAGAGAAGTTGCTTAAGCTCTGGCGGTAGGGTCTCTATCATTTTATTCTGGAAAACAAGAGTACTTTTATCACCTGTGGTACCTTTTCTGTAGCAGTTTGAAAAATTCTTAAAAACACTGTTGTGACGACAAGAATTATTTCATTACAATGCCTATAAGGTGCGATTATTTCAAGTTTTCATTTCCAACTTCAAGAACAAGGGGCTTTAATTATCATTGGAGTTCTACAAAGCTGTCATTTATATAAACTTTATTTATTTTGCAACAATTGCAAAACAAGCTATCAGCTTATATTGACAACTCTAGTTGGCCCAGCTGGAAGCCTGTGCTGTCATTTCTGTTGTTGTAACATATACCATAGAAAGCATCTTTGTTACGATAACTTTAGCTACATGTAATGAAGGTAACTTTAAACTTCCATCCCATTATCATAACTTATCTTGAGTAATAAGCTTGAAAAATTTCCTGTTTGAACTCCCTATCCAAGGGAAATGCCATACTTTGGGATAATGAAATTCACAATTTTGGTAAACAACTTTAGACCCTTCCATCCTTGGATATTATTTGAAGTATCCTATCTTGAACTTCTGGAGATTTTTAAAATTTGAGTCATTTTGGCCTCTTTTGGCCCCATCTATCAGCTCTTGTGGGGTTACCCAGGGTCAACATGTGCAGACTTACAAACGGTCATCATAATCCTAACCAAGTTTGCATTACTTCCAACTGAATTTAAACCATGCACAATTAAATTTTATCCCATCCCAATGGAGTAATGCGAGACATTTGGGTCATGAAATTTAGTTTTGATACCTTCCATTATGAAGAAACTTTAATTCTATGATATTTGGGTCTTCAGAAGCATACATTTGAACTTTTAGTCAATATCTCCCCTTTTACCATGCCTCTTGGGATGAGGACCATATAATTAACATTTTTTCACCTTTGGCCACTGAAGGCTTTTGCCAAATTGCATTGAAATTGGCTCTGGGGTTTAGGAGAAGTTAAAAATGTCACTTGTTAATGGACACATGACTTCAGACTTTGTCTCCAGTAGCCTGAAAAATATTACCTGACCTTTGACATTGAATATTAAGAAGTAATGTTTCATGTCATGAGTGGTCAGGTGGCGGTGCAGTGTTAATTATCTCGCCTTTTGCCAAGGTGATTGGCATTTGATTCTTTGGTCTGATGTGAAAAGGTAAAATGTCTTATGCCCGACCATGTCGGTTTTATCCAAGGTATTGCAGTTTCCTCCCGCAATGAGAACCCTAATGCTTCAACCAAGGTCAGCATGGAATTATCACTTAACCTTCCATCTTTAAACATTAAAATTTCATTTACTTTTCATCAATTACGAAGCAAATTATTTTTTCAATTGATGCTAATCAGTCCTAATCCTATTTTCACAATCGTTGAAAATAAAACAAATTTTATTGTATTTCTCTCATGGAAAGATATGAGAATTATTAACTCTGATTTCAAAAACTTGACAAATGAAAACAATTGTTCTTCTATAATTCTATAATGCTAACTGTGAGAAAATGAATTAGATTATACATTAATAGTAGATTGAAATTGAAGTCACTGTTGTTCTCTAACCAACAGTTCTGACCTAAGTATGGCTTCTCTCATCAATACATGAAAAACCTAGTATGCTGGTCATAAGAAAACTTAATTATAGTGATGTGTTGATACTATTGTGAAAAAGAGAGAAAATTCAACTCTGTTCCAGTTAATGACTTTACTTCAAACAAGACAATATACATTTTCACTTGGAGAATAAAGTGTTCTGGAATGCTGAATGCATAACAACCATAAAATTGGGATATTTTGGATCTAGTTGCTTTCTTATTTATTTGGTGTCTGGCTTTAAAGTATAGAAATTAAACACATGTCAAATTAGCTCTTTACACCAATATATATTTTGCCTAACACTTGTCAGGACTTCCAAACAGAATTAAACTTGCACATAATTGAGTTAAGGATTCAGTAAACTAATGACAAAATAGAGTACTAAAATTAGCATAAGGTTGAGGAAAATGCAACATTTAGACAAAAATAAAACCATTCCACTTCTCAAATTTTCCCAAAACCAGAATATCCCAACTTACTGTTTATCAGAATAAAATGTTTAACATGTGTACAAAGTAATGCAGCCAGCAAAATATAACAGATCTCACAGATCTCCTAAACAAAGCATGTACATATATATATAAATATCTTCTTCTATAATTTTTTTCATATAAAACTGATATTAGCTACGCCATATAATGATATTCAGAGACGACCTGATAATCAATCAAATTTGTCCCTGATAACTAGAATAGTATTTTTCCTTCTTAGTCTATTTCTGATTAATTTATTATCATCAATGTCACCATTGTTGAAAGTGTTTAAATCCTTAAGATCTGTATACAGAATGTATACTGCTTATCAAACTCTGTCAATGGCTTCCTCACTTTACTGCCAATAAGCCAATATATAGAGTTTAAACCTTTCATCACAACTATACCATTCTGTATTTCACCAATCATAAAATTTTGTACAAAAAACAAATTTTGAAACAAAACTTTATGATTTTATCACAGACTTTTCTTCCATACTTTAATAAACATCCTTTAAATTCAGAGAAGCCACAATCATATGTAGAGATTAGGCAGGAGCCTGTTTGTGCTGCAGTGTTGGCTTGTCACAGGACCAAATCCTTTCAATGTGACCAAACAAAAAAAAAAAAAAATTTACAGTCCACTCTCTAGGAAAATATTGCATTCATGCAGTAGTTGGTGAGACGATTTAAGTCTGTTTCCTCCTGATGATTCCGAAGGACTTCTCTTAACTTTTGTTCCTGCTTACTCTCTGAGAAAATACACTTGAGCTGCGTAAAGAGTTCTTCAGTTGACTGTTCAGACCTGGAGGACAATGCGGTGAATTTATTTGGTTGGGGGTGGGGGTAACGCTGTCCTCGCCCCCTGTGGGCCCCTTGGAACACTGCACCACCATTTGGCTGATTTTGACGGAATGGATTCCCATGAAACTGCTGAGAGGGAGGTCTTTGATAGACTTGATTTGGGTTTAAACCCCTTTGCTGTAAATTTTGATGGGGAAATCTAGCATTACCTACACAAAAGGGTAAAGGGGGCATGTTAGTCCAATTGTTTTGTTGTTGTCGAAAGTTTCCTCTCTCTGACTTGTCAGGTGATAAAGGCCTACAAGAAAAATAGGGAAAAAAAATCATCCGATTACCTAAAAAGCATCATTTTAAACCTAATGACAACCAGCATATGATCCTGTGTGTCATCTCACTTTTAGTAATCTGTCAAATGTTCTGAGCTTTTAATGTTCCTGTTTGTGACATTGTGACATGTTACAGAGGCTTTTAAAATCACCAGACACAGGTTCATTGGACAGTATTCTATAATTTCATTTCTAATTTAGTAGTTCTTCTATATAAAGATGATATATTTTGTACATTCTTGGATACTATTAGAAGCAAAAAAATCAATGCCATGTTAGGCAAAGTTTAAGAAAAATCACTGAAGTATGAGAATAGATTTATGACTGCAGGTCAAAGTAGCCACACCCACCTTTTGTGTGCTCCAGCATATGGGGGTATCTTATGTAAAAGCTGGCCAAGAGTAGGGCCGTCCTGGCCAAGAGGATCCTCTGGGATCATAAAGTTGTCACCGGCAAATGTGAACATCAGCAACCTACAGTCATAATATTACTAGTTAGTGCATATCAACAGGAGACCAAAAGAGTCTGCGGATCTCTTCTGGACATTTCCAGAAGTCACAGAGAGTCTGCAGATCTCTTCTGGACATTTCAACAATCACAACAAAACAATCTCATTCACAACTCATCAGTCAATCATGACGAAACAATCTCATTCATAATACGTTTGTATATTTCAAATAGTTTTCTGATTTTGGGCTCAAGGGAAATAATAACCTTTCTTAATACGTTAAGTTCTCTTCACCAATGTATCTCTTTGACTAAGGGAAAGGAGATGAAGATTTACCTCTATTTCATCTTAATATCCTTTTAGGTCGAGGCAGTACAGGTTTTTCTTTTTTTCAGATTTAAATTCTATTGGGCACCTTTTTGGTCTAAGGGGGATTAGACCTGTCATTTATACAAATATGAAATGAGTCCCCTTCATTTGTTAACACTTATGACAAAATTTGGTAAAAATCGCTAATCCTATGAAAGGACAGGGATTTAAGTTTAAATCATCAGACCCCTTCTGTCCACAGAGAGGTCACATGATCAGTTCAGGCAATGTTAATTTTTTTTTTAACTTGTGGAAGATGTTCAAGACTAAATTTGGGAGAAATCTCCATATCCAAAAGAATTTTAAAGTTACACTGTTTGGGTCCTACCCCTCTGTCCCTAGGGAGGGCCAGAATCTTTGCTGTTGTAACATGGACCCCCAACCCCCACTACAACCCACCCAAACACCATGTTTTGCACTAGATGATATAAGAGTTTGCAGGTTGGCTGATGGACATTAACTAAGTCAGACTTCTGGTCCAAGTGAGTTAAGGACAACAAATAGTATTGTTACATTGAAATCTCTCCAAAACTTAATCTGTTTTGAATTATTTCAAATAAAGAATAAATTCAACAAGCTTGGTTTCTATCCACAAAACCTTGTGTAATACCCGAGATGGAAAATAATTCTTGAGGAATCATATAAAGTCAGCCGCATCCAAATTATGATGTCCTGGTTCTCACCTGTCCTCTACTAATGTTCTCCAGCTTGCTTTCTCCTGCATCAGATCTCTGTACTGATCATTAGAAACAACCACACCATCCTCTCTCTCTGCTAATTCCAGCACAAATCTACAACATGTAATTTCATTCACTGTTCAAAGTTATATCTTTCAGGTTTTATATGTTTTTGGGATACAAGTAATTAATCTACATTTTATTCACACTAGTCCCTTCATTATTCTAGCTGAACTATATGATTATCCAATCATCACATATAGTAGTTTTCAATAAATCATGAAGTGTTCTATGCGTACAATTTTCAATACATAATCCATCATCTAAAAATGTTAAGAATAAAATATGGTGACATTGCTGACAACCAAAGCACATTAGCTCACCTTGGCCCACCAGGTGAGTTTGAAAGTTTCAAACATGCCAGCAATAAAGGTCAGAACATATCACAGAAACTACTTAGTTTTTTTGGTAATGGATTTATACATGTCTCAACTTAAGAACTATTAATCCTGTATGAAATGGTAAATATTAGACCTGAATATATAATACATCTGACACTGTATGATTACCTGTGTGTCACTTTATGATTACCTGTGTGACAGTGTATAATTACCTGTGTGACACTTTATGATTACCTGTGTGACACTTCATGATTACCTGTGTGTCACTGTATGATTACCTGTATGTCACTTTATGATTACCTGTGTGACACTGGTTTTGTATGATTACCTGTGTGTCACTTTATGATTACCTATGTGACACTTTATGATTACCTGTGTGACACTGTATAATTACCTGTGTGTCACTTTATGATTACCTATGTGACACTTTATGATTACCTGTGTGGCACTTTATGATTACCTGTGTGTCACTGTATAATTACCTGTCATCATAGGAACTGATCAGTTTGCCATTAACCCTTCGAGATGGAGTGAAGACAAGGTATCCTGCCTCCTTCAGCTCTGTCAGAAGGTTCTGCTCACGGATAGGGTTCTCCATGCGTGGACGGTATTTCCTCCACTCTGGAACAAACGCTGTCACTTGTTTATGTCCTCTCTTCAGGAAGTGATCAACACAAATTTTAATTCCACGACAAGAAAATATTTTTCCGTTACCATGCCTGCAAAAGTATTCAAAATTGACAAAATTAGTAAGGACTCTATAGTCTTATATGTTCCTATTTAGACACCAAAGTGAGCAGAAACAATTATTCCTGTAACACAGTGAACATATAGACTATAAAACAATACATATGTATATTTTGAGATAATCATTGTTCATTTGAAAAATAACAACAAAATACAAATTATGATGATACAAAAAAGCCCAATAACTTGTACAAGAGCACCTATTTTGATAAAGTCTCAAATGCATTTTACTGAGTGAATTTTCATTAAGATAAACAGCTCAGGATCATATAAAAAATAATAGAAGTTTTAAGTCCGAGACATGCACTTATAATTTCTACAGTTCCAGCAAAATCTTTTAATCGGAATTATCAGATTATCTGAAGAATGTCTTCCATCAGTTTAAATCATCAATGATAGGATGTTGAAGATCTAATGTCAAATTTCAAGCAGAATTTTGAAAAGTTAATGCTTACGTCATGGCAACATTGCTGCCATCAATGACAATATATCTGAGGTCATCTGGCTTTCCTCCGACTGGTCCTCTCTGTAGCTGCTGCTGAAATCCTGTGACTGGTTGCTGCCTCTGAGGTGATGACATAGCACTGAACTGTTGATGAAAGCCTTTCCCATAAGATTGTTGGGTATAATTTTTCTGTTGTTGCTGTCTATTTGGCTGCACCACAACTGGCACAGGATTAGGTCGAGAAACATCTACAATTCTACAATCATCATCTACATCATCTTGCCATGGTTCCATAACACAAGTTTCTTCTTCTTTTTCATCCACCTCAATATACTGTGAAGGTGTTTCTACACTTGGTTGCTTTGCTTTTTGTTTATTCTTTTTACTTTGAGAGCGACCTTGACCTTTCTGTTTTATCACATTATTATGTCCATTCTTCTCTCCTCTATGTCCTGGTGTGGGCTGATTTTGGTTTTTCTTTGAAACATTTTCATCATCAAATGATGCTTTCAGTACTGATTGTCTTTCCTCATTTCGTCTCTTGAGTTCTTCAATAGGTAAGTCGTTTTTCTCTTCTGAGAAATCTTTGATTAATTTACTTTTATATTCTGGCGGCAGACTTCGTCGACCTGTCATGTCAGCAAGCTTACTTGGACTAGGTATTGGTGGAGGAGGAGGAAAATTTCCAAAATTCTTAGAATAACTCAATATTTCTACCTCGGGAGATGGACTCCTATTCCCTTTGTTACAATTACCTTCTGAATTATTATCAGAAATTTTTGTTAATATTTCTATGAAGTCAGAAACTTGTGTATTTTCATCAGCAAATTTCAAACCTTCTTCAATAATGCTTACACTATAACCAACAGATAAACCAAAATTTCTTAAATATTCAAGTTCCTTTGACAACTTTGAATTTGGAAAAGCACTTGACGGTTTTGGTGCATTGTTACCTTCAGCTTGTGAAATATTTGCATCGGTTAATTGCTGGGTGAGGTTGCCAACTCTCCCATCAATTTGATTATTATCTGTTTCAATATTTTGTTTTTGGTGTTGTGTATTAGCACTGTCTGTCTGCTCATCCCCGATCAAAAGAGGAAGTTTGAACTGATTTAATGATTTAGAACTATCTTTTGGAGAATTACTTTCAAACAATAAAACATCGTCAATATCATCAGTGGCTGTGTCATTCAAGCAGTGTAAAATCACCCTTTTAACAGATGCTGAAGCGTTATCATAGTCTTCAATAGTCATACTACTGTTGCCATCACTTTGTTGAGATAATGCCCTCTGTAGGGAGGTGTCCAGTCTCAGTGACCATGGTGATACAGAATCATCAGCTGTAGTATCTTTTTCATTTGTTTTCCCTTCAGTTCCATCCATCTCTGTGTCATACTGTCCAAGCAATTCCTCTAAAGATGACATGGCCAAGGTCACACCAAGGTCAGTGCCGGTGATGGTTACTGATGATGTCCCCTCCATGACTATCACAGCATTGGTTTGCTTCTCTATTTGTTCTATTGTTTCATTACTTAATAATGCTCGGCAATTTTTAAACGTAAGAGTCTGCATTTCCTTTGGATCGCACAGAGCAAGGATGTATTCCTATAACAGAAAATATGATGTGTTATACAAAGGTATGAGTCAAAATCTGGTCAAAATGTCACATTAAATATGACTGAAATAAAACTGACAATTGCAAATCACTATGTAATAGTGTGTCCCAGTACAAACAGATACTCTTCAATGAAAAATGAAATAAAAATGAAAAAAGTAAAACCTCGATACATGTATTGTAAACTCTCTCTATTTTATATTGTCTCTCATTTTTACTAACACTCTCTAAAATTTTCTTCCATATTATCATTTGATGGTCATTATTAAAACTGAGCACTAATAATATTTGTCTCATATTTTCCCCCTTTACTCATTGTATGCTAGACTCGCCCTCAATACACAGTGTATATTGTTGTCTACATTTAAATTAGTCCAATGGGTTCTGACTATGTACCTGTGATATTATTTTTGTCTTGTTTGTGGTTAAAAGAAAACTGATTTCTTTCCATTAATGTACATTATGTATGATTTATAACGAGTGCACTGTTGAAATTATATGAAACATTATCTGGATGCTGACCCTTGCCAGTGTCCTTAGAGTTTGGCGTTTTTATATAGGGAAGAATTCTACCTATCAACCAGGAACAAAACAATAGAATCGAGGACAGATGGTCAGAACCTTCTGACTACATTTATATCAACCCGTGGACGTTGTCAGTCATCAATCAGATATGTATTCACCATTCAACTGTTTGATAATTCAATGCTGACAAATTAAGAGTCATTGATTATGTTTCATAACACACATTATACCTGCATACTTGTTCCCACTAATATTTGCGAGTGTATATATATGCTTTAAAGAGGAACATTTTTTGTACGATCAGTCATGATTTTTATGTGTAAATGAAGCTTAATGAAGTTCATCGGTTAGTAAATAATCAATTATCAGTTGTTGTTTATAATTGCCGTTAAAGATACTGATACTGTCATTTAATTATCACACATTAACGTAATAACCTTTGCATTCTGTCTGTCCATATTTTCGCCTTGAACGATGATCCATTGTTGACTAGCTTTGGCGACATCTTCGAATCCAATTTTCACTTCATACATCCTCTCTATTTTCTTCTGAAATTCGCAAAGCCGGGGTACCCGACCTCGATCCACAATGAATTCATCCATTGCTTAAAACGTTTTATCTATTTTTTGAAGTACGCCAATAGTTCAATCAAATTCACAAATGGGAATACCCTTCCAGTCCATCACGACATTTCGCTCACTTCTGGTTGAATTGTGACGTATATCCTGTTCTTCTAAATGCAGGCGTTTACTAAAGATCTGTTTCTCCACGCGAAAATTGTCGTATGCTGGTTGACATAAAACCACTTAAATAAACAAATTACCAAGCATACAATCACAAGTCTGACCTAAATCGATGTTTTCATTTAGAGAACAAATAAGTATATGCCTGTATCTCAATATTTTACAATTTGTTTAAAAACACTATGATGACTGCGTATCGATGAGCACGGAACTATGACTGAATCAACACGTTCAAATTATTATTGTACTTCATAAAATCTAATTAATTTCAAAGTAGGGGGGAAATAATCGTAGGATTTTAAAACTAGAATCCCTAATAGGAAGATTAAATGTTTTCTATTCTGATTTCATCATATTTTCTGTTTTTAGTATGTCCCTTTCTATTTCCATGTTTTCAGACGACCTAGATACAGTGGGGTGAGTTTAGGCCTTTTAAATAACATTTCGGCCTAATGGTTCGGCTATATTTAGAGTACACAAATTACCTACTCCATTTCGCAGAATTGCATCAGTTTCAATAATAATTGGAGTACATAAACCGATAAACTTCTTATCACAGCTAAAAATAGTTTCCATTAAAATCACAAATTATAAATAGTGAATATTAATGGTAAATTTATGTTTTTACTTAGAACTAATTGCAGCAAAATGTATATATCGCCTGGATATCGGTTCCAGACCGTTATGTATTTCGGAACATCCAGAAAGAAAAAAAAAATGTGATTTAAACTATTCACCAGAAAATATTAGTAAATATTTCATTAGCAAATTTGTTTATTTTTTTCTTTATTCAAAATTTCACGTGAAAAACATCCTACCACAAATGATGAAATAACCGATCAATCCATCCTTGGATGTCAATATTTTGTTGTCTCTCATGTGAATAAAAATCTACCAAGAATGATAGGCCACGCCTTCGTGTAAATTATTACTTATGATTACTCATTTCTTATTTTAATTAGATAACGAATTGTAGACCAACCAAAGAAAAATGGACATTATTTAAATAGTTTGTGTTTTAAATAAGAAGTTTGGCGAGAAATATGTTGGATTCATTTGAAAAACATAAGGCAACATAAGGAAAAAAAATTAAAACTGAATCTAACCCATCAGAAAAGATACACAAATCAACACAGATATTTCAGGTAAAAATACTTGTTTTTTCTGATCAGTTTCTAAAAATTTTTTCTAGTATTTGTTTGGTGGCAATTAATTTGACATAGCATAGCTAGTGAAAAATGGTTGTTTAGGGGTAAGAAACTAAAGCACAAAGGATATATATATATATTGAATTTGATATATGATTCTAACACTAAAAAGGTTACCAAAAATTAACAATGTGGAAATGCTTTTTTTTCTCTCCACAAAGTGATGACTAGGAATCAAAGTTGGAATATCTACCACCTGTTTAACACTTCAAATATATAATTATAAGCTATTATAGTTCTTATATCAATCATCGTAAAATATGGATAAGCCAATATCTTTAATAGGACTGTTATACAAACAAAATATCACATCTTGAATAATGCTATACAGCATTCCTGTTTTGAATGTATTAATCTTTTTATGCCCTGTGTGTTTGTAAACAATTGTTGTTATTGCTTATTCTTGAAAAGTACATGATGGATCTTTCTCAAATTTGATCTGTAGACCAAAAAAACAAAATGAACGATAGGTGGCTATATTGGATTTTGACAAGGAACATTTTTATTGTACAATGTATCTCTCAAATTTAAACATAGCTTCCACTTGGTCCCTAGTTGTGCTTGTTTGATTTTGGGACTGATCTGAAAACCAATATGACTGACAGGCAGTCATCTTGGACTTTGTGTTTCTGAAAAAATACTGGGTCGATCTTTATTAAATTTCATTTGTAGATTTCCCTTGGTGCTTGGTTGTGCCTGTGTCATTCTGGGACTGGTCAGAAAAAATGGCTGACAACTATCTTGGATTTTGACTTTGAAATTAAGTAGAAGACATTTAGGCCTGTTATTGTTAAAAAGAGAAATTGTATTTATTTATAAAGTCTTCAATGGGCCATCCTCGGTGACTCAAAAGCCTTGTATATATTGTTGTCATGAGGAGGAAAGTATAGCGAACAAATTGAGTGTTCTAAGTAGTGTAAAAGTTACAGCTTTCAGAGTTATATCTCATTTGATGCTTATATGATGGTTTGGTTTCCTTACAAGCACTGCTGAGCCACCAACCGGACGATCAGCTGTTGGTGGGACGTTATAGTACATATCATAATTTCTTAACTGGGTGGGATCTTTCATCATGATGTCTTACAAACAGAAGACTGATAGGTTCAACGACTTATAGAAAAGTTGAAATTCCTCAATATTGGCTTTGAATCCACAAACGTTACATTGGTTTAATTAACTATTTGAATATTTGTGTTATTTGGCATTAGTATTGCTCCGCTCAATATTTGGGATTACAGGACTACAAGGTTGCGGCAGTGTGGTCTCCATATCTGAACCATCCTCATGATTCAATAGAATGTTATATCTGTTGAAATCCTTGATGGGGTCTTCAGATCCTTTCCCAAGGTTGACATTCAAAAGCTGGTTTACAATTGGTAAACCACTTGAGACTCTTCCTCAGCTGTTCTGTGGGCTATTTTGTTTTGTTTCTGTGGGGACTTTGTATTGGTTAGGTTGGATGTGTGTATTGAAGTCTGGGATTGCATACTCTGATGTTGTTTTGATAGTTTTGACCTATTCAGGGAAATGCGTTTCAATTGTACATTGGGTTATGACTGCTTTGGAGATGTGACAGATTTTTTGGATGTTGTTTGGTTATTGTGAAATCCCTTTTCTGTAGGAATGATTTGAATGCTAGGCTGTAGTGGAATCAATTTTGTATTTGCAGTCTTGTCCTCTGGGTAATAGGTGTGGGACCCAGTAGGTGAAATAAAGCAAATTCTTTTAAGTCTACTTCTCTAGGAATGCCAGCTGAGGTGGAAAAGTTGAAAGCAATTAGGAAAAATAGAGCAAATTCTTAAAAGACAAATAATTCTTCTGTGGAAATGCATGGATTCTGTCTCATTTTAGTCTGAAATATACATGCATGAAGATAAATCAATTTTGTATACACAGTGGGTGTTGGTTTCTGGATGGGAGAGATGTGGCCTCAATATAGAAAATAGAGCAAGTTATTTAAAATCCTTGTTTTCCTGTAGGAATTGCAGGATTTTATCCCAATTTGGTCTGAAGTAAGAATGATTTGTTTGGTCTGAAGTAAGAATGATTTGACTGACCCCCTGGAGGCCAGAGGGTTAGGACCCAATTGATAAATAGATATGGTGCTTGTTGTGTACTTGGATATTTAGAATACATTTTCCCTTTAGTTTCAATGAAGCAATTTCAGCCAAAGCTAGGTGAGTGATACAGGCACCCTAAGATGGAAAGACATGATAGGGAAGTTAAAATTGAGAGAATCAGGAGAGTTGGTATGCATTTAACTATAGAAGAAGTGTGAAATTTCAATTTCCCAATTTTGGATTTTTCTTTTCTTTATGGTAACCACTGTTTCCTCAGTGAATTTGAGAATAATCCCTCTGGTAGTTTTTGGGCAAATAGCTACAACAACTTCTAAATGTCCCAATCCAGGATGGCTGCCTTACTGTTATTTTATTGTAAGAAGTATGAACATTAGATCAGGTAAAGTATGATACAAAATCTTAACAGATACAACTTGTCAGTTTTGAGAACAATTGTTTAAAGACAGGACAGTACCTAGAAAAAAGAATATCAAATTAATTACCCACCAACGAATGATGGTGGACCAAACAGATAACACAAGGTCAGAGTTTAATTTAAGTATTAACTTAATTATTTTAATTACAAAGCTGTTGATAATAAATATAGATTATAAGCAATTGAGTTTAATACAATAATGTAATCAATAATAAGTTAAACAATTTACAACAAATTAAGATAATCAACAAAAATCCTGTAATTTTCTCTGGACGGAATGTACATAGGTATAGCTGACAAGTTTACAGACACAAACTTAATTCAGTAAACATGATTAATTCTAGTGAAGAAGAGCCATCTATCAATGGTGTTTCACACACCTACTCAGACATGTCTTAGCATAAAAACAATTTCATAACTTTAAAGAATATATTGGCATGGTTTTGCCATGTATTACATGCAGCTATATAAGCATATTCTTACCCTTTCCCAAATTCCTTTGGTCCTGACAATTTTCCTTTTCAACATATATGGTTCTGACATTTCCCCTCTAGCTTGACCCATTAGTTCTGACAACACATCTTCATAATCCTACAGTTCTTGCATTCCTCTTTCCCCATAATCTTTAGTGCTGACATTTCTCATTCCTAATACTTTTTTTATAGTTACATTCCTTATTTGACTATAATCCTTTAGTTCTGACTTGCCACTTCCTCATAATCGGAGACTTTCCTCCTCCTGATCTTTTAGTTCTGATATTTCACCCTTTCCAATAATCCTTTAGTTGTGTATTTCCCTTTTCCCCATAATTCTTTAGTCCGGACATTTTGTCCTTTTCCCATAATTCTTTAGTCCTGACATTTTCTCCTTTTCCCATAATTCTTCAGTCCTGACATTTCCTCATTTCCCATAATTCTTTAGTCCTGACATTTCCTCATTTCCAATAATTCTTCAGTCCTGACATTTCCTCATTTCCAATAATTCTTCAGTCCTGACATTTCCTCATTTCCAATAATTCTTTAGTCCTGACATTTCCTCATTTCTAATAATTCTTCAGTCCTGACATTTCCTCATTTCCAATAATTCTTTAGTCCTGACATTTCCTCATTTCCAATAATTCTTTAGTCCTGACATTTCCTCATTTCTAATAATTCTTTAGTCCTGACATTTCCTCATTTCCAATAATTCTTCAGTCCTGACATTTCCTCATTTCCAATA